TATAAAGTTCCCTTATACCCTAGAGTCTATTATCACCTGAAGCTTAACTCTCTTGATTTTAACCTCTAATATAAGATATTTATCTCTAATAGCAGCAAGTTACTATATATAGAAATATTCCTAATATATATTATAGTTAAGAATACTTTCCTATACCCTTCGATTACTATAGCTTAGACTGACCTTATATACGAGCTCTATTCCGAGTTTAGTGTATATTACTAGGTTATATATCTTGTAATAGTACCGGCTATTATTATTAACGTAGACCTATATCCTATTATATCGGTTCTTAGCTATAATTTCCTATTCCTCGCTTACCTCTAGTAGTACGCTAGTGTTAAGGATAGCAGTATTTTAGAGTAGTAAGTGCTATATAAAGGTCGTTAGTCCTTCTTAGCTGCCGGCTATTCTCTATCCGATACGCTTATAGTCCCAGTAGACTACTTCGTACCTTACCCCCTATAGTAGACCCCTTAAGCTAATAAGGCCTAGTTCTTAATAAGTAACCCCGGTAGCTATATTAGTCTAATAGTAAGTATTATAGCTAACCTGATATAAGCTCTCTTCTCTTTAAGTGACTTCCTAAGTTTCACCTATTCTTAGTCCTAAGAGTTTAGGTTAAAGTAGCCTTAGTTCTAGAGTCTACTTAGGTTCTTAGGCCTCCTTCTCGCTATTACTTAGTATTAGCTCCGTGTTATCGTCTAGCCCAGAGCTATTATTATCTCGATATATATAGTCCTTAGAAGGCGTGCTAATAATAGTCTACTTAAGCTAATCTATAATACTCGCGGAATCTTACTTACTATTATTAGAATCGCCTAACTAGGTATAGATATAGTTCTCCTCGAGCTCGTCTGTAGTTATATATTAATATATCGCGGCGAGTTATTATATTAGTTTATTATAAGAGCCACGTTCTATTACGTTAGTATATTTCTTATCTGTCCACGACTTCTTTTACTAATAAGAGCTAGCTATATAACTAGGGAGGCTACACTTAAAGTATAGCTTCTTCTCTCGTTACTTACTTATGACTTTCTTAGATAGCCTGCTACTACATGGCTTTCCTTAATAACTTAGCTTCCGAAATATTATATCGAGTTCTATTTCCTAAGGGTAAAATAGCTTCTTATTATTACCTTCTCTTCCTTAGTGTATATACGTTCCGGAGTAGTATTAGCCTTTCTTCTTAAGTGCCCTCTTATAGTTTCAGTTATTAATCTTAATAGCTATTTCGATAAGTTCTTATAAGTTAGTAAGCGCGTCTAATCTTACTATCTTATCTTTTACTCTATCTTTTAACCCTTTGTAGTACTATACCTGAAGGGCGTTATTATTCTAGCTAGTCTGATTCGCGAATTACTAGAAGGCGGTAGTATATATAATCGCTAACCTAACCTACTTTAAGTTCTAGATATTCCGTTTAGTAGTATAGTTCTAATTAATATCACTAAAGACGTAGTTAATCCTATACTTGAAACCTTTAAAGGTTATAAAGATCTTCTAGGATTCTTTAGTTATTACTGTAGAGACTCTCCTATTCTTAGTTCGGTTCTAAATATAGTCTAAGAGGAAGGTCTTAATCTAATTGAAAGTAGATCCTTAGAGAAAGGACGAAGCTTAGAGGACTTTATTAGTCTCTATAGCGAACTAGTAACTATTAAAGCCTATATAGAGCTTAACTTACGTAAGATATACTCTAAGCTTAGATCAGTCTCTGTTATAGAGATCCGGAGTAACGATCTTAGGTATATTCTTTAAGTCGAAGACTTTAGCGGGAGCTAAGTAGTTATTTAACGATCCTTTAATAGAGGATATATTATCTTCGTGAGTTAGTACCTCTAATAAGAAAGTGCTTAAAGTATAATAGTCTAGTATTTACTCGCTATAAATATAGAAAGCTGTAGTTAATCTCTAATAATCGAGAGGTAAGTGTATTATATAGATAAGAAGATAGTTACTAAGTATTAGAATACTATTTAAAGTTAAGCACGAAGCTCTTATCTAATAGTAGATATACTAGTCTTATATAGGACTTTCGTTCGCCTTAGATCTCTTAAGATACTAGATCCTTAGATCCTTAGATCCGTTTTCTTATAAGGGGATCCAGGGATCCAGGGATCTATCACATGACTTATTATCTACTATGATCCAGGTAACTATTACTACTGAAGCGTGAGTGTATAGTAGTACTACTCGCTTATCCTGTTATTATTCCCTAGCTAGTACTACCTTATCAGTAGTACTGCTCCCTCGTTAGTACTAATGCCCCTATAGTACCACTGATAGTCTTATTATTATATAGGTGCCAACTGAACTGTAGCGCCAAGGGGTCCGTAACACTTAAGCGAGGAATATTAAGGTAAATAAGTATCTAGACCAGATTCTACGCTAAGTAGGACTAGTTATACGCCGGTGCGGGAGCTAAAGAGTAGCTCTACCGTGTAAAAGGGTAACTGAAGTGTAGGGGAAAATAGCTCTATACTATATAATAGGAGCGATATTAGGTTACCGGATTCCACTTAGATATTAATTCCATACTAAAACACGGCAATTCCCGTGTTAATTCCAGGATCCGGATCCAACGACGAACCTCGCTTAGCTCTACTACTGTTCGACGCTAATACGCAGCGTACTAAAGATAATAACACAGTTACGTAATACGAACGCACTTAAAGGAGTGACGTAATAAATACCTCACGGCGTATATATAACGTAATAGAGCGTGCGAAGGTATATATAAGTAAAGCGCAGGCCTCTTAAAGAGAGTATACGAATCATTCGAAATAAGACGTCGATTTTACTCTAGGAGATCACGTGTAGTTATATACGGAAAACCTTAAGTCGATACGGCCCTTAAAGAAGCTAGACTTTATTAAGCGAGGTCCTTATAAGGTTATACGATAAGTAGGCTACGCCTACGAGTTAGAATTACCTCCTTCGATAAAAATCTACCTTATTATTAACTCCTCTTAATTACGGAAAGCGTATAAGCGAGCTAACGACGAATTAAATATCACTGACGCTATGGATAATGTAGAATACGAAGAAAACGAATACGAGCTAGTTCGTATACTAGCTCATCGTTATTACAACGATACGATATAATATCAAGTAGAGTGAAAAGACTACCCCCCTGATAACATGTGGTACGATATAAACGGCTTTAGTAATTTAGCTAAAGCTATATACGACTATTATAAAATTAATAGCGGGAGACCTCTTAGCTAATCAAAACTCGCCTTTAACGCTCTATTATAAAACAACGATTTTACTTTTATAAGTAACTATCTTATGAGTGAATTAGAAGCTAAGGATTAGCTAGAATAGCCTATTACAGCTATAACCCTAGTCGATGATTCCGAGTTAACTAATATCGACGAACTAGAGCTTAGATTCCCTGCTCTAGAGCTTACGCCGTAACAAGCTTTAGAAGCTAGCGAATTAGCTTCTTTATTACTAGTGTATTTACTTCACCTCGCTAAGCCTATGGCTCGATTCTTTGCTAAGCTAGATAGTGTAGCGAACCCCTTTTATCAGGTATTTAACGAAAAGCTCCTAACGCTAGACGCTTATAAGTCGAATTATAAGCTATAAGGCTTAAAGCCTAATAGGGAGCGTATTACAACCTACGTACGAGCCTGGAACCGAAAACTCGTCGAAATCGCCTGTATTATAATACAGATAGAGAAGGCTTAGCGAAAGGCTAGTCCTAATAAGGAACGAGCGGTCCAGGAATATCTAGTGAATATACACTATTTACAGTTATAAGACTACTAGCGTTGTAAAAGTACTTTATTTTATTTACTTATTAGTTTGATTTTATACGTGTTTTACTTATTTTTATTTCTAATATCTAATAATCACTTCTACTTTGTTTTTTTAATTGTTTTATTACGCTTTTAAGCTTATAACTCGATTTTTTCAAAGGGGGAGGTGATATAAAGGTAGTAGTAACCACTTCTTTACTATACCTGATTAGGAAGAGTCTAGAGCTCGGTAAAGCTCGGTAAGACTCGGTGGAGCTCGGTTAACTCTGAAGGGGTTTACCGACAGTTACCTACTTAGTTATACGTAAAGGGAAATAGCTCTACGCTACTACAGGAGTTTACGTTAAGTTTTACGTCAAATGTAATTAGTCCTAATCGGGAATAGCCCGGGGAATTTGTCTATATAGGCTCGAGCGCCCTCCACGGAATCGAGGGCTCCTCAGCTTGATATTCGCGCTAATAGAGAGGTTATCACCTGATCCGTGGTTATTTCGCTCACGTGCTAGCTAACGCTAAACCGTGCTATTACACGACGGATTTTTGTTCTGTAAACGTAGAATCGTTCTAACTGCTTATCTTATTAAGGAACACTTTATAGCTTATTAATTAAAGTTGTGGTTTTAAAATACTAGAGTCGATTCCGGTGCGATTTTTAGTCTACCGCGCGAACGCTAGTGATACCTTAGCTTTAGCAGGTATACTTCTCCCTGAAGGAATAATTAGTACTTAATATAAATACTACTATTAGATAGAAAAATAGATTACCGAGGTCCTATAGTATATATGAAGGTATTCTGATTAGTATATGTTAAGATATTTTAATATAGCTGAAAATCGAAACTCGATTTGGCCGCGCGACCACATAAATTAATACTATTTTCCCTTAGACGCTTCGCAGCTCGCAACTGTAGACGCACAGACCTCCTTCCTAATAAGGTTAGGTCGGGGTGTCCACGTAGAGAGCAAGCGAGGCGTCTGATTTACTGAGATAACTTTCGCCGTTTTGGCTTAGCAACGTCACTAGGGTGGCTTGGCGCGGCTCATCTGAATCTGAACAGCTTGATGGCGACGGCGAACTTAAATCGCAGACGGTCGCATCGCCTCTCTTCAACAACATCAAGGTCGAGATCAACACCCCGTCTACCTTGCAAGCAATTTGCGCGTCTATTTTGCCTTCTTGACATACAGACAGTGTAATTATCCTGCCTGGAAGAGTAGCTTCTCAAGATGTCTCGTGGAGGAACAACTCTCTATGTTACTGTAAGTACACGCCTGTTCTCTGACCTCTGGGCCTCCTCTGCTCTGCTTTGCCCTTCTGTTGCTCTCAAACACTCCTCCCTCAGGCGTGCAGCACATGTCGAAGAAATATAAATACAGGCATAAGTACAAGGCACACGAAAACTGATCTGATAAAATACAGGGCTTCGGACCCGGCACTCGAGCTCGCGACCTTGCCTACGAATTCGAACGGTATGTCAGTCAACGTCGATGTTTCGATGATCACCTTCGAGTGCGATGAATTATACACCTACATACCTCCCCCACATATCTACGTCCTTCCTCGTCGAGACTTCGCTGTCACTCACACCCGTCTCTTGTCCGCGCTTCGTACCTCCCTATCCGTCGACTGAAGCCGTCGCACAATGGCTCGGCCATTGTCTCTGTACTTTTCCTCTCACGAGCACCAAACAACGGCGGATCGGGCTTCTTGCAATCATGTTCTGCTCTTTTACTCTTTGCATCCTTCCTTGCCCTCAGAATATGAACACGGGGAACTGACACGGAGACTCGCAGCTATGGTCGTCTTGTCCGCTGCGATATTCCAGCACCTCGTACCGCCCAAAGCCGCCTGTTAGTATACCCAAGTCTGCCTTGAAGTATCTTCTAATATGGTTGACACTTGAAGCAGGTTTGCATTTGTTGAGTACGAGAGCCGCCGTGATGCCGATGATGCCTACCACGAGATGCACAACAAACGCCTTGCTCGCGATGATCTGTTGAAAATTGAGGTAAGATCAATTACTATATATCCCTTGTCCGTAGACTGACACAACGCTAGTGGGCCCGTACTCCTCCATCTGCTTCCTGGCGCTTCGATACTGGCCGTGAGCGTGAACGTGCTCCAGCTGGACGTCGTTCCTCTCCTCGCCGTGGCGGCCGTTCCCCATCCCCTCGCCGTGGCCGTGGGGACTACTCTCCACGTAAAGACGACCGCCGTGACCGAGAATACGACCGCCGTGACCGGGACCGCTCTCGTAGCCCAGAGGATAGGTCAACATCACTGCCTGCTTTGTCCACTGCAACTACTGACTGGTCCAGGGACCGTGATGTGAAGGACGACCATGATCGTGAGGAGGGTCGCGAAAATGGCACCAACGGAGACGATAGGAAAGGTGAATTTGAACTTCCAAGTCGTCACAAGAACTAAACTCGCTGATACCCTACCCGAAGTTACCTTGGAATCTCCCCCACAAACTCACGATGAGCTGGACACAGCTGAGTAATAGGTCGGCCCATATCCCCGAGGCGTATATTTTCGGCGAAAAGTTACCATGCTGCCTTTGGGTTCCTCTCTTTTTCCTTTGCAAGCAAATTATGACTTCACTTTTGTGTTTCTAGATATGTTGCCCCCGCGTTGGCCCACGATTCGATTCCAATCGAGCGAGCATACAACTCGGCGGCACCCTGGAATTTGAGAACTCGAACGGCAATGTTAGTAATAGCTAGTAGATAGCAGAAACAAAATTGAACAATGGAGCTTCTGATTTTGTAATAAGCACAATTGCAGGCACGGTTATCATGCAGAGCGCCCAGGATGGATAACTAGATAGGCAGTGGCAGTTTAGGCTTGAGAGCACTCGATCCTCTGGAAAGGAGTACGCTTGAATGAATTCGCGTCGTAATCACTGGCTTATTCCCGGGATGTAAAAAAGGAGTAGAGCTTCCATCTTCTAATTTGCTTCGTAGTATCGCTGTTTTTGGCCATCGGAGTCTTGACAAAGGCTACAACTCCTAAGAGATCCAGTTTAAGACTGCTGATAATCTGTGTGTGTCTAGACACATTTTCTTGCTAGGAGGCAATCGCAGTCAGAAGTCTTCGTAATTCTATCTGCGAATAATTGGCCTTTTGGCAGTTGCCAGGTGTAATCTGCTCTTTTCTAAGTCTATTTGCTTCCTTGACCTGTCCGAGCGTTGCGATGTCTCGATAGCAACTGGCTCATCATGAAATGAGAGACATCTTCATCGGCCCAATAAGCAAGATGGCTTGCGATAGTACTGTCTTTTATTTAGCATGAGCGGTGTATGGATCGAAAGGAATAATTTACTTCATTGGATTGAAATCGAGAACACTCCTTAAGCGCCAGTTAGTATTTCCAGAATCTTGGTCATGGGTGAATAAAGGCTCACTCCTGAATGCTATAATCAACCCTGCCATTCGAATTCAGTGCTCTAACTTTAGCTTCCTCCCTTCTCAACTTCCGCCCCCTTGTCTCAGCCTCAGAATAGTCCTCTGCCGCATCACTTGTACTTTCTCTCCTCTTTTGAAAGCCTGCGTAGAGCGTCTCGATCTCGTCATCAATCAAAGTGGGAGCGTTGGCGCCAGTCCCTTCTCTGTCCGCAGCTTGTGTCTCCTGAGCAAGCACCTTCTTCTTCTCATTGGCGCTTTCTCTTGGGAGACTAGGTACAGGCACATCATGAGAGATTACGCCACCGGTTGAGATGTTCGTTCCAGCACCGAGAGGATTGGCTGCGCCGCGCTGGGGTGTTGGAGCCTCCATGCGGGCTACATCATCGCTCGTAAGCCCTAGGCTCCTGTTCAGGAGACTGCTGGCTATACCTGAGCTCCTGGGTAGACGGAAGATAGATCAGTATTAAATCTGGACAGTGTTGAGAACGAGATGACACAAGTCTCAGGAGAGGAGAAACTGGCTGAGAGAGGGAAACTAGAGGCTCCCCGATGAACTTACAAGCTGGTCCAGAGCCCGCTTACACTTTGGCCCACTTTAGCACCTATTCCACTAACACTGGCAGAAATTGTTTTCTTGGTATATGGTAGCAATTGAGGTTTGAGAGAAGACATGGCAGGAGCAATGAGGGGTTCTAGCCTGTAAGCAATCGGATCGCTTGGATGCTATAAGAAAAAGCATCAGTATCAGATGCCCGTCAGCCTCGCTCATAAAACCACTCACAAAGATGTTATATAGCTGACTAGCTTTTGGTGATGATACTATGAGTGGCAGGCCAGTAACAGATGATATATTCTCACCAGAAGCGAAGCCAAGAAAAGGGTCTTGCATATCTTCTGGATCCACTGAAGGGAATTAGTACTTCATGACTAGAACAATGGAGCCGAGACACTTTACTTGGTGATTCGGCAGGGACTGCATCCTCCCTCTGATGGCGTCCAAGAATGCTTCTTCCTTTAAGCATCTGAAAAAGTCCAATCGGAGATCCGAGGCAGTAGAAGTCCTCAACCAGGAACTTAAGGTTAAGATCTTTAACCTGTGATTTGCTGCTGGGATGATCCCGGCCTTTGTGGCGACTGCCAGTATTCAGTGCCGCTTCTTTTTGCCGGCATAAAATATCGAAGAAGATAGCAGAGCCGAGCGAATGGCCTATTAGGCTTACTTTGCCACTGAAAGTAGGGTTGCGTTCAAGGAAGAGGTCGTACACTCGATTTGACTCTGCTGTCACCAGCTACTCTGCCGTCAGTACATGTGTCTCAAAGATCTTTCGAGCATACGGTCACCAAGCAACCGGCTGAGTGCAGATGCTTTATGACGATACAGTTAGGGCATAGAATTACCTGAGTGATATGCTCGCGATATGCACTCTGATAGAGCAAGATATCGAGAGCTAGGTCAGTGATGAGGGAACGAACAAAAGGCACCCCCTCTACTGTGATGTCTTCTAAGCTCGGATACTCCTCCTCGTCTCCATAGGCATCACCGAGGTCGTGTTCTCTCCGGTTCTGTCGGACACCCTTCCTTGGGAAATCCAAGAGATGGCGCCAACAAACGGGAAGTACCTGAATCCGACCTGAGCTGAATCTTAGCACTGTTTGTCACTTCTAAACATACAACGAAGGAGCGATACAGTTCTTGGGAAGCTTGTCAATCTCGGAATTGAGTGCTTGTAGATCGGCACTACTCCCGTAAACGTTTTTTAAGGTCTTTCGCAAGACGTTCACATCATGAACGAAGTTGACAGATTCTGTTCTACGAATCGCCGTCAGCTTACTTCCCTCTGGTCAAAGCCGCAGCACTTACCTCATGCCTAGTCTTTGGCCGATCTACGAATCAACCAGTTAGCATTTTCTGGGTGGCTACTACGTAAGTTCTACAAGGAAATTTGAAAAGGCTTGTAGTAAATATGGAGATATGCGTAGAGTAAATGATTTGGGAAGTGTACGTGAGTTTCGGCAACTTTTACAGGGCCATGTGAATCGAGGCCGAGATGAGACATACCCCATGTGTGACCAGAATTAGATGGTCAATCTCTCTTCCTTGATTCTCGCCATCTCGTCCATTGTAGTCGTTCTGTATTTCTTTTTCATCCCGCTTTCTGACAGCCTCTGCCTCCATATCCGTGTCGACTCCTCCAGATAAAGCAGCAATCGTGGATTCTTCGATTCCTTCTGCCTCGTGACGGCTCGTACTCGGAGGAGCTGAGCGCCTCTTGAGCAACTTCTGCTGCTTGGCATCGATTTGCAGCTCCGGGGGTATATTCGAACCATTGATTGCAGCACTAGTCGGCGTATTCGGTGTTTTGTCTTCCTTCTTTCCTTCGGAATAGCCACGAACCAGCTTGATGCCAGACAGATATGCTCCACCTGCGAATCGCTCGTATACACTGCTACTAACTCTTGACATAATGGAGTCCACCGACAGCCATGCTACTGTTGAGTCTTGGTAGGTTACAATTGAGTTCATATACGTTCCGAAAAGACGATAACTCTGTGGCTGTTGAGCGTTCAGTGGAGGAACATCTTTCATCCTGTTATGAGCATCATCGTCAAGCGCTTGTTGATTGGCGGCCCTTAGATTCTCGGCAGAAGCCTTGGGGGTAACCTCGCCAGATCCAGCACGATTCCGGCTGAATGCCCCGGAAAGCGCCAGAGATCTGGGCTCTTCTCCTGTCCTGGTATTCGGTTTCTCTGGAGCCTTGCCTGGTTATTCAGCAAGCGATACTCTTTTGAACATCACGTACATGTTTGCAACGAATCTATGGGGCAGAGAAGATCAATTGTACCAAACTAAACTTACCTTTGCGTACCGAAATGGCATAATCTTCAAATACCCTTCTTCCAATTGAAAGGCTAAGTTTTCTTCACAAGGCCGCAGTGTTGAGCCTTCTTGGTAGAACCATGAGCCACGACGGACCTCGTAGATCGGCCCAAGCCAGTACAACGGACTCAGTTCTCGTTGCTCGATGTCCACATCGAACAAGAAATCTTCCTGAACTGGTACCCTGATTTTACCACCAGCATTTGTATCCTGTCCTGCCTCATCTATGCTTGTATTTGGTTTCTTGCCAGAAGCCGATGTTGACATGCCACTGGCATAATCATCCGCCTTCTGGCGTGCATCTCTAATAGGATCATCGTATTCGTCTGCAAGTTTCTGATATACGGTTTCGATCGAACGACTATCGTGAAGAGAAAATGGGACAAATTTCTTTGGCACCCCTGGTGGCTTTGCGTTTTCTTCAGTATTCTTTAACAGCTTCGGTTTTCTCTTGGGTATCTGGTGTCGTGGTGTTAGCTTATATACCAGTGGCCATTGTGGCGCAATGCAGCCATGCACACACATCTACAGCATGAAACCACCTAGTATTCAACGCAGGGCAGTCGGGTGGGTATCTCTTCGAGCTGAATCCGTGCCAGTTCTGTATTGTGTGGTCTCCTCCCCGTTGATGCTTGAACCCGGAGCCTTTTCCGAGAACAGCGGCAGATGTAGGTTTGGGCGTAGAGGAGCGAGAGCCACCCCATGGGGAGATCGAGTCGACGGCTGTGGACAGGTAGGACTTCTCCGGCTTCTCAGGCCTGTTTTCGGCCATGGGCTCCAGCTTGCTGCCTCCGCGGTCAAAGCGACTGGCCACGTCCGCCTTACGCGTCCAATCGAGGGAGGAAGCAGCTCTGAAAACACCTGCCGGTAAATACTTAGGTAAGTTCTTCGCTTGCTGCGCAAGGCTTCTCAGGTATTCGGCCAACTTGACGGTTTGTGTTGGAGAAAGGAGATAGATTGCAATGGCGTAGCGAGACACGAAGTACAGGGCGGCGTCTCGCGAATTCAGATGACAGACAGCAAGTCATAGCCGCGCTTGCCTGCAGGTTTTGAAACACAGCTGGGGGCGAGGGGGGATAAGTCGCTGTCGTGCCGTGTCGTGTTATGTTAGGATTGTGCTCACAGACGATTGATACTCTAGGTACGAGTACTGTACCTAAGGTAGAGGGTAGTTATCTATTGAGAACTCACCAGCTCACCCATGATGGTGGCGGTGGCAGCTGCAAGGCTGGTCTGACAGGGATATAGGACAGGCTAACGCTACCTTCTCTAGCTTCTACTACGAGTTCTTACCTACCTTAGCTCGTCAGGTGAATGCAGCAAATACAGTACAGTACAGTACAGTACCAAGGTACCTTGAGTATGATGATAGTATCTAGCTCAAGGCTTACCCTACTTTCCTGTGACCAAAGATTATCTATCATCCGACTTCTGTCTTCTGCAGAAAGTGCTGCCCAGGACTAATCAGTCGGATGAGAGCTTCGCGGATCCTGATGATCTCACTGTGATTCGCATACTAAGTTAGTGTATGAAATCTGCCGGCAAACTTGCCGCTCGATCCAACCCAACCTTTGCCGTTTTGCCTTGCAAACCCCCAGAGCGCAGCACACTTTACACTGTATTTGGACCGATCGCATACAGCTGTGCAGCTATATGCACCCAACCATTTTACTCTACTTAGACTCGAACATCAACCAAGGTCAAGTGCATGCTTTGGCCATTGCAATTTTTCAATGAGGGTGTCGATTTTCTAACAGGGGTATATGAACAAAATTCCGAAAAAGGGGGACGAAAGATAATTCACCCACACAGGACTGTACCTTATGTGGCAATGGTGGTTGCTTGATCATATAATCAAGTACAACGAGCAAAGGAGACTTGGCCCAGTGAAGATGCCAACCCAGAATATCAAGTTACCCAAAGTCGCTCGGCCCTTTAGCCAGCGTGTGCGGCTCAGTGACACTAGAGGGAGTTGCATCATCTGCAGAAAGAGCAGGTATCCACGTAATTTTTTGAACAGACACCACATGACAAGTTCATCTAATTGAAGGTCAGCTAGATTGATGTAGGCATTGTGGAATTCTATAAAACTTACGAACGCATGCACTGAGGAAGAAGGTGATCAGAGTGGCAGTCTTCTTGTTGACTTGCATTGAGGAGATTGACGAATGGTAGACGTGGCGCAGAAGAAAGTTGTGTACCTAATCAAATGTCAATTACTCTCCCAGGTGCATGCCGAATGGGTTGGCTCACCGGTCTGTTCCAATCCCGAGCGAATTGATCCCAAGAAACGCTATTCCACCAGTCCGCATAAAATCCACGGTCCGCGAAATAGGTGACTTCCGCCAGAACATTGAGAATCAGCTCCCAGATCACATACCACGACTGGCAGGTCAGCACAGATGTTGATTTCAGAACGATTTCATAACTGGCAACTCACGAGCATGTATTCCGTCATGAATGGGAACATCAAATCACTGAGAATCCATGGGAAGACTCTCAGTCGCTCTGACAGGGTCATACCAGCTTCCTTCATATCAAGTGCGCGAACTACGACGGGGTAGATGTACGACTGGCTGACAAGGTTCATGATTACCTCAAGGCTTGTTAGAATCGTTTCGGACCAAAGCGTGCGGGGACGTTCGGAATTCGTTTTTAAAAAGGATTGCTCACCAGGACACCAAACACTGCAACAACTTTCTCCGCGACATAGTACCAGCTGATGCTATCTGAACGAGGATACTCGAGTTCGTAGACCAAAGTCGGTAACACGATGTATTCATAGTGATTGGCCAGAGTCAAGTTGCCAGGATAGGAATTAGCTATACTGGTGGACTTTCCTTTCAAGTCTTCTGATAGGGCATCAATCTCCCATTTCATGATGCGGGCAAAGGTTTGGATTTGATCCACGTCGAGAGGCTCTCCAGATTCGATAGCAGCAGCAACCTCTCTGAGCTTCGAGTCCCCGTCCATTGAACTTCTTCTGTATTGTCTTCGTTGATTTAGGTCAGATGCAGTCGGTCTGTGATCAAGATATGAAGTGGATAACGAGGACACCTTGGGTGTCGTCTCTGAAGGAGTTTGTGCGGGTTCAGTATTGTCCAACTGCTTCAGCTTACACTGCAAAGTCTGGCGCGATTTGTACACTTCGGAGAGGTGACCATTGTCTAGGTGAATATTAGCAGCTAGACAGCATATGCTTGGTGCTCCCAAGCACTTACAGAATGCATATGAATGTTGTTTCATTAGCATAACAAGGCCGTGAAGCACAAAAAATACCGTGTGCGTCCAGGGCCATTCTCTAAATAACGTCCACCCAAGAACGAGTATGAGGAAGCATACCTCCCAGCTCTGGCAGATATGTGAGTACTACATCAATGATTCACTTGCTAATGGGCTTACACTTTGAATGATCCATCCTTCTCTATCCCAATTAATAACTCCCGCCTTGACGAGCTTCTGAAGAACCAGCCCGAAGCCGGTAGCGGCGCACATAGCTCCATCGGAAAGACCAAGCACCATGACATCTCGATGAAACATAATACCAGCGATCTCATTTGTGCCCCAGAAATTCCCATGTTTGATCCAGTTCTCGGCAGCTAGTCTTGCGCAATCTGAAATTTAAGTCAGCACTTACTCGCATCGAGTAAAAATTGTAGCTTAACAGCAGGCGTACTTCTAACATGGAAGCCCCTTTTCCAAGAGAGAACAGAAGACCCCACAGGGTTTAGATGTTCAAACAGGTAAATGAATAGTAGCACTTACAAATGGCAGTTCCGAGCCAGAAGAGTGTAAAGAATCCATGGAAAGGAGAATCTGCACTAGCTGAGTTTTGGCGATCAAAAGCTGTGAACTGGCGAGTGAAAACCAGGTCGCTGAACTTCTTCCTTCTCTTCCTGTCCGGATACTTCTCCTAATAACAATTAGCATGACATGACCTCAGTGTCCTACTAAGCTTCTGTATAGTCTGACAAGACAGCTTCCAAGATTGAATCTTCCTCGATGAGCTCAAGACCAGGGCCAATACCATGAGCAGCGGGTTCATCATGCTTCGTTTGTATGATGCAGGAATAAAGGCTTACTCGTTCAATCCCAACTCTTAAAATCTCCCTTAGTGCGTCATCATCCGCAGTTAGAATGTAGCGTCCTTTCTCATTCAGTTTATTGAGAGTTACCGGAATACTCTTCAATCTTGTCGGAGACGGTCGTGCCTTGATAGGTACTTTGATTTCCTCGTAGGTTCTATTTCCGTTGACTCCAAGCCTTGACTGCTCCCCCTGCTCCTTCTCAAAGCCGCCACCCTTACTTCCAACAATAACAGCAGAGGGTTCGGGCTTCAATGCATCATAGTCTTCTTCGGAGCTGTCAGAGGTCGTGTAGCCAGAGCTGTCTCTTCTCGAATCTGTTGCTTCCAGAGCAGCTTTTAGAGATCGCGGAGGATGTGAGCGGCTTGGGAGAAGATAGTTGGGGTCGGCCTGGAGTTCGGCGATCCCATCTGTACCAAGCTGGCCGACTAACTGTAGAGCATCCCTCGAAGGGGACCGGCTGATGGGTTTCAACGCCGAACTCGCGGGCGAGTCTCGAGGCATTCTTTGAGGCTCTAGAGAAGGTTCTTCGGTATGAAGCAAATCGATGAGATTGAAATATTTTGAGATGGCGGTCTGGTAAGTTGGAAAGATGGATCTCAAAAAGAGACGCAGCTTCCACTGTGGCGACAGCTTAAACTCTGTGGAATGTCAGGCCAGATCAGAACAGCAGCTAGGATCCATTTGTCTAAAGAGCTGTTAGATGTGGTTTGTAGAAAGAGGGGCGAGATTGAAACTGAACAAGGACTTGTACTGTAGAAGTACGATGTTGATGTTGTTCTGCCGAAATGTGGCTGACAGCGATCAATGGGGCGCAACCAGAGCCCACGTAAGCTGAGCCGCGGATGATCAAACAAGGTTGCATTGGGCAGCTCGATCTACTCGTAGCTTGGATCAGCGTGGGACGACACTGTTGAGGGTGCTGCTGCGTCCTGTCCTTTATAATTGTTTCCGAGGCGCGTGATAGAAGTTTTGTTGCTGGATCGGATCGGAAACTTCGGCAACTTCAGGAACACTAACACTGTGTCCTCTGGAGGACGACTCGCGAGAGGAGCTGAGAGCGACGAGTGGCAGTATATGAGAACGGGAACGGGAACGGGGTTGAGCCGACGAGCTGAGTCGAGAGGCCGATCAAAGCGGAGTTTTTGGCGAGCACAGGCTGACTACAGTTACAAGCCACCAGAGGTAGCTAAAGTAAATTTACAATACAGTACATTACAATAAATGCCCTTACCTGGCCTGGGTCTGACAGATTGCTAATCTACCTTGGGCTGTGCTAGAAGAATCTCACTATGATCGGTTGAATCTGAAGCGACCTCAGCGAGGAAATCGAAGGAAAAGAGCGAAACAAAACAGGAAACAAAGACGACACGGATCTCGAGAGTCAGAGCAGGGCCTCTTCGCAGGCTAGCTCAGAGTGATGCACCTTGGGCAAGTCCTCGGCATTGGTCCCTCTTTTCTGACATTCAAGACTTGATCTGGTCTGACCTAACCTACGCTGTACCTCGTTTTCTACCTTCCTGGGGTCACTGGTTATTCATTACGCTTCAGTACAAAACATGAAATGCCGAATTCCGTCACTTTCGGCAGTTTTGCGTATCATCGTAAGCTTGTAAGTGTATGAACGCCCATGTCAAATTTCTGCACAAAAGTGTGAGCTTGAACATCGGAGTCTGGCTGTGAGCTCCTCCGGAAGTTACTATCTCCCTGGGTTCTGTGCTTTCCACAGCACCCTTCTCTCATCCTGACTTTCAGTAGTCCTTGCCACCCCAGCAAACAACTTTTCCCATATCAATAAAGTTGCAATGTTTGGTTGAAGGGGAAGGAGGGGAAGCAACTATAAGAGCGCAAGTGCCACAGATCATACGATGGACCATGGATACGCAAGCCAATTCTCGGCATTCCGGGCTGACAGAATCTTAGCATCGCTGGCAAGAGAAAACTGAATATGATTTATGGTATCTCAAACCCCCTGATAAGTAGAACGCTTTCGCGGTCAACCCCTAAGAAACCCCCCGGCTAGAAATTCTGCCCACAAATCGCCCATTTCCGCAGCCACCTCCTCCGCATTGCGTGCTTGTTCGTCCCTCAAAGCCCTAATATCAGCGGTTCCAACAGTCTCTCTTCCAACCTCGAGGCTTTCGGCAGCTCGGGTCACCTCATCTGGGAAAGCATCGGTTTCCAAGGATGAAGCAAGCCAGAGCAGAAGCCAGACAGCTTCCTGCTGGGATCTCTCGATAGCAACATGTAAGCCGGTCTTCATACCATCAAGAGGATCTTGGAATCTCAATAGCTCGGCTGGTGACATGTCGCCCTCGTCGGGTTCCTCTTGGAGTGCTTTCAGCAGCTCCACAACACCTGTAACATCACCTTCTCCACACATGGCTGAACAATCTGAGTTAATCACCAGGTATCGATAGGAAGAAATCACAAGGTGGAGCGACTCACTCATGAAAGCCCTGGCTGGTCTAGCAGCAGGATTAGCATCCAGATAGGCCTCTTCGGTAATTAGTGGCAGGATGTCAAGATTTTCTTGAAGACCACCTTCATTATGATATCTCGTGATGACTTGAGGCAGAGGCGATGCAGGTGGTACTATGGAGTTTGTAGCGGAAGGACCTGGGCGGGTTGATACGATGGAGTTTTGGCAAGCCGGGCAAGCGAGGTCAAGAGCGATTTGGGGAGACTCGTCGAGGAGACATTGCCTAGGAGAGGGTTAGCTGTGATCTCTGATTCTACCCGAAAACCACATATTGTTTCTTTAAGATCATCCACCTTTGAATAATTCCCCCCCTCCGCCCCCGCCGATTGACATGCCACTAGGCAAGTGAGTTCTGGAACTTACGATGAGAAGATCGATCATTTCCCGACTGGCAAAAATCTGTCTATTGGGCAGTAGATACGAGCTTGGTCTTGTTCAGCTTACCAGTGAAAGTGACAGCCGCATCTGAGGAGCAGGTCGTCTGGAGCGGAAGAGGCTTCACCAACAGATGAAGAGGTCTCTTCATCGAATGACTCCGGATCCAATTCGAGTACAAGCGGCTGCTCGCAAGATTTACATATAGGCATGCTGGCCATATAGACTTTTGTTATGGACAGGTGTGGGTACTAAATGTCGGCTGTTGCGTGTTGTTGATGTTTTGTTGAAGAGGGGTGAAAAAGTTTTAGAGAGCGCTTTATCGGAGACTTCCCCAGGACGGACCTCAAATGTCCTTTACTTGTGAATTTGCCGAAGGACGACAATTTCTTGCAATATCCACCTGTACAAATGAGATCAATTAAGTGTAGCTGATTCGCCTTCATCTAAGTTGGCCCTTGATTTGGCAAAATTCCAATTTATTCCTCTAACGCTCATGAGGACCTCCAGACAGCAATGTTGGGGCAAGAGTCGCGTATGCCTTCTGTGAATATTTTGATTTTGAGGTTCATCCCGCTGTATATCTTAGGAAACCGCATTCATTTTACTGCTAATGTATCAGCCTTGATAAGGCCTCTCTTTAAGTGCTGAGCCCCAACTCCATTCATTCATTCATTCATTCATTCATTCATTCTTGGGCCAGACTTGAAAGACTGCTCCATTGTATCTCGTATGCTCACTGCTTTAGCTGCGAGATGTATTTCGTGTGTGAGGCTGTTGCAACCAATGGTCCTGGACTGCCATCAACCAGCTTGCAAATCCTGATCGTCGTGAAAGCCACCGATCTTCCCACCTTGTTTGCAAGAGCCTGGATCTCAATTGTCTCCCCAGCTTGGGCAGTTCCAATGAAGGTAACATGGATGTCTATGCTCGCGCCTGTCTTTTCCAACCCGTGCGTAGCAATAGCCAGGCCTCCGCTCCAATCCACCAAGGCTGCGCTCACTGCTCCATGTATTGTTCCGCGAGAGTTGACGTGATTCTTTCCCAGAGTCAGATGGGCGGTGATGCTGCCCTGAGAAGCTGAAATTAGCGTGACGTCCGAAAGAAGGAAGTCGTAGATGGGACTGTTCCCTCGCATCCGCTCCCAGACGCCATTAACATGATCAAGTTTTGTCGACGAAGCCATTGCTATGGTGTTTGTGTTTATTTTTGGTTCGGAGGGATGCCTGGAGCAGGTGACGTGGGATCACAATCTTGGGAAGTTGTCGAATGTCCAGCGTCGTCAGCAGCGGCCAAGCTGTCGCTCGCAACTTCGAATGCCAAGTGATAGAAAAAGGGATCGTTCAGTAGCCTCTTCTTCGTTGGAGAATGATCCGGGGATGCTGGATGCTGGATGCTGGATGCTGGATGCTGGAGGCAGGTTACAGCTGGAGATGGTATTTACCAACGCTGCGAAGTTATTATACTGACCTCTCCTCCGCATGGCACTTAACAGTCCAGGCCGAAGCACTGGCTTTGGCTTGGTCGTCGCTGTCATTGCCTGAACTTACGTGGTTGCGGGGCGAAGTTGAAGTGGGGTGGGCGTGGCATCGATGGCACTCCCTTCCATCTTCTCTTCTTGCTCCTGTTCGTCTTCCACTCCCTCTTTTCACTCTCACTCTCGCTCACATATACTACATCGCATCACCCTCTTCCACCACCTCGCCCACGAGATACATTGCATTCACCGTAGGAGGCTGCTACCAAACCTTTGAACACGGGCTTTGTCTTGCGACAATAAGCTTTAATAACCAACCCCTCAATCTACCCCTCGATTGGCGCATTGCAACTTCATTATCCAACAACAAGGAGAGTATTGCACAGTAGGACGGGTACGATCCGACACACTGAGTTTTAGACCTTGAATTTACCATCATGAATGTCATTAAACTGCAGAAGTATGCTTTCCATCAAATCCAAAGGATTCGAAGCTGACGGTCGGCCACGACAGGAAATATCCTCAGTTTGCTCAAGATGAGATCTTTGGCCTGCAAGATGCATTCCGAAAGCTGGATATAGATGACAAGGGATACATTGATGAGGCCACGGCGATCAAGGCGACACAGACGAGTGAGAGACAACCATACGATGTTGTTCGACAGGCTTTGAAGGAGGTAGAGCTGGATTCCTCCAGACGAGTTGAACTCGATGATTACGTCGGAGTGAGTTATATTCCTACAGCAAAAGACATCTAGAGAGATGTGGAGGCTTTCCAACATGTTGAAGACGTTTTGTTCTGGGCCCCCTCGAAAAAGCTCCTGATGGAGAGTTACAAACCTGACCATCTTGTGCGGTTTTCGTATGCTATGGAGCTTATTTGCTACTCTTCTTCCGATAAATCAACCGAGCTGACCTTGTTATATAGCTCGTCTCCAAATTGAGAGAATCATCACCTGCCCAGAAACGTATTTCTACTGGGCCGGCCTCTCCGGCGCGCACAGGACTGGTCTCGCAGCAGACAGGTGGTGGACACGGCTCAAAAGGTAGCGTTAGTGGGCGAATTCAAGTGCAAGGCTCGTCTTCGAACGTCACTCATACAATCAACGAAGACGAGAGAACGGAGTTTACCCGTCACATCAACGCTGTGTTGGCAGGCGATCCAGACATTGGGAGCCGGCTGCCTTTCCCAACCGATACCTTCGAGATGTTCGATGAATGCAAGGATGGGCTGGTCTTGGCAAAGTTGATCAACGACAGTGTCCCTGATACTATTGATGAACGGGTGCTCAACCGTGCAGGAAAGAAAATCAGAACCCTGAATGCCTTCCACATGACAGAAAATAATAATATCGTCATCGAATCTGCGAAGGGTATTGGCTGTTCAGTAGTTAACATTGGAAGTGGAGACATTATCGAGGTGCGGGAGCATTTGATTCTTGGCTTGATTTGGCAAGTCATTCGAAGAGGTCTCCTGGGAAAGATCGATATCAAGCTCCACCCTGAGTTGTACAGACTTCTCGAGGAGGATGAGACCCTTGAACAGTTCTTAAGACTGCCCCCGGAGCAGATCCTTTTGAGATGGGTCAACTACCATCTGAAAGCAGCAAACTGGCCTCGCAGGTAGGAATGGTTCATTTCAGTAACGATTCCGGCTGACCTATTCACAGAGTCTCAAATTTCTCCACTGATGTAAAGGATGCAGAGAACTACACAGTTCTCCTCGCTCAAATTGCACCTGATCAATGTACCCGAGGCCCATTACAAACCCGTGACCTGCTACAAAGAGCAGAGCAAGTCCTCCAGAATGCCGATACTATTGGATGCCGCAAGTTTCTAACCCCAACTTCTCTTGTCGCGGGAAATCCAAAGCTCAATCTTGCTTTCGTTGCAAATTTGTTCAATACCCATCCTGCTTTAGATCCAATCACCGAGGAAGAGAAATTACAAGTCGATGATTTTGATGCTGAAGGCGAGCGAGAAGCTCGAGTCTTCACACTCTGGCTCAATAGTCTTGATGTTCAACCAGCTGTTAATTCTCTGTACGATGACCTACGAGATGGCACGATACTTCTACAGGCATATGACAAGGTTATCAAGGGCTCCGTCAACTGGCGACACGTGAACAAGGCTCCTGCGAACGGTGGGGAGATTTCGAGGTTCAAGGCAGTTGAGAATACAAATTATGCCATTGAACTCGGCAAGCAGAACCGATTCTCTCTTGTCGGTGTCCAAGGAGCAGATATCACAGATGGTCAACGCACATTGACACTTGGTCTCGTCTGGCAACTCATGCGAAAGGACATCTCCGAGACACTCTCTGCTCTTGCCCAACGACTTGGGAAGCGCGAAATCACAGATGCCGAGATGGTAAACTGGGCGAATGACATGTCTCGGAAGGGAGGCAAGAGCTCTTCGGTTCGCTCGTTCAAGGATTCTACTATTGGAACGGGCAACTTCCTCTTGGATGTCTTGAACGGAATGAAGAGCAGCTACGTTGATTACGACCTGGTCACACCTGGCAGAACCGATGATGACGCTTACCTGAACGCCAAGCTTAGTATCAGTATTGCCAGAAAGATGGGTGCCACTATTTGGCTGGTCCCAGAAGATATCTGCCAGGTCAGAAGTCGCCTGGTTACTACTTTCATTGGTGAGCCATATAACGTCCCCTCCTACCTGATGTTTAACTAAAATTTCTTAGGTTCATTAATGGCGACACATGAGAAGATGCAGTAAGGAAGATGTATTATGATGGGCGAGTAAGCCATTGGCTGTCAAGCAACGAAGCGCTGGTGGCAGGAGAAATTATTTCGGCGGATATCTGGCTATTCATGAGCAATAGAAGCAATTTCCAATGTCTAATGAGATCCTTGTGGGATTGTGCCTTTCGATGTTACATGATCATGTCCTATTCGCCGTGTTCGTTGCCTGCAATGCTTCCGGCTGTCATGGCATCACGATTAGGTTGTCATCACCTGATCGACCACGTGCATGAGAATGGAAAGAACTCTACCTTACCTTAAAGGAAAAAGCAGGTTCCGACCCACCGTGGGAGGGGCACGTTCCTAGAATAATTATTATATCACTGTTACAAAATTCTGGTAACTTTTAATTGACAGTCAATTGATAGTAATAAGAAATTCTTAGCAGTTGAAAGGTCGTTACTTCAGGAATGCCCCTCCCACAGTGGGTCGGAACCTGCCTTTTCCTTTAAGGTAGGTAGAGTCAGATGACAGGTTTTCTATGAGTTAGGTAACGGGCATGCGTTACACTTATGCTAGCAAGCAGATCACATGCTCATTCTGTAAAATACTAGAGAGCGGCCTTTCATTAACGCTCACATCTCACAGATCTCGATTGTTCCTCTGGCTAGGAGGATCGACTACGCTGCTCTCTTAGATACGCCGTTATACTGTACAGATGTTAATATGTCGTCCAGGGGCAACTGTGTGTAGTGTCTCGCACTTTCAAACACCCCGTCTCCAGATTACAGACCAAATCCTGCCTGGCGCCAGCCATCAATCATGACTCATCCAATACACCTGAGCAGCCTAGAAAGCATAAAGTTGATCTCCGTTCTCAAGCAAATATCCCAAATATACACCGCGCAATCAACACGTTTCACTCCTAAGCGTCGGGCTCTGTCTTTCATAGCATCACCCATTCGGTTCCTCGTTTCAAGAACTTATCCAAAAGCATCCCAACGTCCGTCAACACAAACCGGCATATGTAAAAACCGAAGAATTCGGCAGCATGACGTGTACATAATTCGAGCCCAACTTGCGTCTTGTCTGCATGTCTGAGGCCTGGGTCTTCGACTTGGCGTGCGATTTGGTCTAAGGTTTGAGTCAGTGACTTGGAAAAACCAAAACCTGGGGGCCGTCCTTACCTAAAGTTTGTGCAGCGTCGAAAAGCCTTGCCAACGCACTCATGTAGTTCGCATTGGGGCCAGAAAACTGGAGCTGTGTAACGTCCCTCTTTGCAAAGCGAACCTTGGCAACCGACGTCGAGGTCATTGGCAATGTTGCCATTGTCAGTCCCTCCCTTGGCCCGTCCACAGGCGTTTTGTTTGAGTAAGCGTTAGAGAGGCCAACTCCAGAATTTTTTGATCTCAATCTCCTCCAAGAAAACGAGGAGGATTTGCTCGACATGCTGCCCGATTTCGAGGTTACGTTGCTTGTCTCCGATTCTCCTCCAGTGGAGGCATCCTTGAACATACCTCCAGAGCCTTGAACGCCGACCTCATTTCCAAGTTTCTTCGTCAACGTCGCTTGCACTTGTTCAAGCACACCCTCCAGAGATTGCATCTCTTCAAGAACAGCGTCGGCATCAAAAGTATCCACTTGTGCAAGCTTCATCAGTGCCGCTGTGAGGAAATCACAATTTGCAATTTTGTCTTCCAACCCCTTAATCTTGACACCTTTCACCCGCCACACATCTCTTGGAATAAAGAGTTTGGTGGACAAGTATCCACCTCGAGGGTGCGCGATTGTTTGATACAGAGCTCGCATGAGCCAGAATGGTCGGAGAAGGAATTCAGTTGGGCATGGTTCGAGCGGTATCGGTGCCCCGGCACTTAGAGGACTAGGCGACCCTGGGCTCTCCGGGGAATGGATATCACTGTTGAACAGGTACATTCCGCCTGCAGGCATTCCATTCAATTTATCCTTAAAAGCGGCTGCAATTGGAGTTGGCAACGTAGGCATAGCAGGTAACTTCCCACTCGGATCCCTTCCAATGAATTGGGAACTCAGTGGTGTATTTGGTGACAGGTCAGACCCGCCGTCATCAACATTGGAGACTGATAAATTTCGGCTCTTCATATTTTTCAAGCTTGATGAAGAGAAATTCTTTCGCAGTCCGCCTCTTGACTGGCCACGGCCTGGTGAGCCAGATCGAGGCAACTGGTCACTCTCGTTGGTGAAGGTTTGGTGTAGAGTTGGCGTAGGACGCGAAAGAACCTCAATTGGACTTGTTGCGCCAGGAAAGGGAGACGAAGCTTGTCGTGCGGATTGGGGTATAGCCGGTCGACCTGGTACCACAGCCATGGGCTGCCGCTGTTGGGGCAGGTCAGCAGTCTTAGGGTGGTTGTGATCAGTGCTATTAGGTAGCCGTGGTGGCAGCATCGAAGGAGGAGCCTGGCTACTTGGCATCCTAGTTGTTGTCTCAATCTTGAGTTGTTTCGCATTTTGTCCTGAAAGACGCCTGCTTCGGACCCCTTGTGAGTTTGAGACCGGAATTGGCGGTGGCTGGTTTCCCTGGCTGGGGGGAGGTGGTAGAGCTTGGAGAGGCGGAGGGTGCATAGGTGGAGGTGTCTTAGATTGCAATGCAGGCAATTGAGGGAGCATCGATGCTTCAGTGACAGTCGAAAGTGACGTTCCTGCTGTAGTGGGGTTTGATCCTATCGAGCTGTTCCACGTCCTACCGGAAAAGCCACTCGAATCGGATTCCCGAGGCAGGGCTGATTTTGATTGTAAGCCAAATTCGAAGTCATCCATCACATAACCCCTTGTCATCTCTTCCAGCATGCGTTCTTCTTCCTCCGATTCATTCCCTTCATAGTCGTCATCAAGGCCGTTCAATTGTTCTTGCTTCTTCTGTAGCAATCGTTTTCGTTCTTTGTCGCGCGCGGTGTGAATGGCTGCTTCACGTTCTGACTGGCGTACCCTTTCTTTCGCCAATTCTACCTTCCGTCTAACGTTGGCAACGATTTCGTCATCATCATCAAAGTCATACCGAGTGGGCTCTGCAGGATCCATTGGCTCAAAGCCCTCATCATAGGCAGCCTCAATTGCTGCGTCTAAGGCCGTATCAAATTCCGTCCCCGTGGCGCCATTTGGGGCTCGGATATATTTTCGTCGCAACCTCAACGATGATGATCTGGAATGAACAGATGAGGCGGCGGAATCACCAGATTCATCTATGGTATCTAGCCACGACATAGATTCATTACTGGGTACTCTATTGTGGCCTTTTGCTGGAGATACTCCTGAATGGGTAGTATTCAGAAGATCGGCGGATTGTTGTCCCTGGTGATTCAGTTGAGGGGCGAGAGTCAATGGCGAAGCCGGACGTCGAGGTGAGAGTGGAGGCGGCATGTACATGCTCTCCATTGGCGGCCCAAGTTGTACATCAGTCTCTGTGACTCGCTCTCTCATCGGCGATTTAGAGTACGACCGTCCGTATAAATCGGAAGGATTCTTGGGCCTGTACTGCAAGGTGTCTAATCCCGATTGCAGTAGTGATTCCCTGCGCTGAGGTAGCTGCGAGGCTGATATTGATCTGCTCTGTGGGGGTTCTGTGATGTAAGAAGGGTCATTCACGATTCTGGTAACCGTTGCCGTCTCAATAATGACTTGCTCTTCATCCTCATCCAAATCATGAACCTGATCCTCCCTACTCCTCCTTCCATCACTCTCGGGCCGAGCAGGTAAAGCCTTGCCGTCGTCTTCTAGATGAGGAGCGATCTTTTTCAGCTCACTGATGCGGCTCGTATACGTATTTCGCTAAAGAAGTTAATAATGTTTGATTTGCGAGGCGATCCAACCTACGATTGCTTCCAATTTTCGCCTATCGTCGTCTCCAGAACTTCGTAGCATTACCTGTTGGAGTAAAGTACAGGCCTCGGAGTAGGCCTGCATGGCCCCCTCGAAATTCTGCGCATTGTCGAGAAGTACAGCTGTGTTAGCTTTCTGCAGAGCTTTTGAAAGCATGGCTTTCTGGGAAGGTTGTTTAGAACTTCGATTTGAAGAGGAGCTGCCTTTGGTTTGTGAACGGTGCCGTGAGTGGCCCCTGGACCGCGGTCTTTCTTCCTCTTCTTCCCCGAATTGACGTCTACTGTCTGTCGAGAATGCAGACTGGAGAACTGGCGATGGTCCAAAATTCGCAGATCGAGACGTCGAAGGCGATCTCCTGTGCGAAAAGTCTCTAGGCCCCAACGACGAATCTTCCCAGCCTTTTCCGAAGTAGTCTACAGATCGAGCGGCAGCCGAAAGTATTTGGGCGGTGGAAGGCGATGGAGTAGTAGGTCCAGTCAGGGGAGAGGAATTGTTCATCAGGGACGTCTGCAGACTCGGTAAAGTATTGATTGGAGGGAGAGATATCGCAGGGGGGTCAAATGCCGGCCGAGTGACTTTGATCTGAGAGGTGGGGGAGGCTGTTGTCGAGGGGTGTGGTTTCTGCAACTTCCGAGGCGGGGATGATGTATCCAGGAACGACAATCCAGCACCTAGCGACATCCGTCTCGCAGATGAATTTGAACGCTTATGCGCGTGGCTGATAGTGCTGGAGTTCGTGGACTTCGACCAGCGATTGAGATTACCCCCCTGGGTGTCGGCAGAAGTCACAGGTCTCGAGCTGAGGGCATTGTGAGAGAGGGGCGGGGCGGCACGTTCACGGCTTCTGGGCCGAGCTGATGAGAACGAAGGGGATCTCTTGGGAGAAGCAGCAGAGCGATTCCCAGACGGTTCTACATGGAATGGTCGCGTGGAGTCGGCGAGGAGGTCCATCTCGAATCTCGAAGACCCTGGAGATTGCAGGTCCGCTGTCGTCGCGGGCGAGTATCTTCTAACCGAATCGAGCTAACCCTTTCCTCTAGACGTGCTCTTTGGCGACATGAAATGCTGCGGCCGCCGAAGAATAGGTAAAGTGCGTATCCCAAGCCGGAGATACGCCTGCGGGATAGAGAATCGGGTCTTGACAACACAATATGCTCCGTTATTGTTGTTGTTGTTGTTGTGGTTGTCGAGATGGCAGCAGCTCTGTGCGGGTTCGAAGCTTCGCGGTAGGTTGGTAGGAACAATACGGGTGGAAGGCACGATTGAAGCAAAGCGAGTACTTGGATGAAAAAGGAGTCTGTAAGATAATCGTTAGCGACTCCCATCTGCTTCCGAATCGCCAGTCTTTTGCTCAGATTCCTCTACATCGGAAGGAAACCCGCCAGAGTACCAAACCTACCTACCTACCTTGTGTACCTCGTCTTCGCCACGAGTCCTGCGGCTCAACTGATTTCTCTAGGATCTTATCTACACGTCTGGAACTGCATACATTTCGTAGTCGGTATCGCTGTGTCACAATGTCTGATCGATTTCCAACCGCAGGTATTTCGTAAGCCGTATGTCCGTGTCTATATCTTCTCCCTTGGTGCCTGTGTACCCTTCAGTAGCCACGACTTGATCGGTCAATCGTCTCGTCTCGCGCAGTCCGGCCGTGCTATTTCGAGCTGGCGAACTTCCATGCGCAACTGGAAGTCCGGTAGACAGGATAGTCAACGTGTTGCCGTGACGTCGCGAGCTCGAGAAGCAATGAATTGTTGGCGTTTAAATGGTGGGGAGAAGTATGGCGCTCTCAGGGTGGTCTCGCCTCGCATTACACAGGATGAAGCAGCGCCGAGGGCAAGCCGAAAAGGTCGCGTTAGATGGTGGTGGTATAGGTATAGGTATAGGTATAGGTATAGGTATTGATACGGGTCAAGATTGCCAATCGTAAGAGGCTCGGTTGAACGGTAATTTACTTGCAAATAGACTGTCTGGGTGGGGGGCTTGATTCTGTTCTGTCGTTCCCGTCGTGAGGCCACCCTCTCCAGCCTGGCAATTGTAGGAGTTAGGTTGTGTCCCAATGGTGCTGTGCTGTGCAGCCAAATAATGGGGGCTGGCGGCGGTGCGGTGCGTAAGTTACCTTGTCGTACGGACCAGACAGGGCAGACGCAGAGCAGAAGCAGACTACCTTACCTGCTTAAGGTACCTAGGCGAGTACTCCGTACCTCCGTACCTCCCTGCCTCCCTGCCTCCCTGCCTCCCTCCGTAAGGCAAACGTAGGACTCAGGGGCAAGGGATCGCCAGGGCCGTGAGCTCGTACCAACCCTGTCAGGTCCAGTGCCGTTCCAGAGTACTATCTTGTCTTGTCTTGTCTTGGCCTGTCCGTTTAGGTGGGGAAGATACAAAAGACTAGCCAGACCAGAGCACAAGCACAAGCACAAGCACAGAGCACATCAGGGGACAGTCATACCCAAGCCCGCCTACTCCCCCTCCTTTCCCCCTCTTTCCTTCTTCCAGGTTCCTATCTCGATCTCTGCCTCTGGTTGATGGGGACTATTCAAGACTCAGCCTTTCTAATCCACGGCGGCGGTAGCAGCAGCATGCAGCATGGTCTCGAATTATTCGTGGATGGTCTGGATATCTACAGAAGCATGAAGATGTGCTGATGGTATGAGTTCGCCTCGCTCCCAGTTAGTACATCTCGCTCGTGTCCGCAGTCCTTGCTCCTCTATGGGCACGGAACGTTCCTGTCTACGAGAGCAGCGAGTTTGATGCAGTTGTGTTCTCCTGGCACACCAACTTCTGCTTTCTCGGTCTGAAGCAAATCAGGTCCTCGGTTCGTTGCTAAACTATCCTTGCCAATATCGACTCTTGACATCCTTAGCTGTGGAGAGTAAGCTACGAGCTCTATCAACAATGACACATGGGCTTGGATGTGATTTCCCGAGAGCTACCTCCTCTAGGTAAGCCTTAACTGCATATTAATCCACTGCCTGGGGGAAGCAGTGAAAGACTTCGATATTTGGAACCTACCCTGACGCATAGGAGATTACCTTCCATCCGGTCCTGTCAGCGTTTGCCCCTCTCCTCGGCATACCTGCTGTAAATTCCTTGCAGCTCCATTAATTCAAGCCCTCCACATGTAATCCATACCTATGTACATTCGCGGTACCAGCAAGCGATCTTAAAGCTGCACGGGCTTGGGCGCGGCTCGAAGCTGTAGTTCCTGTTCTTGCTTGGGAATGGGGACAACGGATTATCAAAAGCTCCTGGGTTTTGTTTGTGCCACGAGCATGGCTTTGCTCCAAATTGTTGAACCAGCTTATCGAACATGTCCTGTTGTTGTCTCCATCAGGATCCGATTCAAACTCACCCTTGTCCACTTTCAATCTTCTTGCTCTTGTATCTTCTTGTCGAGTCCGGTGCTTTCCAGCGACGTGGGACTTACCTAAGTACGCTGCGTAAAAGGTAGTCGTGACCTGGGTGACAGCTTCCCGCATCACAACCCAACGCACACCGTCACGGCCTCACACCTATCTCGGATGGCTGCTCAGACTAGACACGGTATGTTTCAATTATACCGTTTCTTAAGTTCTGAGTCGGGCTGCACCTCTTCCCATAAAGTCAAAGCTTGTCCGCCCAAGACCCCAGCTGTCTGGAATCGTTTCATGCACGTCCGCTTACCACAATGCTATTCATCACTGTCACACAAGTACGAAGGGTACAGAAAAGCAAGCACAGAAGCGCTTGAAGTCTACTCTCAAGCCCTAGAGCAGCTCAGACATGTGGCACGTTAAATCTACATGCAAAGTACCAGCCTATCGACGACAGAAATATGTGGCAGGTTTTGGCGAATTTTCCTAAATGCAAATATCTCGTGATTTTCTCCCTGCACTCTGATTGAAGACAAGCTAAATGTTGAAGAGAAGATAAATATACTATTATAAAATTAAAAGTAAAAGTAAAGACTGAAATACTTACCAGAATCGCTGTGTGTTACGAGACAGGTACTCGTTACCTTGACTGTTGTCCTCCTCCGTGCCTTAATCGGCTACATGATTCTGTTGCACATAACCTTACTGTTGTACTACCTAGGTGGCCAAATTCCGGTTCTTGTGCAGCAGGGACTTACTCATTGTCACACGACTACATTCGTCCCAGCTTCGTAAGGTTGTCCTGATCCATACTCCCACGTGAACTTAACTTGACTTAAGGCCATTGGCCACCGTCTTTTATGATGTTCTTCATGGCACCAGCCGAGCCGTTTGAGGCTCCAAGATGGTAACGGAGACAGCCTTGCAGTAATTGCAAGCTCTGGATTGAGACAGTCTCGGTTTAGCTAGTGATGGGACGAAAGAGTCCCTTCACGAAGAATCTGCCTACTGTCTTGGCTGATATATTATGAACCAGTTGGATCAATCGTGTGCACCCCTCAGGCAGCTTGATTTGCGCGAGTGTACCTCAATCTAGCACAATATTTTTGCGAAGCTGGGCTCTTTGCTACTCACAGCCTGGGCCTCGATACAAACTTCAGTCGCAGGGCTTCCATTGCCACTTCATAATCTCTCCATATACATATATTATCAGAGAATAAGTCAGTCAAAATTCACGGCGCTGATGGGTTCCATCCCGGTGGCCGTTCAACATACAGGTATTGGCATAGCTGCTCATTTCCTCCTCTCGACTTGATGATACGCACTCATGGTAAGCTCAGAACCCCTCCTAATAGTTATGCCGATACTTCTTCCAAGCTGCATCAATGTCTAGGGCATTACCAGTGGCATGTGCAGGACAAGCCGGCTATATCGTATATTCAACTATTCACAATTGGTGTCAGGTATCGTCTCTTCCCTTCTGTACAAAGGAGTACGACTACAGCATCAGACCCCAAGGGCATCTCCCCAGAGCCAGCTATAACTCGCAGTCCCGCTAAGCTGGCCGCACCACACGGCCCAGCAGACACACCGTACTGTCCCAGCTCTGCAACTGCTCTATCCACTTCCGCATCTGTCGTTGTAACAGCAGCACGAATACCTGCGCTCAAAATCGGCCATCCGATCAATGAAATTGTACCACAACACATTCCAGTACAGATCGTGTACTCAGCTTCAATACTTGTTGGTTGCCCAGCTTCCAGACTGGTCTTCAGGCACGCAGCCATCTCTGGCTCAACCGTAACAACGATTGGCTTCTGTGCTCTCGGCGTTCGCTGGCAATGTGTCGTAACAGCCTGTGCTAAACCCCCAACTCCAACAGGTGTAATCACATGACTGATCTTCACGTCACCCGTGAAAGCAAAAATCTGCTCTTCAATCTCGTCAAGCAGAGTCTGATATCCTTCTACAATCCATCTCGCCGTCTCATCCTCAAAATCCAATGCCGTATCACTTATTAGTACGCCCTTCCCACCGGAATGTTGCTCAGCAGCCAACTTAGTTTTGACGACAGTCTGGTCATACGTCCCATCGACAACCTCGACCACTGCACCTTCGTTGGTAATCTTGCCTATTGTCTCAGCGTCCAGCATTTTGGGCACGAATATACGTGCATTGATACCGAGATACTTTGCCATGCGTGCTACGGCCCTGCCATGGTTGCCGTCGGTAGCTGCATAGAGCGTGATGTCTGCTGCTTGAGCTGCTGGTGCAAGTTGTTCCAGTGAGATGGGGAATGAAGATTGATCTAGCCACAGTTTCTTCTCTAATGAACATCTGGTAGCCCAACTCGCCTGTGTCATGTTAGGGTCGTTCCTTGGTATCGAACTCGTCGAGCGAGTGTCATGTACGAGGAGGGGAAGCATTACTGACCCCCAGAATCTTGAATGCGCTCAGCCCAAATCGTGAACTCTCATTTTCACAAATAGGTGCGCAATACCTAAATCTTTTGCGACTCCTGGCAGAGCAATTAAAGGGGTGGTGCTGTAGTGTGGTAGTGATTGGTGGAACCTTTTTACTTCTGGGTTGCGGCTCGGTAGCAATGTGAGGGGCTTTTGGTTTGGATTGATGAATATCCTGGATGGCATTTTGAGAGGTGGGATTTTATCAAGCATTGGTCTTCTCGACCAGATGCATCTCGGGTACGATCAAGAGAGAACCATGAGGTAATATAATTTTATCTGTTCAAGAATAACAGATGAAGGAAGGTCAGTGAAGGCAGGTCAGTAAAGGAAGGTTACCTACCTACTGAAGAGAGGGTGGGGCTTAGATGGTTCTAGCATCCCACCTTTGGCATGCTGTAAAAGCGGCAAGACGAGCTCCTGGAGAATGTCAAACCCCCTTCCAAACCCGAGTATGCGCTGTTCTTCTTTCTGTGACTGTGAACATTAAATAGTCTTATTTCTTTTAGGTAAAGGGTAGTGTGCTTGTCTATCACATCGACCAGTTTTCTCAGACACCGCCCATTGTTGATTCATAAACAACACAAGCGAGTTTATGATCTCATCGCCAAATAGGAGTAATGACCATTCTGTCAGATTGATGACATGTTTCACTGCGCCGAAGCTCGAAGGACAGTGCACCAGCCAAAGCAAAGTGTCCTGAGAGGGCGCCACATTTGAATTGGCTTGACTCAATATCTCGAGGTTCGTAATATCCATCAAATCTTTTGAGCTCTCTACCCAAAATGCGCTTCAGGTCACAAATGGAGTGAGTACAGTGACGTGTTCTGACTTTAACATTCATTAATCGCTTGCCAAGGTCTCTCAAAAGTATATGCAAAAAGTGAGAAGCCGGCTTGACTCGAGGGAACAGGGACGATGCTACCCAAATAGTGAACGGATCCCTAGAACGAAGGCCATCCATTCATTGGGCCATTTGAGTACATTCCCTCGAAGGAGGTATGCACTATCCCCAAGATCTTCCTTGGTATTAGTGTATTGGTAATATGGAGCCAGACTCTTGCTCGGATCCGTGAAGACACTTTGTCTACCGGGTCCTTAGATGTTTACCTGACTCTCAAAGTAGAAGTGGCTGGTTTGCTGCGGTACATCATGATCCTCTATTCAGCTCCAGCCGGAAGCTGTCCTCTGTATCATCCAATGACTCTGTTGTCGACCACAATGGGACAAAAGGCACGTTTGTAGCTGCAGCAGATACCTCTCGACCAAGTCAAGCAGTAATAGCCACTGTCATGAAACATATAGGACCCTCGCATAGAGCGCCTGCCGTGGAGTCATATTCAAGAGTGGATGCAGCCGCCCAGCCCCCTTTCGTAGCTATAGTATGGAGCTTTACCTGGAAGATGTCACCCAAGAGATAATCAGAGTTCAGGTAGGAAGAGCCCATACCGCAAGCAGATTTACATCGACGGCATTGTAACTTTTCCCGGCACTATATAACATTTTCCAAGATGGAGTCACCCAGACAGCACCTGAAGGTTTCTTAATATTGAGACACCGACCCTGGAGCAAGTCCCACTACAAGCTGCTGGATCCGAGTAGCCTCGGACGAAGATTGGTGCTGCCGTGATGGCGGCGACAAGCCATCGGTTGAAGAAACAAAGCATTACGCGTGATTTGACAATGATAGATTCAGGCTAGCGAAAGGCATTGACAGAATAAATACTGCAATTGGAAGGGGCAGAAGTTATAGTCCAAGATACGAATGGGAAGTTGGTCCCTAGAAGCTCTGCAGCTGGCTGGAAATTGTGGGTGAGAGCGAGAGTGTTATTTCATACTGTTTAGCCTGGTTCATAAAATATAATATAAAATGAAAAGGTTGGAAGACAACATTTAACTCCTCCAGAGAGATGGACGTACTGACAAGATGTAATAGCTAATCAAAGAGGAACAGCTGCATGCCCACTTCATTCTTCCAGGTATTTGGTGTGCCTCCTGTGCGCAACCGAGAATGCCACACAACCGCTGAAGCCTCCAATGATCAAGTTATTCTATCGGGTTCACGAATTTGGTACCGGTATATAATAGTCGGTTCCCCTTTCGTATGTCCGCGGGCACTCACCTACAGTCGGTGAATGCAAGTGTCATGTAAAACTAATCAAACGAATTTCGCAGCTTTCATAACAGATACTAATAATTAAAAGGAGATAATCTAATTAAACTAATTGATTCCTTTTATATATTTGAATTTTCAAAGAGTGTTATTACAATATAACACTTTTTCTGATATATTTGTTACTTGTAAAATTATTAAGTAAGAAGGCTTTAGTAATTCTCGGTAAGGAGCCCCGTGAGAATTTTGCGTGACACGTGCTTTCACAGACTGTAAGTAATAGCGCCAACAGTAAGGGAACAGACTATTATCCACAGTGAAATTCAAATACCACGAGGGTTAACCCGACCTTTAATGGCTTCAGCCGAGGCAAATCACTATATCGCTAAACCAGCCAGGTCAGAATTTGGCTCTACCCATTTTAGTTTTTCACAGATCAAAATTAGGAAGGTTTGTTTGTGACACTCCTGATCGACTGCGAATCTGGCGTTCTGTTCAAATCCAAATCAGAGAGTCCTGACCTGGAAGTGAAGACTACATGTTCAGGTTTCATCCACCATCAACATTGAAGTGCTTCGCTGCCACTTAGGCTTGATAAGCAATCAATCACAAAGATGCTTTTACCATAGGGATAATGCAGATGACTCCACGAATTATAAAGATGCTGAGAACTCAATTACCGGTCTAACCGCAACCTCGGATAGATCTCGGCTCGTCTAGAGGATCACTCTGTCAAATGAATCTAAGATTCCACCTGCTGGGTGGAAGCAACACAAATTTGTAGTCGGATGATTCTTTGTGACGATGAGCAATGGTGTGTGTCAAGGAAACGTTCTCGAGAAGCAGACATTGATCATGAAGTTGTATAATCATTTGAATAATCACCGACGAGCGATATCAAATGAAATGATTGCTAGATTACGGTGAATCGTATGATGTTCGTTGTACCGCCTGCTTCATTAGATGCCACGGCGATCTTTCTCTCTGACAGATCCATCACATCTTCACCTCGGCTGGAACACTGATCGAAAGAACATCAACACCGTTCTTCAGCTCGCTCTTCGTCGGCATGGCGCCCCGTCTCATCAGCTCTGAAGATGCGGTCATAACAGGATCGATCCCCATGGTACCAACCGCAACCACAGTTTCACCTTTGGTATAATACACCACAAATTTCGCTTCGTCAGGTTGGCCTTGTAGAACCAGATCATCGAACCCATTTGGAGTGTTGCCACAGTAGCGAAGTTGTGAGCCAAGCGCTGACCAGAAAATAGGGATAAACGGCTTCGCCGGTGCAGAAGGATCAACGATGTTTGCCGCCACACTACGGCCAGCATTTTGGGCAACATTCCAATGCTCGATTCTTGTCAGAGCACCATTACCACCAGGCCCGTTCTACTCATGATGTAAGTACTTGCTTTGTGCAACTGTCCCAGAAGTAAGGACCAGCAGAATGTAGATATTCAGGTTGTGAGAGACGTGAAGGTAAAGCAATACGTACGTAAGGATAAGTAGCGATGTCTCCGACTGCATACACATCATCCAGTCCAGACACTGCAAAGTGCTCATCAGTCATGAGCGAACCATCTTTTTGAAGCTCGACACCCTTGTTGTCCTTTAAGTATGTCGTTGCAGGCCCAACACCAGTACCGAGAACCACAAAATCTGCTGGGAGAGTGGTGCCATCCTTGAGAGAAATTCCTCCAACCTTTGACGAGTCGGACTGGGATGGAACGGCCTTTTCAACTCCAGCGGACATTTTGAACTTGACCCCGTTCTTTTCAAGCGACTTCTGGAACACCTGACCCACCTGCTCACCCATAACACGTTCGAGGGGTGCCTTTTCCATGCCAACAACCGTCACGTCATTATCTTTCGCAAGCGCATTTGCAACTTCCATACCAATGAACGAGCTGCCGATACTGATAATTTCATCAGTGTGTACTTGTCAAAGAGGATGTTTGTGGAATATACATGACAATCTTTTTACGCTTATCGCCAATTGCAGCGTTGATGGCTTTGACATGAGGAATCGTCCTGAGCAAAAAGATGTTGCTCAACTCTTTGAAGCCAGGCAATGGAAGACTTTTCGGAGTTCCACCAGTGGCGAGGACCAGTTTAGAATATGAGTAGGAACCTGCAAGCTTTGTTTCAGTATGAGTACGAATACTTTGAGACTAGGACTTACTGCCACTCTTAGTAGCAACCTTCTTGCTATCGAAGTCCACCCCAGTTACTTCATCAGAAACGACATCTACAGAGCCCTCCTTGAACCAAGCTTCATCTCGGAGAGCGATTTTTGAGTGGTCATCGATCAGAGCCTTCGACAATTTTGTTCGGTCAAAGGGTAGATATCCTTCGCTGCTGATGAGGGTGATACCACCCTTGTAGCCATTCTCTCGGAGCCCTTCCAATGTACCTAGTGCACCGCTTCCTCCTCCAACAATGACAACCTTTTCGGCACTTGGAGCACCTGAGATCTTGATATTCGGCCTCCGTCTGCTACCCTTTATCGCCTGTTGTTCGCCAGTGATGTAGACCGAGCCGTTCTTCTCTTGCAATTTGAATGAAGGAAGTGCATCGATAGCGGGAGCATTCTCGATATCACCGTTTGAGGCGTTGAAGCAAGCTGCATGCACAGTTCAGTTGTAGTCCCATGCTCAGGAACGCTTCTTAGGTCCTTACCTCCGTGCCAAGGGCAAGTAATTCGGCCATCGCCTGGAAAGTGTTAGCTAAGCCTTGGGAAGTTTACACTGCCACCTCTTTATACACTAAATGAAAATAAAACCATGACAAATCCTATAAAACTAGATCTGGTACTTACCAGTCAACACGCCCTTCACCATCGGGGCTCCATAATGGGTACATTTGCTGCCCAATGCCGATACTTTGCCTCCAACATTGCATAGCAGTACTTTCCCTTCGTCAATTCCCTCCACCTCAACTTCTCTCTTCTCTCCGGGCTTGAGGTCAAGGCTAGCCAAGCCCTTAAGTTTATATTCTTGAGCCATGTCTCTAGACGTTGTTGAAAGTGCTTCTGTAAGCTTTGGGCTGCGGGAAATTGGCTGACGGATTCGAACAGTGTATCCAAATCCAGTTCGAAGGACGCAACGGGTTGAAAGCATGTAATGGTAAGCACTTGGAAGTTCGAAACAGAAGAGATCAAAGTCTTTCGGGAACTTTAAGAGTGCTTGATACCTAGATAGTTGGTAAGGCGACGTATAAGTAGACCGTAGCGCTAGAAGTCTTTCTTTCTTTATTTCATGAACTTCTATTTGACACGGTTAAAGGCAATCAAGAACATCTACCGATGAATGAGCTGATGCGGTCGATGTGGTTGATGACGATGATGATGATGATGATGAAGATGATGAAGATGATGATGATGTTGACGCAGCTCCTTGCTTGGTTGTCCCGTTCGTGCAAGGGCAGGTGGGGTTGGGCGTGGGGGTGGTGAGCAATCCAGTGGCGGAGATTGGCTGAGCGAAGGTGCAGCGGAAGCCCGGATAACTGCCGCCGGTACAGTATGGTGGGGTTTCATGTAATTTATCAGCGTCTCCCCGCAGTCCGGGCTTGATACAGTAGGAGACAGGCGAGTCGGCGAGACAGGACAGGCTCGGTACTACGCGTACTGTAGACAGGCAGACAGGCTCGACAGGTAAGGTAGATGGAGTGCAGTCAGTCTATATTTACTTCGGAAGAAGACTATTCTCCATAGTACCTACGGCACAACCTGCTCTTTCTCCTCTCCCCTTCCTTCGTCCTTCCTCCTCTCCCAGGTATTCCTTCCCGTTTCCTTTCGCTCTTTCACCACAATCCCCTTCTCTATGTTGAACTTGCAGGTGGGACGTTTCTGACGATACTAGGTACTAAATGCAAACTTGCCTCCTTAATCGTATCTTCCAAAGCCCAACCATCAGCACGACTATGGCCAGCGGAGCTGCTTTCCAGACGTTCATTTCTACATAGCCTCGTCTTTTCGTGTCCTCAAGTATCTAGGTGGGCCGAGGTTCCGTCGTTACCTAGGGAGGTAGAGTGCCTGCTACGCTCCTTCAGCATGGCTTCTATCTACCGGCTAGGTACCTTGGGCAGTCAAGATGTTCAGGGTCCGCTCCCTAGGTAAGGTACTGCGTTTCTGTGCGTCGGCATCCGTCCCAAGCACTTGGTCGTATCTCCTGTGGGCTGCGAACTAGCAATCTGCGGTGAAAACAAAACTTCGAATCAACTCCAGACCTACGTATCTCTTGGCAGAGTCTTCGGACTGGATGGTGTTTCACACATGACATTGCACACGAGGCGGAAACTTACCCAGAGGGCTCAAGGGGTTCCTGCAATCTACCCAGAAAGTCGTGTTATGTAACTGGTGAGGATCTCATTTCCTCTTTGAGTTGTCGAGCAACGGGATCTAATACGGCAGCTGTACCTTATTACCTTAGCGGTCTCGCAGTTTGATCGTCACGTGGCCATTGAAACACCGAACTCCGGCTCTCCAGGTGCGTGGGCCTCAGCTAAGTCGGGTAGTAGGTTCCGAGCAGGGCAGGTACCTACCTACCTACCCGAGCTACCTCAGGCATCTCATAAGTGGGATGGATCCACTTCGGCAGGTTTCCGGCCAGACCAATGACATGCAAGAAGGACATGGCGCGGCTTTTTATTGCTTGGCCTGAACACCGTCAAAATATCTTCATTCTGGTGAGCTGGATTAATACCTGAAGGTTAGTAATCGCGCTCTTCGCATCTTTATAGACTCCTCTGTCGACATCTCACAATCTCCACGCGAGATTGATGATATTGAAGAGCCTGTATTTTACCTCTCTGCTTCTCTTCATGTTACCTGTGCGATTTCGGTGCCATCGTTCCCCTCTGTTTACATTGCTTTATCCGAAGTCCCAACTTGGTGAAAGGTTGGATGGGCGTTGTCTTTCGTTCTTCACTAGACGTAAGCCCGTCTAGTAGAGTATTTCAGTTGTCAAAGTATTTGCTGAGTGGATCCAGAGATGGGTTGGAAAGACCATAAGCTGCAAAAGGCCGGAATTGTCGTCGGAATTGTACCGGCCTCAACAATATAAGCTCAATAATTCCCACAAATCCCCCCCAAAATTCCTTTTCCTTCTTCACAGCACATACTTCTCCTTCTCTAAACGCTTTCTCACCACTTTCTTGCCTAAAAATCGACACGCAACACCAAGTACATTCTACTTCTCTCCTTTGATCACGTCTATCTTCCAACATGGGATCAATTGCTACCACCCCTTCTTTCAATGTCCTCCGCGACACAAAGCCCGAGGACACCACCATGCCAGCCTTTATGGTGTCAACTACAAGAGGCTTCCTCCCACGACAAGAGCCCGTCATCAAGCTCCCAGCAGAGTTTGATCCATTGGAATCTATCCTCACCCGGATGCCCATCAAGAATCTTGATGGCAGTCCAGGTCTACTTGCTACCTTCATGCTGGGCGAGACTGTTCTTAAGGAGCTGCCTGATCTTACCTCGGCCATCAACAAGTACAAAGATAACATGCCGCTGATGAACGCCATCTACAGAGACTACTCGTTTCTGGCTTCTGCTTATCTCCTGGAGCCTTGTCATGAGCGATACCTCAAAGGTGAGGGCTACGGTTTGGGACGTCAAACCCTGCCTTCAGTCATTGCCGTTCCTATCTCTCGATGTGCTGAGCTGTAAGTACTCTTTCAACACCGTGACAGCAATGCTAATAACGTACTCGCAGCGCTGGTTTCAAACCTTTCATGGAGTATGCTGGCTCGTATGCGCTCTTCAATTACCGCCTCGAAGATCCCAAGCGAGGTCTTGAGTATGATAACTTGCGTCTGATCCGCGCCTTTGAGCATGGCCTCGACCCAAAATCATCCGAGGCCGGTTTCGTACTCGTTCACGTTGACATGGTTCAAAATTCTGGTCCACTTGTTGACGGTGTCGTCTCGGCCCTCGATGCATGTGAATCTAATGACCGCGAAGCCTTCAACACTGGCATGGATAAGGTCGTTAGAAGCATGACCAAAGTGAACAAAGTAATGGATGGTAAGTAATCCCCACCGCTACCCCTCCCTGTAGTCCCATATTATAAAGACGCCTGAAATTGACTCTTCACGAGGGATGTGGGGAAAGAGTAAGCCAGGGGATTACATTTCTTTCCGCACTTTCATCTTTGGCATCACCAGCCAGAGCATGTTTCCTCATGGTGTCGTCTACGAAGGAGTTTCAGAGGAACCAATGTCATTCCGAGGAGAATCTGGGGCAAATGATAGCATGGTAAGATGGCTTAGGCCTCAATGTTACAATTTGAATTCAGCACACAGAGTAGCTAACCGAACTCCAGATTCCACTCTGCGATAACCTCCTTCAAATCACCATGCCCGACACACCCCTCACAACTATCTTGCAAGACTTCCGTTCTTACCGACCTGGTAACCACAGAGACTTCCTCGAGTACGTGCGCTCGCGGTCATCTCTCCTTGCGCTCCGCTCCTACGCGCTTCAAGACCCCACCTCCACAGCTTTCTACCTCCAGGCTCTAGATCAAGTCCGAGACTTCAGATGGAGGCACTGGACTTTTACTCGGGAGTATATTCTCAAAAAGACGGCGCATCCTGTCGCTACTGGTGGAAGTCCAATTGTGACGTGGTTGCCGAACCAACTGCAAGCCGTGCTAAATGCTATGGTTGATGTCTGGGAGGGTAGCGGGAAGCAGGGGCTGGGGAAGAAGTGTGAGGAGATTATGGAATTCGCTATCCAACAGAAGGAGACGCTTACGAAAGAGGTGGAGAAATATTGCGCCGAAAGAAATGTTGACTTGGGGAATATCTAGGGGACGTGCCTGGTCGCGTAGCGGATGTCGCCCATAGCTGCTATGTATCACTTCTTGAAGTAGTCTAATTCTTTCCGCTGTCTAGACATCTTTTCATTTGATGATATTTCCGCTTCATTATCGTGTTGAGATCAGCGTACTTCACGGCTATTGGAAGAACTCAACGCAGCACAAAGCTGGTTGATTGTTTCAAGGACGACCATGGCCACCACCCCAATTTGATTGTCAGGCCTCTTTTAAGGACATTTCTGTTTGGATATTCGACGCCACGTTTGCCCATATTTGGCATTGAGTCGACTGTTGATTCACATATGTCAGTGTAGTCGTCCTAGAATCTTCGTCAAAGAGATCGGTTACTCTGCTTGCATTGACCAAAACTGGGATCGTATGTTTTCTCTATCAGGGATTGCTTACTAGATATTATCATCCAGATCTGTGACTTTGACGCCATAAACATCAACATAATGCCAGAATTGTCTCACTCAATTGGTTGACGTTGTAAGCTGTGCATTGGTCCTGCATGCATACACCATCGAGCTCCCATACCCTCGAAGCGGATCATGAGCGACAAGGGTGGCCCAGTTTTGTTACTAAACACAGCGATAGCTAACCAGAACCAGAACGGCCTTGAATTGCCTCAAGCGGAGGTCGAGAAGGAAAGAAAGAAGCTTGGGGAAGATCGTCCCTTCCTGTCAGCCTCGTGGCTCGTATGCACGGCTACAGCACAGTCGGTGTCTTGGCAGCCTCTATTTGCAACCCCGCAACCTCCGACCTTGAACAACAACATAGAATTTCGCCCATGGCGCCGCAGCCATTCATCTCTACCCACCACGGCCCCAAACTCGCTGGAGCTCGCAAATATGGCAGACTCGGCGGAGGAACCATTAATGCGCAATGCATCCGCTGAAATTGCAGAGGAAAGCCCGGACATGGACCGAGACGATGTATCGCTGTTGCTCGAGAAGAATTTGAAGAAACCTGGCATCTTTGTATGGCTCTTGACGTTTTCTGCCGGTATAAGCGGCTTGTTGTTTGGCTGTAAATCCCCAAGAAGATATTATGTGGGGAATGGGTTTTGCTGACCGACTCCAGACGACACAGGTGTTATCTCCGCCACGCTGGTTTCGATTCAGAGTTCCCTCGGACATCCCCTGAGTACGCTCGATATGTCCCTCATTACATCTGCTACCGCGTTTTTTGCACTGCTAGTATCGCCGCTATCAGGTGTACTCGCGGATCGGCTGGGGAGGAAACGAGTAGTACTTTTGGCCGATTTAGCTTTCATTCTTGGGGCTGTTCTTCAAGCAGCAGCATCTACGGTACCTGTAATGGTCGGAGGTCGATCTGTAGTGGGAATAGCAGTTGGAGCTGGAAGCTTTGCGGCACCTCTATACATTTCGGAGCTCTCACCGGCACCATTCCGAGGTCGATTGATGACATTGAATGTTCTGTTCGTTACACTTGGTCAGGTGGTGGCTTATATAATAGGGTGGCTCTTCGTACAGTGGGGGAACGAGGACACAGCTTGGAGGTGGATTGTTGGTCTCGGAGCAGTGCCTGCAGGAGTTCAAAGTGAGTGGCAATCAGACCATATGTTTTATTGCCACTGTCTTCGAAAGTGGATGGCCAGGCCGATATCAAAGTGGACCTGCTCTCGGTCCATCAGAGCAAGTAGTACTGATTGATATATAGTGCTTACAATGGCTATTATGCCAGAGACTCCAAGATGGCTTGTCATGATGAACAAACACGACGAAGCAAGGCAGGTACTAAACAAGGTATTTGGCTCTGGCATCGAGATACAACATATGGCCGAACATGTCCTAAAGGGAATCGAGGGAGAAGTCCGAGAGGAAGAGGAGGCCAAGAAAGGGAGGCAGAAAGGTCAAACAAAGAAGGAGCGCAACTCCTGGCTTGCTGCTGCGAAAGACAATTGGGGAGAGCTATTTCGAGTGTCTGGCAACAGACGAGCGTTGACTATTGCCTGCCTTCTACAAGGACTACAACAGCTCTGCGGATTTTTAGGTCTCTCGGCTCGCATGTTTATTGCTTGGCTAATTTGTTGTAGAACTCCCTGATGTACTTCTCAGCCACCATCTTCACGATTCTGTCTTTCGAAAACCCGACATTAACATCCCTTGTCGTTGCTGTGACAAATTTCATCATGACCTGCGCAGCTCTATTCCTCATTGATCGAATTGGGAGACGACGGATACTCCTCTCGTCGATTCCAATCATGGCTGTCGGCCTACTTCTCTGTGCTTTGGGTTTCCTGTTTATTCGACTCCCATCGAACTTCCTATCTACAGACCCTACCGTGTATACAGTAGCCTACGAAGAGATTCCTCTCTCCGAACGAACGGCTTCCGTACTGGTCCTTACCAGCATTATGCTGTACGTAGGAGCGTATGCTCTAGGTCTGGGCAATGTTCCTTGGATGCAGAGCGAACTTTTCCCCTTGAATGTCCGCTCTCTTGGTTCTGGCATCAGCACGAGTACCAATTGGGGTGCCAATTTTATTGTTGGGCTGACCTTCTTGCCAATGATGGCATTCTTAACACCCCCATGGACATTTGTTATATACTCAGTTGTTTGTATTGCAGGTTGGATTTGCATACTGTGCATATATCCAGAAACGAAAGGGCTGAGTCTGGAAGAAACAAGCGCGTTACTGGCAGAAGGTTGGGGAGTAAAGGAGAGCTTGAGGAGAGTACAACAGGAACATCGAGCATGAGCTGCTGGCTCCCGGAAGAGACTTGACGTTATTGATACCCCTTTTTGAGAAGCATTAGTGTAATTGTTACCAAGACAGTAGTAGCCAAGTATAGATATCTGAACATGAATCAATGCAGATAGTGAAGGTCGGGTTTGCGGTAACCATCTTGATTGGTGAGAAATCACATGTTCCTCATTATTCGGGGTCCATTCACATATCAATCCCTTCACCAAAAGCTAGAAAAGCAAGCCGTCGCTCGTTCTGGCTCTTCCGTCAGACTTACCGGTCTCGCCATTCTCTCGATGCCCCCTCGATAGCGTTCCACCCCGTCATAGATTCCCGACTGTATCCACACCGCGCATGAAAACGGAGAAAACGAAAGCTTGTCTGTTGCCGCCGCAATGGCTGGCCGCCTTTTTGACCTCGCCCCATCGATGGAAGTTCCGGCTTAGGGCCCGAGAAGTTGGTGCGTTAAATTTTTCTCCTCCATGGTAAATTTAGATCCGCACGTACTACAGTGTACCCCCCGGTCCCAATGTTAGCTCGCCACTGGCGCCTATGCAGCTGCTTTTACGTGCTCCCCTCACGGTTGCTATATCAACATACCTAAATCTGACAATTTAAACCCTTATCACCTCTTAAAACAGCTTGAAATTCTTCAATTTCAAGTCTAAATGATAAACTGAGCTTCTTACAATTTAACATTGAGACCGGGGGGTGCACTGTACGTACAGTACCTGAACATGTGCCAACCTGGCCCTCCCGGGCCCCGGCTTGGGCGTTCTCCTGTAAATTCAATTCACCTTATCTCCGTCTGTCCCAACCCTACCTTACGGTAGGTACTGCAGTAGCTGGGAAATCATGACGTAAAGTACGTACCTAGACCAGCTAAGGTAGGGAGGTAATTTTGCCTACCTAATTTACCTTAAGATGGGGGCATGGGTAATCCGCGCCCCTTTCACGCTGCATCTATCAACTTTTGCTTGACCGCACCTTGCGGATATAGGTAATCGCAGAAACAGAAGCACCAACATAGACATAAACATAAACATAAACATAAACATAAACATAAACATAAACATAAACATAAACATAAACATAAACATAAACATAAACATAAACATAAACATAAACATAAACATAAACATAAACATAAACATAAACATAAACATAAACATAAACATAAACATAAACATAAACATAAACATAAACATAAACATAAACATAAACATAAACATAAACATAAACATGAACATGAACATGAACATCCACATCAACATTAACGTGGATTTACGCATACTAAGCAGACCTTACCTGAGGTACCTATAGGAATCCGACCTGGCGGATTCAGCCGTTGTCTATTTCTCAAAAATCACCCCCACTTCACTCCACTCCATTCGGCTTAAGGTAATCTTCGTGCATGGACCGAGGTGAGGCGATGCCGACCAACCATTAAGTCCAGTGACGAGTCTGATCCGACACAGACAAAAATAAAATAAATACAGCAGCCTTGCCTTGCCTGCTTGGCCTGCCATTGCAACCGTACCTTACCGTCACTATCTACAGATATCGCACGCATTCATACGTTTCGGGCTGGACCACACCGCACCACACCACCCCCAATCGCAGTCATGAATGAAGCAGACGTTGCTATGCAGAGAAATGAACGGGATGCGTCCCCCGAAAGGTTCATCAACACCCCTCCAGGACGGCCAAGCCATGAAATCGAGCGAATCCCCACTGCTTCTTCGAGCTCAACTTCGTCCTCTGAAGGCTCTGTTGTGAGGAGGGAGAGATTGTTGAGTAGGGCGTCGACACAGCGCGATTTAGAACGACATCCTACAGTCCTCAGCCGAATTCAGACTGCAAGGAGCCAGCACACAGGCACGATCGGTCGCAGTCTGACAGGGAAGAGCAGGGAGAGCAAACGACCTCTTCCTGAAATGGGCCTGGGCAAGCCATACCCTCCCCTTCTACCGGCGCAGGAGGAATATGTCGTTGAGTTTGATGGCCCGGACGATCCTTTACACGCTCAGAACTGGCCCATGCGAAAGAAGTACGTTCTGTCCAGTCACTTCAAATGGAGGTATCTACCGAGAGAATGGGCCAATTCAACATAATATGTTGCATGTTCGCCCACCACTCTAAGTAGAATTCAATCTGACGCGGACGCTGGCAAGATATATGCTGACTGACAATTCTGTAGAGTTGCCACAGCCGTCATGTTGGGATATACGACATTGGTGTCGGCATTTACATCGTCTATTTTCTCCACGGCGACACGTACTGTCGCAGCACAATACAATGTTTCAACAGAGGTAGGATTACTTGGACTTTCCTTGTATGTTCTTGGATTCGCCCTTGGGCCTGTTTTTTGGGCACCACTCTCTGAGCTGAGAGGCCGACGATTACCTTTGGTTATCTCCATGTTTGGTTTTACGATTTTTCAAATAGCCGTTGCTGCCGGGAAGGACCTGCAAACTATTCTGCTGTGCCGTTTTTGGGGAGGTTAGTATATTCAGTGTCTGCTTGGTCGGAATTGTAGCCTGACATGCATTTAGGTATCTTTGGGGCATGCCCGCTAGCAGTCGTTGCAGCCGTGTTCTCTGATATGTTCGATAACAGGACTCGTGGGTTGGCTATCACTGTCTTCTCAATGACTGTCTTCACTGGACCGCTACTCGCGCCTTTCATAGGTGGATTTATTGTTGAATCTCATCTTGGGTGGAGATGGACTGAATGGTGTGTATGACTCTTATGTTTGGAGAATTAGCACTGACAAACCAAGGCTTGTTGCAATCATGGGTGCTGTGGCATTCCTCTTGGATTTTTTCTTCTTGGAGGAAACTTATCCTCCCGTCCTCCTGGTTAGCAAAGCCGCGGAGTTACGTCGCAGAACCAAGAACTGGGGCATCCACGCCAAACAGGAGGAAATCGAAATCGATTTCCGGGAGCTGATCACGAAGAACTTTTCACGTCCCATGCGACTACTCGTAACCGAGCCAATCGTGCTCTTGCTGTCCATCTACATGGCTTTCATCTATGGCCTTCTCTACCTCTTCCTGACGGCATACCCTATCGTCTTTCAGCAGATCCATGGCATGTCTGGAGGTATCGGAGGGCTTCCTTACTTTGGCAGTACGTCAGTTCTATTGAGTCTTGAAGTCTCGCTTAGCAGTCCAACTTAGCGAAAGCTCATTTGAACATTCCAGAATAGCAATGCTGATAATCCGCAGTGATCATAGGACAGATAATTGGAGGGCTTTACGTAGCTCTCACCCAACCAAGCTATAACAGAAAGCTCCTTGCTAACAACGGGATCCCTGCTCCTGAATGGCGCCTTCCCCCGGTTATTCTTGGCGGACTCTCATTCGCTGGAGGATTGTTTTGGTTCGGCTGGAGTGGGTATAAAGAGTCTATTCACTGGATCGTACCAACTCTTTCGGGACTTCTTACCGGATTTGGTCTCTTGACCATTTTTTTGCAGTCTCTCAACTACCTTGTGGACGCTTACCTGATGTTTGCAGCCTCAGCTATTGCCGCGAATACATTCCTCAGATCACTGGCAGGCGCTGGATTCCCTCTCTTTTCTCAGTACATGTTTGCAGCTCTCAAAGTCAATTGGACAGGGACGCTCCTTGGCTGCGTTGCACTCATTTTGGTCCCCATCCCCGTCATCTTCTACAAGTACGGCGCGAAGATCAGAAGCAAGAGTGCTTTTGCACCCACCAAACCAATGGAACCAGTAAGCGAGGAGGACGGTGCCTCAGCTGTGACTGAGAAGGTTGAATCACGAGCAAGTGCGGACAAGAATGTTTAAAAGACCAATAACGTTGTGTTATGAATATCCACACATTCATTAATGATGTTGACAGCTGTGCTTCTCGTCTGGCACCCGGGACTTTAATATATAAATTCTGTTTTGGGCCTGTGGATATGGGGCGGCTTTGCGTGCTTGGAATGCCTTTGATACCAGTGGCTATTGTCTTGAATGCAAGGCGTTGGTTAGGATTGCTATTATTGATAGGTAGTAATGGAAATGTTTGAATATGTTCTTCTTGTGTCAAGTCTGCGTAGGAGGCAGCCAGCACTTGTCACGCCAGATGCTATCCCGCGGCAAGACTTGGGGGTTGAGATAGCTGACCCTTCTTCTCTCAGAGCACTCTTTGTCTGATGATCAGTGGCCAAGTATGGAATTGGTAGCCCCGTTTACATAAATAAGGCTACGGAGCTTCTCTTCAGCAATCTTCTCTGAGTTGCTTGTCGCTTCATTCGCTTAATTAAACCAGATTTGATTACATTTGAGAGCCGAAAAAGGACAATGCAATGAACTACCGGTATACCCTACAGAGTCGTTCTCATTTTGCCGCAATGACAAGCCGAGAACAAGACTTCGGTGGGAGGGTGCCGGAAAGGTACTGGTGGTACAAGCGAGATATTTATGCTTAGTATAATGAGATCATGACATTTAGCGTTTCTGGAAACTCTGCGTGGGTTTTCGATTCAACTCTACCTTTGCATTCTATATTTCAATAAGTTGTATTTAATTCTAATATATCCAATTTATGATTTCAATAAAGGTTTTCACAGATCATAGAATCGTACTGGAATACTTCCTCGAGTTTCGACTTACTCCTCCACACGCACCAACTACAACCTTCAAGACTATAAATTTCTCGACCCACTATCCGGAGGCAAAAGCTACAAGAATGACTCTTTGTTTTCCCTACGATACAGTCCTCGTCCTAGGTGCAACCTCTGGAATTGGGCTCGCTCTCGCCGAGAAACTGGTTCTGAACGGTTCACACGTGATAGCCGTCGGACGACGACAACAAAACTTGCAAGAGTTGCAACAAAAACACGGGAAACAGAAGGTCTCAATCTACCAATTTGATGTGAATGAGCTGGATAAGATCCCTGTATTTGTGAACAAGTACGTATTTAAAATAATATCGTAGTCTAGTCGACCAAGTTGGATGTCTGAGAAGTTGATATCTATTGACATACTGGCTGGCTGGCTTACTTGCTGTATTTTTTTCGGAATAACAAGCACCCACTCCACTCTTTCCAGCATAATCCTCAACTCAGGTATCCAACGGCGCCTCGACTTTACCTCCCCAAGCACCGTCGATCTACCCCAGACATCCACCGAGCTAACGACAAACTATCTCTCCCCCCTTCACTTCACCACCGCCTTCCTCCCTCACCTCCAAAGCCTCTCCAAAAGCTCCAAGAAGCCCACCAGCTTGATCTTCACCACGTCCGGCCTGGCACTCGTGCCCATCCTCCGATGTCCAAATTATTGCGCGAGTAAGGCGGCAATGCATCATCTGATTTTATGTTTGCGGGAGCAGCTTAGATACGCAGATGGAGATGTCCGAGTTATTGAGCTTCTGCCGCCAGCTGTGCAGACCGAGTTGCATGATACAAAACACCAGCCTGATCTGAAGGACGGAGGGAGTTTTGGGATGCCCTTGGATGAATTTACCGAGGAAGCGTGGAGAGGCTTGTGTGCAGGGGAGACGGATATTGCAGTGGGGATCGCGAAAATGAATTATGAGGGCTGGGAGAGGCAGAGGCAGGGTGTGTTCAAGACTATGATTGAAAAGGGGGCTGGGAAGTTTTGAAAGGGTGAAGTGTATGAGATGTGAAATGTTGGGAAACTCTGGAGGCTCGGGGATAAGTCTGGCGACAGGGGTAAACAATGAGTCAATGATGCTTTGTCTTTACAGCAAACGTAGCCAAGTTCGGAATTAACTCAATTAATTCGAGCACATGAAGAGTGCAAATGGGTACCGGCAACCTGGCACAAACATGAAGATCACGCAGAATCACGCAGGTCCAAAGGCTGGTAGATTGCTCTTCATATCTCTCATCTTCTTCCCATGTACTCAACGCCAACACTAGCAACCAGGGGATTCCTCAATCAATTATGTATGACTCCATAGCTCATCGCCGACAATGGCAAATAATCCAACATGAAAGAAGGCTCAAGTCGCCTGGGTATCGTCCATGGACGCCGTCAACTCCGAAAGATGCGTGCAAAGACCGTATGGGAAATGTTTGTGCCGACAACCACCTAGGCGATAGCCGTCGTACCCTGTGCCTCACCACCCTCTGATTCCTTGTCCTTGCGATTCTTCTCAGCGAGAGTGGCAGCCAAACGCTTCTTCTCTTCCGGGTCAATTAGATCATCATCATCAGACCACCTACAACAATATCAGTCCAGGTTCTTGGGAGCATAATGTAATTGCACATACTCAGGGTCGTCGTCTGGAATCATTGGGAGAGCCTTTCGCTTCCAGAAACGGCGCTCCTGACGGTACTGAGTGTTCTGAACGCGCAGCTCGTTCAATTCATCATGGTCGGTGAGGTAGTGGCGCATATCACGGAGGTGACCATTGGCACGGCAAGCAGCAGCCTTCATATCGTCGATTTGGCAGCGGAGCTTGAGGTTCTCTTCACGCTCGTGCTCTAATTGTTGACGGTAGTTTGTGTGCCAAGCCAGCGTGTCAATCTCATGTTGTTCCTTGTAACGGTGCATCTTCTCGGTGATGTCAGCGAGGATGCTGGCTCCGTGAACGGCAAGTTTAAAGTTCTCCTTCTTGTCAAAGTCGGACAACTCCAAAGCTTTGCGCAAATCCGAGTTTTCCTTCTCGAGATTCTTAGAATCCTCTGCGGCAATGTTTAGCATAATTTCGCACAATTTATAAGTATCCACTCACCATTGAGCTCGGAAGCAACCACAGCTACTAACTCGTCGTTCGTAAGATTGAGGTGCTGAGCCTTGAGGCGGACTTTGCCCATCTTGTCAACCACACCAGCGGTGAGTGCCGCATTTGCCTTCAGAACTGACGACAGCTCCTCAACCATGGACATAACATAATTGAGATCGGACTGGTGACCAGCTGGGGTTGGGTATCCAACCATCCCACCGCCCATTCCCATACCGCCGTTCATTCCGTTAGGCATACCTTGTGACGGCGAAGGGGGGGCTTGACGGGGGTTGGATCCAGACCCGCCAGGTGAGTCGATGTAGTTCTGGTAATTCATCTTTGAACGGAGCGCTGTTTGTGGAGAGCTGAGTGATAGAGCTTTGACGCAGGCAAAGGCAGGAGGCGTAGAGATTGGAGCAGATGGACGAGGGGAAGCGGAAGCTGGAGCTGGAGCTGGAGCTGGCGCTGGAGCCTCAGCGTGGTCGCCCTGCTTCGCAAGGCCAGCGTCGGCGTGGTTGATTTGGCGGATGAAGATAGCAAGCTGCTCTTCTTCAGGGCTAAGAGGGCAGTCCAATGGATTGGTCGATACGTTTCTGCTGCGAGCCCGACCACGAGGACGAGGAAGGTCTCCCACGGTGTTTTGGTCTGCGCTGGCCATCATTCAAGGCTGGGCTGGCCTACCTTACCTTACCAAGCTCTAAACGGTGGGGTGGGGAGGGGATGATACCTGCGGCTGCCACGGGCCAATCGATTAAATTTAGTGTCTGGAGAGACGCCAAGGCCCAACCAGGCAATGGGAAAACAAAAAAATGGCAGAGGCGAGTGTCCAAACTGTTTTGGACAACAACAAACAACTGAGGCAGAGAGTGTTCACTTTCACAATAGTCATTTTTGCTTCAGTTTGCTAGGTTTCTTTTCAAATCCTCTGGCTTACTTGTAATGCTATCTGGGTAGCCATGGGGCTGATGAGATGACTGACCATGAAGCCACTGTACCTAGGTAATCTCTTACTCCTGGCCAACCTGGGGACAAACCTTGCAATTTAGATTGCAATCTTATGTTGGGGATCGTTCTCATTCTTCAACATTGAATGATCATCTATCCATAATTTCATGTCTGCTATCCGCATACACAACACGTACACTACACAGGAGTCACACAAAGATCCAAATATAGTTGGATTAGAACCCGGCATATCATCATCAGCTTATCTTGAAGTACATCGCATCCTTCCAAGAACTCCTACAGGCGAGCAGTCTTGTTCGTATTGCTGTCCAGCCACTCCAGCGAGGGGTCTTCAATCCCCAACATGGTGAAAAAGGGCTGGTTGATATGACAGCTCGGAATCTCCGCAGATCAAGGTCAACACAGAATAAATCGATCGCTACTCTGACTGCATGCAGAGTTTACATACAAGCTGCTGGACTATAAGAAATGCAATTGTGTCCTTAGCCGGGCTTGGCGTTCGTATGCTACAGCGTAGAAGCGTCCACGAAATTCTACCAGCCAATACAAGACCTACGAGCACTAAGGCTCGTTTATATTATATCCTGCAACTGGACGCTTCCTTGTGGCTTCCTTGCGCTCACTGTGAACCTTCAGCTCCCTATTCATAGATCGATATCAAGCTGACCCCAAAAAAACAAGTGTAATGCAAAATATATCTCATTTCATCTATCAGCCAATAGGCTATGCTAATCCACCAGACCAGTCCCGAAATGCAAAGCCAGACCATCATCGCCTCATACCTCGCAATCCAGGCTGGTTGTTGTATTCATATCTTAGCAATTTCCTTCCTATCAAAAGAACCTCTCCCACCCAGTTCATGGAGGCTGCCCTGAACCAGGCGACCAAACAGGTGGCGCCAGAACAAAGAGAACCCCAAACCGGCGAACCTTGGCAAACCACGAATACAATCCATGGCTGCCGCTGCCGCACAATCGTACTCCAAGCTGACCCTCCAGTCCAGCATTGGACGCCTCCAGAAAGAAAATAAAGGAAATGTTTGTTGTGTATGTCGAATTAGGAATTCGGTACAATCGTCATTGATCATAAAGGTAAAGCAAGGCAATATGCACAGTTGGAATGCAATATCAAATTGACACAAAACGATGAATGATTGGAAGTCAACCATGAAGGATCTACCCTCTGGTGACATGTTTGGATCCTCTTAACAGAAAGAGGTCTTGCGCTTCTCCGCTGCTGAAGTGAGAACAAGCATTGGTGACTTTCTCTCAACCTCTGGTACTTCTACCTTCTTGTTCTTGAATACAGCGGCAAAAGTGCCACCGATCGCAGCCTCGTCTCCAGAAACACTCGCAGCTGAATAACTGTCCAGCGATGCAACGCTCTTTCGCTCCATTGAGCGTTCGTTGGAACGTGAGGAAGGGCGATCGCTTCCAATTGCTCCGTGAATTGAAGTGCGTGGGCTATCGGGGCTTGGACGACCAGAAAGACTACCACTTCCACTGCGGCCGCTGTCCGAATCATTATCCGAGGTGGCGAAGGTAATTTCACCGGCTTCTGAGACGGGAGACATGCTTCCAGAGCCTGCACTTCCTGGTGATCTTCGGCGCTCCAATCCTGCACGTACAAGATTGTGTACTGCACTACGACGAGTTCGGGTAGCGAAGTTCTTGCTGCCCTCAAATTTGGTAGTTGGCTTTGCAATCAACTCGTCCAATGAAGGTGGTCCACGAGGCTGTCGGATTGGGTGCTCCCCAGCACGAGCTTGTCCGGGACCGAAAGCTGGAGTTGATGGGAATCCCATTGTTTTTGGCAACATTGCAGATCTAGGTCCTTCAAAAGCGCTTGGGATATCGGTACCGATAGCCATGGAGTTTGCCTTGCGATGTCCTCGGCGGAAAGCTCCAGCTGATGGGGGTGGCAAAGGGGCGTGATCCTGGGGTGGGGAAGAGCTCTTCTTGGGAGGGCTGATACTTCGGGTGAAGGTAGGTGTATCGGACTGAGGGGGAGGCGAAACTTGGAATCGTGGTGTACCATGCTGCTGAGGTGGAGAGTAGTTGGCGGATTGCTGGACAATCTGCTCCATGTACTGGTTTTGTTGCTGGCTCTGATCCAAGAAGTAGCTTTGCACGCCGGTCATGGGATTGTAGTGCGAATAGACACCTGGCTGCCCCATAACTGGGGCAATTATGGGCTGCATGTTGTTCTTGACCTGTTGTTGATACATGTTCTGGGGAGTGATTGGTGGAGTAGCAAACTGCTGCTGTTGCATCCCCAAGTTCATGCCTTGGAATTGTTGAGCGGCTGCCTGAACACTGGCTAGCTGTTGCTGAAGTCGCTGCTGCTGCTCTGCGAGGTACATGTTGGTAGCTACCAGTTGAGCATACAGGTTTGGGTCCATTTGTTCCTGGCCATGCTCATCAACCAGAATCTCCGGAGGGGCGAGGATCTGCTCTGGAACAGAGTACATCTGGTTGTTGGTATTGTTGTTCATCTGGCCGTACCCATTTCGTTGGCCGAAGTTGTTGGATGTCTTGGGTCCGCCGTATGATTCCTCCTTTGCATAGATGCTGCCTCCGAGACCTGTGTTGTGCTGAAGCTGAGTAGGAGGAGCAGTTGAAGGGAAGGTGCTCGAGGTGGCCGACTTAGGGGCAGTTCTCAAGCCTGCAAGAAGGTGAGAACGGGAGGTGCGAGGAGTCGGCGCTCCGTTGTCTTGAGCATCGGAAGGCTTGGCTGGCTCAAAGGAGAGGCGCTTGATGTTTGAGCCGTTCGCTCGTCTGGAAGCAAAGCCAGATCCAGGCATACCCAGTCCATTACTGGATGGAAAGTTGTTGTAGGACATCTGAGCAAGACCGCCGGCGTCCATACTCAAGGTTGATGTTGTAATGGTGGTGTTCTGATGATCGAAAAGATCAAGTGGGTGTTAAACACGACGGAGAAAATGAAGGCTGTCGGTTTGACGAAGTGCTCCGGAAACCGCAAGGTCGAAAGGTATTAGAGGAATTATAGGACCGGACAGGTCGATCGAAACGTACGTATGCTGGAGAAGAATGAATTATGTAGTAGTGTTGTAAAGGGCTCGTGATATCGAGCCAGAGGCAGGCCTTTGAAGCAGGCAGCAAAGAAGTGTGGAAAAATTTGCAATAGCTTTGCTCACGGCAGTGATCCAAGATGTGCGAACAAAACCCGGATGACCGGAGGAAACAAAACGCGTCGCGGAGTATGTGGTTGCTGATGAAATTACAGTGTTGTGTTTCTAGTCCGACGAGTGAAATGCAGGAAGGTGTTCGGTGGAAAGAGATGGGTCCACGACAGAAGGGGCGATGCTCTGCAGTCAACAAAGAGACGACGAAGACGAAGACGAAGACGAAGCTGAAAGGCAGGAGCTATAATTGTTCCAGTTCCTGTTCTTTCTGAAGTGTGCCGTGCCGTGCCGTGCTGTGCTGTGCTGTGCTGGAGAATGTACTGAAAGGATTCCAGGACAGGATCTTGAAATGGTGTGGCCAAAGGCGGAAAACGAACAATCAATCAACCGGTCAATCAAATAGCGATGCGGAATGGGCGAAATCTGGAATCGACGGGCAACGGGGAAGAGGGAGGAGGGCCAGACTCAATTCCAGTCACAGTCCTCGAAGGATATCACTCTATACAAAAGAGGATAGGAAGGGAGGGGCGGCGACAACAACAGGAAGAGAACGGCGGTGTGATGGTGAAGAGTAAAAGAGAGATGGAGAAGAGAGAGAAAGTAGCTCAAGGAGAAAGGAGCGTTGTGGAGGATAGGATAGGATAGGACAGGATAGGATGATTGGACTGGATTATCAACGAGGGAGGGCGCTAGACTGGGAGCAGACCATGGCTGGGCTGGGTTGGTTTGGCTGGGCAAGGCAGAGGCACTGATTGGCATGGGTGGTGGTGATTGACAGGGGAGGGGAGGGGAGGGGGGAGGGGAGGGGGGTGCTGTTCTTTCGCTGCGCTGACTCCTGAGCCCCTGATAGGCTGTGGAGCCACTACGGGACACTCTGAAGCTGCGATCTGCTCGGGGGGCCAAGCAGCCTGTCAGAGCTCGAGGACCGCACCGCCGCTGGTCACAGTCGTTGCAGAGCGGGACGTGTGGTGTGCCTGTGCCTTTGTTTGTCATACAAGGAGAAGAAAGAGCAAGAGCAAGAGCATGCGACCGTGTGATGTTATGTGGTGCTGATGCTACTGCTGATGCTGGGGATGAGATGGGTGCGAATCCAATATTGCCTGGCTGGCCTGGTTCCGCTTAAGGGGTGAGATGAGGCGAGGCGAGGCGAGGCGAGGCGAGGTGACTGGACTGAGGTGACTGACTACTGGAATTGGTATGGGAGGTAAATTTACTTACTTAAGGTATGCTAGGTAATTTAGGTAAATTTAATTTACCTTTCAGGCCCGTTTTTGTCTGTGCTTGTAGATACTGCAGGTAAATTAACGATAGCTACGTGCATACAGTAGGTAGTTCCCAAACACTTCATCTTTCATCGACTCCGTGCTGTTGGACTGTGGCGCCGCCAACCAGACGACCGTCAATCCCGTCATGCTGCACTGCACTGCACTGCACTGCACTGCACTGCACTGCACTGCCAATCAATGGGCGCCCTTCTCGCGAGCCAGCCAGCAGGTACTGTATGTACAGTGCAGCAAGCGAGTCAGTGTCAGTGTCAGTGTCAGGAGAGGGCCTGAAGGAGAAGGAGAGAGGGTGGAAACACTGGTAAGGGAGAATCCAGGCACTGCAGGAACTGCAGGCAGGGCAAGGAACACAAGCGCAGGGGAGCTTTGGACAAGTCCTATGCAAATCTACCTCCGGAGGTACAGACTCAAATCGTTACCACCGAAGGTAGGTAGGTCAGTACTGTATGGGCCAGACTCTCTAGAATATCTCCATCAAGCTTTCAGCGTATATTGCCTCGTCGGCGTGTGTCTGTTTGGCTGAAGTCTTTCCGCTTCGCTTTGTTACTTTGGTGAAGCCGATCCTTCAATCGCTTTGGCCCCCTTGTCAAAACAGATTTTTGGCAAGCTTAATCCCATCCAGCTACTGTAATGAACTACTCGCCCCATTCCATGCGCACAATCGTGCTGTAAGAGACCACGTATACAAACCTCAGGTACTCACTCGTGCAATGCAACCAGCCCAGCCCGCGATCAGCAGCACTATCACCACCAGGCCACCGGCGCCGGCGCTTGCATGCAGCAGCCTGCAGATACCTGCCGCCCCCATATCCGTGCCGGCTTCCAGTACTGTAGTAGTATCAGCCTCTGCTTTGCTCCCTTCAAACCTTTCCCCTCCCTCTGGCCCTGTCGCCCGCCCCGCCGGATCAACAACCTCGACCTTAGCCTTAGCCTTTGGCGTACACCAACGCGACACAACACACATGCAAATAATAATGCGAATAATGCATGTGTCGTGGGCTATTGCCACCCAATAGAGGCCTTCGTGCAGTCTTCGGACAGTTCAGCGCGCTTGAGGCGCGTCCATTTCTCCCACTTATTGGCCTCGTTATTCGTTGCGCATGCCGTGACGACTCGGCAGACTCCCATCGGTTATGGACAGAAGAAAAGCGCGTGTAAGTGCATGGCAGACCCTCCCCGCAGCTGTTGCATTCGATAGGGTAATTATACACCCCCCCCCCCCCCCCCAAAAACGATACGCCCCCCCTGTGGGTCTACTAAGCTTGAGTGATCGCGAACTTCAAAGATGTTCAATTCAACTCGAATTTATCAAGTAAGGGCGCTATGCCCGAGCCCCGGAGCTTGCGGAGGGCCGTGAGGGAGTGAGTCCCTTGCGCGGTAGACACGAATCTCACAAAAAGATAGCTAGAGTTTTGGATGCCGAGCGCAGCGGATATTTACAAACAGAGTATTTTTGATGTTATTCAAGTAGAAGAAGGATAATCCGCTAGTGGGAGGGCTTAAGGATATATAACTGGTTGAAGTTGACCCACAGGGGGGGGGCGTATCGTTTTTGGGGGGGGGTGTATCAGTACCCATTCGATACCTAGGTACTGTAAGGCCACAGCTGAATCGCCATACTAACCCGCCATACGCTCATCAAGCAAGCCCAAAATGAAGAGTGCATTTATCACTGCCAAAATTTGTATGAACAACTATGTACAATGCACAATGGGCACTTGTGCTAACTCATCAGACTCTGCATCTTATGTATACCTTGACTCTACTAATTACCTCTCGTTGCATCATTGCAGTAGTAACTAAAGCAACATCTTCAATACTATCTAGCTGATATACTGATGAAATATAGGTTCTCTCTTGGCAAGTACTGAGTTGCGTTAAAGTGTCCCTTTGCCAGTCGGAATAACTTCAATTTCCATTTCCAGGGGCAATTTGGGAAGTATGCACATTTGTCCTTGACATAAGTGATCCTTACCCTACAGTACAAAATTGTATGGCAGGGCAAGGTTGATAGATGACACTCGCCAAGTTACTAGAATTTTAGCGTATGGCGATAGCGATTTCCGTATGGCGATTTAGCTGTGGCCTACTGTAATATGCCAGGCAGCTTCCTAAGAAGCTTAAAGCTCCCGAGAGAAAGGACCACGGAGTTGTTCGAAGTAAACATGACGCCCCATGCTCGTTTCTCTACCTGGAACGACGGGTCCAGCTCGTTCTCCACAGGGACCCTCACTCCTAAACACGGAGACGCGCAGATGCATCAAAACGAATGTCAGTGCGCTTGTCTCATGATCCATGTCGAGAAGACGCCTCTCAAAGCTGCCAGCCAGCCAGCCAGCCAGCCTCCCAGCCTACCTGGGTGCTCAACCTCAAAGAGCCAAAGGGCCGCACGCTTGCCAAGAACTGCCCCTCGACCCCCTGAACAGCACAGCACAGCACATAAGCAAGAGCACGGGTGTTGAAACTCGCTCTTTATGCTGTAAGTTTGCCTGAATCTCGGTTGGAGTTCCCACCTTGACGCGCAACACGAACTTTCTTGGCTCCTCGAACGCCACAATCTATTTTCTGCCTTGCTCATTTGGAAATCCAGCTCCAGAAGCGGACTTAGTGGGTTCCAGTAGGGCTGTTGCGAGATTGAAGTCCCCAGTTTTCATTTCGGCGATTGTATACACGGTATATCTTTCGGTTCGATCGCGTGTCCTGGCTGTTGCCAAGAAAGCGCCACTGCTTTCTTTTCCTGATGTCTTGTGCCATGCTGACAGGACACCATGAACTCGAAAACCTTTTGGCATCGTCCAAATGTTGAGAATCAGGCGAACGTCGATACTGTTTCTCAACGTACTACGAGTCCTTTGTTTCAGGTTTGGAAGACTTTTACAGCACAAGGTTAAGCTTTCTCAGAATCTGACAACTTTTTTGCCCGAACAGTCTACAGATTAAAGGTTACCGAACTTTGTCCTTGACATCTTTCATACTTCTATGAACCGTTCGTTTCATTTCAAAGGCAGAGAGTTCATTCTTTGTGAGACTGAGAGAGTCGGCTCGGTCGGCTGGCAAAGCAGGACTTCCAGTGACGTGGCCAATGTTCTGACATCCTTCTGGAAACTTTGGAGAAACTTTGAAGAAACTTTGATATTACAGGAGCACATGCTCCTTGCTGTCTGGAAAATACTCAACCCTCGGCATTAGGAGAGATCCGCTGCGACGCGACTGGTGAGGCCGAGAGAATTTTACAAGTCTTGGGCTGAAAGTGAACACATGTCTTGGACGGAGCTGGCATCGCATGAAATATTGAAGAAGCTCACAAATGGATGAAGATTGTCTTGACGCCAGCAGCTGTGGGTGAGCATTCCAATCTTTTCATGGTGGTTGTCTCTCAAGACAATGAAACTGGCGATGTCCCGGCCTGTCAGTTCTTACCAACAGAATGGTCCAGTTGAGGCACTTCGAAAGCAAGTCACGGATCATCTTCTTGTTGATGCTGACTATGCATACTATCCGGCCACGCGGGAATATCGATCTGTCAGTGGCTGTCCTCCTTGTCACAAAGAGCGTCACTCTTGGAGATGGGGTACATCAATTAACTGCTATCGAGCAGAATAGCTACCAGGCAGTGCGCGACACATATTTCCTCAGAACCATTTGACTCCGGCTCTGACCTACCACATCTAAAACCGATGATAGAATCCTTTTCTTGTCTTTTAAGAGGCTACACGAGGCGAGTCCTTTTTAGCCATGTGGTCACTGTCGTGGTCTGTGCCTCCTCCAGGGTCCCTGACGAAGAGCGGAACTTAGATTCTTGGGCAATACGAGAATTCGAGAGCATTTCATGGTGCTGCGGAAACACTTTTGAAGTGTGGGTGTCTGACGCCATGTAGACACGGCTGGAGCCTACAGGATCCGGAAGTTGAACTGTCCTAGCCACTACGAGCTAAGAATGACATCCAAAGGACCAGAAAGTGGAACCGTGAACTTATGCAGCAGTACTTCGCGCTGTGAATTCAACAACAACTCTTAGGAGTCGACGGAGGTCTTTGCCGCTCGGCGATCTTCATACTTTGGTAACTACATGCCTTCCATGGCCCGGCAGTCTGCCTCGTCCCAGATCAGAGCATTTGGAATCTGCGTGATTGTGTCTTCGCACAAACAGTTGTTTCCGAGCCCTCCTATCAAGCTGCCTAAGCCTCTTGCTTGACCATGATACGATATATCAAAGTACATATCGAAGGACTAACACACTGGGGCGAGATTTATCTATAGTATATACTGTATGCGACTCAGCGTCAGAAACGCTGCAATGCTGTAGTAAATATGGCCTTATCGCAAGCAGCTCTTGTTGAAGCTTGCGTTTGAAATGTGATGCAGTTGAATTGTTGACCAGTGTTGATGAGGAAACGGCACTCTCGGCGATGTTCAGCAAGTAGTTGGGTAAGAACATTACTCTCTAAAACATTCGCCGCATGTGCTTGTGAACTACGTGAGAATGGCCCCCGTTGAGGACCATCATGACACTTGTGTGTTGGGAGATCTATCATTTGCTCTGACTATTTCTAATCGACTTATGGTATCCGCGAAGGAGTCAGAGTCCGGTGTGAAGACGGAGCACAGAAAGAGAATTAAATCCTCATAATCAACAATGAAGTCGCGGATATGGAATTGTTTCCAGAGTTTACTTTTTGCACAGAGGCTGGAGTTTTTGGATGGGAGTTGGAGAGTGGAGTCAAGGTGCGAAGTTGAAAGATCGTTCTATCTAAATATGGAAATGGAGCTCACTGCTCTGACATCGGCATGAGTGAAGTCTATCTTTTGGATCTGATCTATAATAAGACCGGGTTGAAAAATTCAATTGTTTCATTTGTTAATGTGGGTGACAGATCGGACACACTCAATTTGGTATGCATGGCTTATTCCAGAGGGATTAAGGATTATCGGGAGTTTAGAGCATGAGTGATAGTGGTCTCTGTACAAGCGAGCTACGTAAATATGGCAGCATAAAAAATCATGGTTCATTCCATTCTGCGTAATGAGACGTGGAGTGTAACATGAATGAATATATACTTCCCAGGTCTCCACGACAAGTTTTCACAGCTTCTGTTTCGATTCCAAATTTTAGCGAGCAACCCCTGAATCTTCCCCGCACTTTACGCAACCTTCGCTTGGAGCAAGCAATCGCATCAGATCGCGTCCCCCAATTTCGACTCATTCCTTCCCAACGTTGCAATATCCCTTCAAGCGGTGGAACGCCTTTTAGCGTGGTTTTAGCGCGGTTTTCCCAAAAGACCTTTTACAATTTGCTACATAACTTATCACCCTCTGCTTTGAAAGAAAAGCTTATATAGTAATAGTTGTTAGTTCAACGTTAAACTATTAGTATATGTATTTTGTTTATAGATACTTCTTTAGTTACGTTCGATGCACTCTTTTTTTGTTTTCACGCTAAAAGGCGTTACCGAACCACCGCTTGAAGGGATACTGCCTCCAGCCTCGGCCTGTGCAGCTACATCGCAGCATCTGAGCCACTCACGCCTATACTCAATTCTCTATGTGTTGACTTTGCGCGCTTCTCGAAGTTGTCACTCCAAATATCTTGCAGATTCCTCCCAACGTCATCTAGACCATCGCGAACATGGCTACCAGTGCCCCAACTATCCTCAACCTCAAGACCTCCTTCCTCCGCGCCCAAATTCTGGCGCTGTCTCACCCATTACGTCCATCCGCGACATTCACAGCTTCGAACACCTCCAACGAGGAGAACGTCCTTCGCCAGAAAGCCATCGACGACGCGCTTATCAAACTAAACAATCAGCTGAAGCAGCACAACAAGTTATCGTATGGCCCGCAGGTGCAGAGACATGTTGCAGAGCAGGTGGATAAGTTGTATTGGAATGCCGGAGAAAGGGGAGTGAGACCCTTGGGATTGCAGGATCAGTGGGTTGAACGGGGCTCAGATTACAGTGTGTATCCAAATGGGCGACTTGTGGATGTGAGACTGATTCCAGTTATAGCGAACGAAAGTGTGATTGAGCAGCTACCAGACTCATGGAGCGAGCATGCAACAGCCACTATCCCCGAGCAAGCAGCCAAGTTCACAGAACTCTCACAGAAACTCACGACATTAAATGAGCACCGTCGAATGGCGAAGGAGAAAGTTGAGAGGTATAAGCAATTTAAGGAGATGGTAGGCTTATTTGCGGAAGATACTGGCGTTCAGGATAACCTGGTGACGCGAAATGGAGAGGTGGAGCTTGAATTGGAAAAAATGAGGAGGTTGATGTTAAGGGTTGAGAGGGGAGTTGGCGCATTGGAGGAAAGGGGGCAAGGAGAGGAGGAGATGGATGTTGTTATTGAGGGTGACGTTGAGGAAGAGGGCAAACTATTGGCTCTGTTGAGCGGAGATGGTTAGCAACTGTACCCGAATGTATGTGGACATTATTGCTGTGCAACTCGTTGAGTCCGAGGAGGGCCGGCTTTGGATCCCAGAAAAACTTGCTATGCTATCCTCTAGTGAAAATATGTCGTTCCAAGCTCCAAGGGTCTGCTGTTTAACATAAAGTATCACACGAAAGTTCATGTAGGATTACGAAAGTTATGGACAGGGTCACGTCTCAATTAAAGGATCTTGTCATTTTGAAAGGAAGTTCTTTATGCAAGCTTTGCGTGCTGTATAGTGTCGCAAGTGTGAGCTGGACAGGTATTTATTCGTTAAATCGTTCGTGTTGAAATATTGGAAACGCCGCCCAAGGAAAGACATTCCAAGACTTTCTACCCCATTACTGGTTTGAGACTAGTATAGTAAGTGAGTGGAAACTGCAAATCAGTCTTACTTCGCTATATTCGTGTACGCTTGAAGTCTAGTGACCGGTAATTATTTTGTACGAGAATTGGCAAACCTTGACCAGCATTTACCATTGACGATGCATACAATAAACCTTATGGCGATAGCCAACGCCGCTTTCCGAGTCGGGTCGGCAGTTGGATACTGGCTTTTGTACTCGATTGTAAACATGGTAAGTAGATGCTGCTATTTCGACAAAATTTATGAAACAAACCGTTGGATAACCAAATCGGCCTGCTAGAGGGTGGTCAAACATCTCAAGGGGCTATGGCTACTTGCAACATGAAAAGTTTGTCCCCCAAACACACGAAGAACAATGCTCGACTATTAAACGCTATGGCAAATATGTGTATGTTTGATGCAGCTGAGACACATCAGGCTCAAATCCCAATGCTTTGGGTGGCATCTCATTGGAGCCAGCCGGATCGCCACTAGGATTTGGTGGTGGTCGAATTGCTTCGGTACACCTTCCAAGTTCCCACTGCCCACTACTGGGGCAATACACGAGCCATCAGAAGATCTGACGTCCACGATGCTTTCGGAAGGAAATCTATCAGAAGTTTCTGCGCCACGTTGTCATGCTTCGAAAAGGTGGACCAGACAGAATCTGTGCCAGTTCAGTCAAGCAAAGCACACCGAGAAGTGACCGAAAGGCAAGGGAAGGCAAGGCAAGGAATAGAACGGAATGGAATGGTCTGGACTTGTCTAAAATCTGGATTTCACATGGTGTTTGGGAAGCGTTGGGGTTGGCAGATGAAGGGAACCTGAACCTGGAAAACGGCTGAGTGGATACCTTAACACAGGTGCAGGTGGTTTTGTTTGGTGGTGGGGACGTTGCTGGCTGGCTCGAGCCTCGAGATCGCTACCAAGCCTCAAGGAAGGGGAATGGAAGGGTTCCAACAGCACCAAGAATGCGAGGCAAGGCAAGGCTCGGGATTGCCAAATAGGAGCTTCCGACCAGTCTCCATCCTCCATCCTCCATCTCCAATCTGCAACCCAGCAAGACTGACTGACTTGGCTGTTGGGAGAAATCCTGATATTTCGCCTTCTGGTTCCTGACCTTGACCTTGGCAGAAGCAGAAGCAGAAGCAGACCGGTAGGCTGTAACTAACCTCACCATTCTTTACCGAGCATAAACGAGCTGAGGTGCGCTGCTGTCTCCTCCACTCTCAAGGATACTTTACCTTACCTTACCTTATCCTTTTTCATGTGAAATCACCTACAAGTAGGAAGGTTTTGAGTCACTTGTTCCCTTCCCTGATTCGCTGCTTGAAATAGAAGGCCGGCCTCGACTCGACTCGACTCGACTCGACAGCATAACGGAAATGACGAGCCGCTTCGTACTCTCCTTGCAATACCTTAATACGAGTACTGGTACAGTAGAATTATGAATGGAAGTTGCCTGCCAGCAGCCCACAGGGGACACTGGCTCCACTGTTCGCCTGGGACTGGGAGGGTGCAGGTGGGTTTGGCAAATTTCCTGCTTGAGGTAACCTCACCTCACACGTTCTTCGTCTGGCTGGATGCCCAATTTGTCTTGCAACTGTGGGTTCCTGCGAGCTATAGGTACTGTATCTCCAGGTACAGTACAGTACAGTACAGTACTGTACTGTAGGGTACCTGGGTATCCATGCAGTGGGTGGGTATTGTATCCTAACCGCCTGGACTCTGGACTCTGGACTCTGGAGTTCCTCTTCTCCAGGAGTGACGGGAGCAGCTGTGCCCTGCCCCGGGCCATCCTGATATTGTACCGCGCCCACCAGACACAAGCGGTTCGCAGTGCCAAGTATCCAGTTTTCTCGCAGCAACACTGCAGTACCTACGAGTACCTAGAGTACACTTGATCAATCATATTCAGCACAGCCAACTGACAAAGAGGAGCCCGCAATGCTCTTTCGGCATGGTTCCCGCGCGCATTCAGGCTGGCTGATATGGACGATGGGGAGATTGAAAGCTCGTTTCGTGCCCGTGCAGGTGCTCGCTCTGCTCCCTTGCTGAAGGAGTGTCAGGGAAGAACGATCCGACTTTTAACTTCGTGGGACAGATTTCCTTCCAGCATTCCGGATGTTGCACCTGCCCTGCCCTGCCCTGCCCTGCCCTGCCCTTGTGCTTAGCTTAGTTCTAGAGGGATACAGTAGTGCGGAGCGGTTTTGTGGTTCTGATTGTGAAATAATCCACTTCGCTCGTGGTATGAATAGGTAAGGTTGCTCTCACCCCTCACTCACTGCTCAGGTCAAGGCTGTCTTCGCTCGAGTTCTTTATCCTCGTTGCGACTTTGCACAGTACTGTACCTACCTTGTTTTTCCCTTGCCCCCCAGATGCCACGCAACCCGAGCTTTCTCGCCTGTTACCTTTGCTTCCCTACCGCGGGTCTTCGCACCGGCTCGGCATTCTAAGCACTTTCGGACCTATTTTTCTTGTCAGTAGTAGCAGTGGCGTCGGTCGCAGAAGACTTTTTCCTGACGACTCAGTACTTATCGGGCTCGCCTCCTCTAGTGAGGCTGCTTACGGAGGCTTGGATGACCCTAGTCTCCTGGCTGCATCATCCCACTTCGCGTCCCCTAAATTGGTACCCCGCCAAGAGAATACCAACGGTCGAAATACTATACATACGACTGGAAAACGGCAAGCAAGTATATTCTACCTCTGGCTCAGCGTACAGACACCATGTCTAGCGAGTACCATACGGCCAGTGAAAGTGGTGGAACAAGTCATCAATATCGTGAGCTTTCGAGCGAGGAACCCAGCCAAGACACGAGTGCGAACCCTAGCAGGCCTTCGAGTGCTGGAGGAACAGGAACCCCTTCATATTCACACAAAAAAAGCAGAGTACGGTTTAACAGCCACAGTGAGGCCAATGATACGCAAAATCAGAAATCGATATTTCCACTACAAAGAGGTTCCATCCCACAACTTTCGGAACCACTTCCGCCAACTGCACCCGAGAGAATAAAACAAGGTCAATCTCATTCCAGAAACAGCAGTACAGCCAGCCTGCTGAGAAGGACCCCCGAAACCGAGAAGGAAAACCCGTTTGAAGATCCCCCATCTGGGAGCTCAGTATTTAGACCACGACCGTCGTTGGTGAGGAACAATTCTTCCAGCTTTGGCGAGAATTTTGAGGATGTTAGCGAGTTCAATGAGAAGACCTTCTCCGCCTTGGCAGCTCAGGAAAGAGCTCAGAGGGTAGCATCTCTAGTTGGAAGCCATTCAGCACCGGCTTCTAGGAGGACAAGCTTGGAAGAGGGGACCGAGGATGAGCGACCTCGACGCAGTAGGACTGGTGTCTATCCCGTCAGGATCGATGATATTCCGCTGGCGGATATGGATAGTCGCCGGACATACGATGGAGCGGGACTTGACAGTGACGATGAAAGCTTAGAAACACACCAGGAAAGAAGCAAGGGTTCCAGCAGCACCGAGGCTCACAAATTGGTGCGAGCTCACACAAGGAAAATCAATGGAGAATCCTGGAAGACGCCAACACAGCCAACTCCAGGCCTTGTCTCTGGTCAAGTGACGCCAACTGACGAGCAGCATGAGGATGACTACGTACCAAGGCCCACGCAATACAGAGGTGGAGTACTTTCTTCGCTTCTCAAGCTTTACAACGCTCCTCAATCTGCTCATTCAAGGAGAGGTAGTGATGCATCCCCTGGTACAGGTAGTCCATCTCAGACTGGGACTGGCTCATCGGGAATGAACACGCCACGAACGAAGCACACAAAGTGGTATAACCACAAGAATCAATCGCAGGACACGCTCGCTGGACTTATAGAGGCTTCTGCAATTCTAGGTGCCCAGGGAGGAGCAATGACTCCGAAGAAGAGTCGTCCTGGGAAGGGCAAGCGATCACACAGCGGAAGGCTCCTCGACAGTGCCAAGAGAACCGTGGGCTCCAAACCAAGGCTTGAGGATGAGATAAGAATTACTGTGCACATTGCAGAGACTCTCAGCAGGCAGCGCTATCTCTTGAAGCTGTGCCGGGCGTTGATGAGTTACGGTGCGCCAACACATCGTCTAGAAGAGTACATGTAAGTTGTCGCTAGCAGGTGACGCTTCCTCTTCCCTCTAAGCCCCGAGCATTATATGTGTGGAGGTGACTGGTCCAAGGCAATTTCCAGTGGATGGTTGCTGATTTCACAAATTTTACAGGAAGATGAGTGCACGAGTGCTTGAAATCGATGGTCAATTTCTCTACATTCCCGGATGCATGATAATCTCATTTGATGATGTGTCAACTCATACAACAGTCAGTATTAACCAATGTCTTTCTCATTTCTGGAGGTTCTAGTACGATTGACTAAAGTGTACTTTCTTTATTTCTATTAACACTGCTGACTGCAATCTCTCCCCAAAGGAAGTCAAGCTCGTCAAGGCACCCCAAGGAGTAGATCTAGGCAAGCTGAAGGATATCCATGAGATATACAAGGAAGGTCTGTAACCGTGTCAATTATGACCCAATCAACCAATTGAATTGCCAATTCTGACCTTCACATAGTCGTCCACGATGTCATCGGTGTTGAGGAAGCTACACAACGGCTCGACATCATTATCACCAACAAGCCAAAGAACCACCCATGGTTCCTCGTTTTCGTATATGGTTGTGCAAGTGCTTCTGTTGGTCCATTTGGTCAGTCCAGCTCATATTTGACTTCTATTACATTCAGTTACACAGATTATATCCATGCCGAGTGTCTTCAGTACACTCATAGAGGCTTGTTTCCAACAATGCTAACATAGGAACAGCCTTCCAAGCACGGCCGATTGACATGCCGATTGCATTCTTGCTTGGGTCTATCCTCGGCTTTTTGCAATTGATCGTGGCTCCAAGAAGCGAGCTCTACAGCAACGTCTTCGAAATATCAGCTGCAGTCCTTACCTCGTTCTTGGCTCGTGCCTTTGGTTCGATCAGGGGTGGAGACCTCTTCTGCTTCTCAGCACTTGCACAATCCTCAATCGCGCTCATTCTTCCTGGATATATGGTGCTTTGTGGATCTCTAGAGTTACAATCACGTTCTATGGTTGCGGGCTCTGTGCGAATGGTCTATGCCATTATCTATTCCCTTTTCTTGGGATTCGGTATCACCATTGGCACCGCATTCTATGGTCTCTTAGCCGCCAATGCCAGCAGCCAAACGACATGCACGAATCAGCTTGGTGACTTCTATAAGTGGCCGTTTGTTGTATTGTTCACTCTATGTTTGTGCATCATCAACCAAGCAAAGTGGAAACAAATGCCAGTTATGTTGACAATTGCGTTCGCCGGATATGTGGTCAATTTCTTCAGGTAACACGACTCCTTCGTCCATGTTTGGCATCGTATTCTGGCTTGCATAGCACAAAAAGCTACCGCATATTCAGAGCGTACTAACGTTCGAACAGCGCAAAGAAATTCCCCTCGTCGGCTCAAATATCCAATACCTTCGGTGCCCTCGCTGTCGGCGTGCTCGGTAATCTATACTCCCGGTTGAGACACGGAGTTGCAGCTGCTGCTCTTCTGCCTGCTATTTTTGTACAGGTTCCTTCTGGCCTCGCTGCATCTGGTTCTCTTCTGGCTGGCCTCAGTACCGCGGATCAAATCACTAACACTACTACTTACACAAACGGCACAGCAAAAATAAGTGGTAACATTACTAGTACTGTAAGTATTCATGACAACCTAGGCCACTCCTTTCTCAAGGTTCACGTCCAGGTAGCTGGGTAGAAGCTCTATTTGACACTGCCTATGGCGGTTCGTTCTCCGGCTTGCGGATGCCTTTCCTTTGTCTAGCAATCTCACAAAATATTTCCCCATTCGCCTGCTAGATCTGTCCAATCTACCAGACAATTTGGAGGATAAGAGCTTGGTCTTGCACGAGTGGATACTGACATTTCCCCGTACCATAGGTATCCGTGGCATCAGGAGATCTCAACACCATAGTATTCAACGTGGGATATTCTATGATTCAGGTCAGTGATGTGCTTCTTTGTAGCTCAGCCCTCTCAAGATAGACCGGTGCTAACACTGCAAACAGGTCGCAATCGGAATCACAGTTGGACTATTCCTCAGTGCTTTAATTGTATACCCACTAGGAAAGAGACGCAGTGGATTGTTTAGTTTCTAGGTGGCCAAAAATTCCGGATACGATTGTGTTGTCGGAGAAAGCGTCTATAAAGGATGAATTTGCAGGGGATTCGGCGCATAGTTGTGATTTCACGAAGCAAGCGTCATAGTGTCAGTCTGACTTGGGAGGAGTTTGGATATGTCGTAACTGGGGCACGAAGCATGGGTGCCACGGCGTTTAGCTTCATAGACATTAGATAGTCGCCACACGGCGAACATGCGTAGCAAAGAAGTGTGCTCACATTCACTGAGAAGTTGCATCTAATCTCCAATTCCTGTCTCTCTCAGCACACCCACTTCCATTCCCACGCCCTCCACAACGCCATCACACTTACCCCCCACACAAAACAACCTCCGACATTCCTGCCCTCTCATTCGTTACACAGAATGCGACGAGCAACAAAACTTCTGCTTTCACAGATGAAGCAGGTCACGAACACGCTAATTACGAGCCATCACTCCGCGTTCGCGACAAGGCTGACCGAATGTCTTAGCCTCGTCCTGGATTGGGCGTCTGCTGCATGGAGAGTCAGCTGTTGCTTGCTCGCTTAATTTCCGCTTTGGCATAGGGATGAGGATGAGGTAGTGCTGTGAAGGACCCGTGTGGCAGAAGGGCATGTGAATATGCGCTGGACACTGGAAAGCTTCTTTAGCACCTTAGGCTGACCTGTGATCAGAGTCTGCATCATTGGCTGCGTAAGGGAAGAGTGGTATTCACTATTGCCTCCGCGTCTAGTTTGCTTTCGCTGAGGGTAACAGTGCTCCAGAATATAGCTCAAACTCACCAATAGCTTCTTGGAATACTGATTCGTATACGTATCATCCGCTTTATTCTGAATCTTTATAGCTTGGTGAGTATGACTTATAAAGAAGAGTTGAAACTCGGTACGCGGGACTTCAGGCTGGAGCAGAAGGCTTAGGTATCCGTTTCATAGTTTGGCGGATTCTTTCTGTGGGGAACAATATTACAGGGCTGGAGGTTGTGACGAATGTAGCCAAGAAGCCGGAAGAGTTGAAGCAAGATCAGAAGAAGAGGAATTCAGGAAAAGGCATCGCGGAAATGGGTGCCATTTCCGTCAAACTCTCGCACGACCTTCGTCTCTTCCATACCCGGTTTTCTAATTGTTGCCTACACTCCTGTAGATTTCCCTCAAATCCATTCCATCAAGCTCGCCCTCTGCAATCTCTCCAACAACTCTTCCAGGCCGACCCGCCACGATGGAGAAACTTGGGATGACCATATTGGGTGGCACAACTGTTCCATCCATAATCTTAACGTAATCCTTGATGATTGTGAATTTACCAATGACGCAGTTCGATCCAATATTGATATGGCTTCCTACGAGTGCTGCTTCGATGATAGAGCCTGGACCGACGAAGACGTGGTCTGCGATCTTGAGGGGATAATGCGAAAATTGCCTAGCAAGCAGGCTCTGTCAGCCTTATTTCCTCTTCATAGCCTGAAGACCAGGCATCAGCCATGATATGGAATCATTACCCCTTATAGAGCTTCCCAGGTGGCCGAAGCTCGCATCCTCGACTGAAGAAACAGTACCGTCCGATAGCTACCGCGACTGGATTCCCCTGCTTCTCGCTCGGATTGCTGGGCGGGAAAGTTCGAAGCAAGTCGCCGCGGATGATTACTTCGGCTTGGATGACTGTCTTACCCCCGAGGATGATGTTTGTTGTGCCAATTATTTGGGAGCGGCGCGATACTTTGTTGCCTGTATCCTAGAGGGGGGCATTAGCACTTCCAGAATCTGAAATCTCGAAGAAGGCTCTCGAGCAGGGACAGGAGCCTCTAGGGACTTGGGAACTTGCAGTTTCGATGTACTCGCCTTTCGCAGGCTTTTTAGACATGATTACATGGCAAGTCGAAGGTTGTACGGCGTTGGCGTTGGCGTTGTTTGCGGCCAGTACGCTCAGGGTCAGGTCTGAGGTAAATAAAGTAACCTACTAGGGACCGTCGTAGCAGCGCATTGCCCACCCCACCACCAACCGCAGCCAGCCTAGCCCCAGCCCAGCCCAGCAGCTCTCAGCCTTGCATGACACGGACAACAACCACCCAATAATGGCCCGCCATTCACAGCGGGCGTCCAAAGAGCTGAGGTGGCCTCTCCGGATTTACACGGCTCACCACCACGTCCAGCCTCTCAGGCACAATAATCCACGACAACCTTTTCCTACATTCCTTTGTTTTGGCCTTCTTGAATTCATGCTGGCGCGCTAGAAGACCATTGATAGCGGAAAGTGGAAAGGGGAAAGAAAGTGCAGAAGATGAACGGCTTTTCGGCCCGTGGCCTGGACGAGGATGCTTTTGGGGAAAAGAAAGGCAATATCGTCCAAGCTTTTGATGCATTTCGTGAGCTGTCACCACTAACATCTTGCTTTCTTTTACTTGCACTCTTCGAATGGACCATTTGCGCGAGTTGTCATTTGGGAAACTCTTACTGACTTGAATACGCCATAGCCAAGGCAAAGCCACAATATGTAACCAGGACATCAGGCGGCGGAAAATGGACTGTCGCAATGCTCGTCGTATCGTTCCTCCTCATTTTCTCGGAATTCTCACGGTGGTGGCGGGGCCACGAAACCCATACGTTTGCTGTGGAGAAGGGCGTTGGTCATGATCTGCAGATCAATTTGGATATTGTGATCCCAATGAAGTGTGATGATATACACATCAACGTGCAAGATGCAGCCGGAGACCGTATCTTGGCCGCCACTATGCTAAAGCGTGATCCAACAATGTGGTCACAATGGGTGGACGCAAGAGGTGTTCATAAGCTGGGTACGGATGCAAATGGGAAAATTATCACTGGAGAAGAGTACCATGAGCATGAGGAAGGGTTTGGGGAAGAGCATGTCCATGATATTATTGCTGCTGCTGGAGGTGGAAGGAAGGCCAAGTTCGCAAAGACTCCGAGGCTCAAGTGGGGTGCTGCTGGTGGTGACAGCTGTCGTATTTATGGAAGTTTGGGCGTAAACAAGGTTCAAGGCGATTTCCACATTACAGCTCGTGGTCACGGTTACCAGGAGTTTGCTGCTGGGCATCTGGATCATAATGGTACGGAAGTCTCTTTTTTTGGAAAGCACGAAATTCTTCTAACATCTCATAGCCTTCAACTTCTCCCACATTGTCTCTGAGCTCTCCTTCGGACAGTTCTACCCCTCACTCCTTAACCCTCTCGACCGAACCATATCTACAACCGACAATCACTTCCACAAGTTCCAATACTTCCTCTCAGTGGTACCTACAGTCTACTCTGTTGATTCTAGCACGCCGTATGCCTCCCGCACTGTGTTCACCAACCAGTATGCAGTCACAGAACAATCCCATATGGTCGGAGAGCGATCAGTACCAGGAATATTTTTTAAGTATGACATTGAACCAATGCTGCTCACAGTCGAGGAAAGTCGCGATAGTTTTCTGAGATTTGTGGTCAAGATTGTCAACGTTGTTAGTGGCGTGTTAGTGGCCGGCCATTGGGGCTTTACACTGACGGAATGGGCAACTTCTGTGTGGGGAAAACGGAGGAGGGGGAGGAGCGATGGTGTCATCAATGGACGGTCTCATGAGATGGAGGATTGAGTGTATATCTTGTGCAGTATTCCTACAATATCCAAGGTGTTCAGGTGTTAGGGGTTCATGTAGCTATCAAAAGACTGATCATGTCTGAACATAACATTATTGGTTATACTCTCTTGAAATATCTGCTTCCACAGAACGCTTTTTTGATTCCATGCATTAAGGCCAACCCGGTGGTTGCAATACTATTATCTTATTACGCAAAATAACTCCGACCAACAGGAGACTGAATTATACAAGATTTCCACGAACAATATGGATGACCCTACGAGGTGCTCGACTTTGCCAATCCAACCCCCAATCCTACGCCAAGGGCAATAGCCAAAACGATGAGAACGACGACCAACAAGCACCACCACTTTAGTCTGTTTCTGCGTCTGGCATGCTCATTCGCCTTGTCGATCTCTGTGTTTCCTTTATTCACATCCTCGGCCGTCTGGATGGCATTCTGCTCGGTATGTTCAATCACGGGATCTTGAGCCTCCACGATCTGAGCCATATCGGCGAACATAGCAGCAAGCTCGGTAAGAGTAGCCTCGATACGCTGAAGCTCATTGTGACGAGCACGGACGGCGCCAAGAACAGATGAAGCTTGTCCTGAACGATTACTCTTGAGCTATGAACTTGTTAGCGCCGTGTTTCAAAACATTTCTTGACAGATGGAAAGACTTACTGCAGTCTGGAAAACACCCTCGGATCCCCAGTCCAATTCAGATGCTTCTTGAACCTCGGCCTCCGAAGCTTCCGGATTGACAATGCGGTACTGTCTTGCGATTTGGTCACGGTATCGTTGTCTGTATTGAACTTCTTCTGACTGGTATTCCTTCAAGCTCTTCTCAAATTCGCCTTTCAGTTGTTTCGCCTGTCTCGCCTTCACGCTCTTCGTTCCATCTTGCGTCTTCAGGGCATCCAACTCCAAGTATTTGATCTGATCTCTGATTTTGGTGTTTGTCAGCTGTGTTTGCGTAACGAGGCTCTCAAGCTGGGCGGATGAGTTGCTATCTGGCGACGACAGAGCCCTCTGGTGTAGCGACGCGATTTCCTGGATGTTCGAGCTTAGGCCACGGATCTCGGATTTGGCATAATCGACGCGGGCGAGGAAGTCTTGTTGTGAGAGGACGGTCGAAGATGTTGGAGCCGCGGGAGCGCCGGCATTGGAGTAGTTGGACGTCGCGGAATAATTGGACATCTCATGTTGAAGGTTTTGTGTGCCTGGTTGGCCCTATGCGATCGCAAAAGTAGAAAATTAGTATGCTACTCTGTTCTGTTCGAAGCGTGTGGCTAGAAGCGCAGGCGGAGTGTTGAGGGGAACTTGAAGCTTACTCCGCCTTGTCCATTCTCCGCATTGGGTCCATTGTTGTATGGATTCCCGCCATATTGGTCGTATTGAGTGTACGACATCTTGCGCGCTCAATTGATGCACGACAAATAGTGGTGGAAAGGTCGTAGATGAAGAGTCGTGTTTGATGATGGCTTGCCGTGAATGACGAACAGAGCCGTCAGGTGCGGTGCCTAGGCCAAAGCTGACGAAATTGCGGCCGAGGAACAGTCAGCCGGTTAATCAATCGAAATTTCGCTCGATCTTTGACTCGACACGCAGACCGCAAACTCTGAATGTTCGGTGAGAAGACTATAGTATTGCTTGATACAGTATAGGGAGAGAAGAAAGGAAGAAGAGGCAGAGTCAAAGCAGTCTCGCTGCCTTTGTCGCCGATCTCACCTCAGTCAGCTCAGGACCTCACGCTGCACGCACAGTAATGCTCGCACACCTGCTCGCCTGCCTGCCTTGATCGGTGTTTGGCTTTATCCGGCCGGCGGTAAGGTTCCCTCAGCTCAGCCTCAGCCACTTTGCATTGTCTTCATCTCTGTCTCCTCTGCTCTGCATACAGTACTGCACTGTACCACTGGCATTGTGTCGCGGCCGAATACAGCTACCTGCCTGTCAACCGTCCGCGCTTCGTGTTTCAGCATCATCCAAAGCTTGTTGCGGCTCAACTGCTCTGTACATACAAATGACGTGGATCCCGACGAGTTCGCGTGCTTCAGGAACGCGCGGCACCCTTGTACTCTTGTCACATGACCAATATGGAACAGTGAACCATTCCATTGTCAAGGTCGCTAGGTAATCTATCAATCTGCCTCAGAGGAGATTTCATGGCTCTACCTACAGAGGCTCCTCATCCGATGTCGTTGCCGGGAGGGTGGTACGGCAGACGGAGCCAATTATGCTCAAATCGCCTCATCTTCTGGTGGAAAGCCTATCAGGACCTCCGTCGTGGCAAAATAGCTCATATGGACTCACTATGTTGAGAGATGTAAAGACCTTCCGTCCTCCGTACTCCTGGCCGAGCAGAGTACTCGACACTCCCTCCGCCATTCTTCGACTCAGACTTGGGACATACGTTCGATTCGCGACTCCTCGACTATGGACCTATTTATTGCATAGCAACAACTCAGCAACGTTGGCAAGTCTCGACTTGTGTGTCGCGGAGCGCTTCACATTCTACTCATCTGGTGGCCACTTTGAGCAATGTCGAGCTGCGATCTGGATTTGAAGAAGCCTCCGGGTCAATGGTTCACGTCTCGGAACGACTATGTCATGAATTGGCTCACAGATATTGTGCAAGCCAGTTCAAATTCACTGTCTATGCCTTGGGCAACTTCCATGATGAGTGCAAATTTCACAATCGTCAGAAATGGTAGTCTAAGCAAGCAGCGTCTGCACGGACTGGCCACATGGTCATAGACTGTCATCCAAACCCCATATATGCATTGAAGTAGTCTGCTGAAATCAACCAACTATAGGTATCTGGCGTTCGCATGAAGAATTTCGTTCCATACCGTTGGTACAAGACATGTACTGTACCTGATCAGTGTTATCCTGAATCACGCTCTTCACTTGTTTGTTAGGAAAAGGTACGGTCTACTTAGAACATACGATGCTTAGCAGGTCACCGAGCAAGTGTTCATTCAAGCCTCGATGTTAATGTCGTGTATCACATCTGCGACTTTACTGGAGAGGGGTTTTTTTTTTCTGTCGAAATTTTTCATTATGCAGTTACAACTCCCTGCTCCGACAGCGCAATATTGACAGATTTCAACCACACCAAACTTCATCCCAAACAAAGGAAACCCATCAAGCCGCCAGTATATACTTTGTACAATTTGAAGGTCCCAGTGGGGCTGCTCAGATTCCGGAATCGTCCATAGGCCAGATCTCAGTGGCACTGTAAGTGGTCCAGGCGGCACAAGTATCAGTCAAGATGGATGTGTCGTCGATGGTGGCGTCAATCTGGCCTTCGGACTCGACAAATTGCATGGCTAGGCCTTCAGAGGCGTGCCATGCAATGTGGCAGTGCAACAACCAAGAACCCGGGTTATCTTTCTTGAAGGCGATAGCGAGATAGCCGTTACCGGGCAACGATGCAACATCTCTGCGAGGAGGATTGACAAGGTTCAGAGTGCTAGTGGCAAGGTCCTATAAAAGTTGCGATGTCAGCGTTACTATTACAATAGTACGTCACCGCAGAAAGTGTTTGCCACACGTATAACTTACAAAGACGCCGGTATCTTGTCCGATGACCCAGAAGTCGTGTCCGTGTAGATGGATGGGGTGGGTGACGCCGAATCCAGTCAAGTCCTGGATGACATAAACCGCCCAAGTGGGATCCGCTGTAGTAATCTCAATCGGTTCCACATTGTACTCTGTTGGAAAGATGGACTCGTTGTTGTGAATTCGAAGCAGGGTTGGGTTTTCCCAGTCCAAGAGCAGAGAAGTACTGTTGATTGTCCAAGTGAAGTGTTCCCCAAAGAGAACGCCTAGATTCTCCTGGGCAACAGCTTCAGAGGTAAAGTTACCAACATCCATGGCCAGATGTGGAACCAGCTTCTCTTTGGGTTCCTGTTGTCATAAGTGTTAGTCAATACTCTTAGTTGAGGTGAGCTAGTAGAAACTCACATCTCCACAGTTCGAGGAGACTTCGACTGTATCAGTAGTAGTGGGATCCGCTGTGCTACTGGCGTCATACCGAACAATTCCTGTGACTAGAAGGGAAAATGTGTTAGTCTGATTCCTTTCAGTGCTGGCCCTCGCTGGGTAAAGAGGGCATCCCCCCTTAAGCGAAATTCCTGCATTCTCGCAAACAACCTCTACTTAGACGAAAAAACGCGGTTTAACTTACTGTTGGTTGGGTTCGCGTTGGATGAGCAGGCAGTTATCCACCCAGCGCGCATCCAGTAATCGTTACTTGCGGCATTAGCTTCGACGATGATATCATAGCGCTGGCCCATGCTGACAACGACACTGTCAGCTGCGTATGGGACAAGCGGTACGAGATCCATTCCGATAACTGTGAGGGAGTGCCCGTCGATGTGGAATTGGAAGTGTCCGTCCGTCGCACCGTTGATGAGTCTGATTCTGTACTTCTTTCCTGCTTCGAATACTGTCTCAAATTTCTTTCCGCCGCCCACACAGTTGGGGTCGGTTGAACCGCTGCAGTCGAAAGTGTTGGTGCCGTTAATCAGACCATTTTCCATGACAGGTACTGCTCCCTGCTTGGCAGTGTCCCAGAGTGCGGAGGCTGGAGTGTGAGACCAGTCATTTAAGTGAAGCCTATAAGCACGTAAGTGGTTTGGTCACAGGACTCCTTATAAGGGAATTCCCTACATCCCTAGGTCCTCGTCATAGTCCATAGTGGCTGGGCCATTGATGATCATAGGTCCCTGAAGTCCATCGCCGTATTGAGTGACTATCATCAACCATTAGCGTGGACAATTCGAATATTATTATTTACATCCTTACTCAGATGAGAATGATACCAAGTAGACCCGTATTGAGTGGCTTGGAACCTGTACGTGTAGGTTTCTCCGGGGGCAATGGGACATTGGGTGACGCCTGGGACCCCGTCATGCTCTCCAGTTCCCAATTGTCTCATCCCGTGCCAGTGGATGGAGGTGCCATTGTGCTCCATATTGTTGGTGACATCTGAGTTCCCGTTTCAGTTAAAGCTTTGGGAGTGAAGTTGCAGCACTCACGGATGATCAGGTTGTCGCCCCAGTCAGCCCAAATCAGGGGCCCCGGCACAGTTCCATTGAAAGAGAGAACTTGGTGACGATTGTAGCCATCAAGGGCCATGGTAGTGTTTTCCGCTGAGAGCCAGTACTCTCTGGTGATTCCGGTCTCCGGAACGGTCTCATACCAGCTGAATGTAGTCAGCATATAGCAAGAACCCGGCGATATCTTGAACCTACTCGGTATCGATGGAGAATTCTCCCCAACAGCCTCGAGAGGTTGCTGTGTTCTCGCATGCTTGACGAGCTTTGACGGGTGATGTCTTCAAAGAAGACGTGAAAGGAATTGCTGCTACCAGAGAGGTAGAGAATGCAAAGAATGTAGCGAGTGTGGTCTTCATGATGAAGGAGAGCGAGCGTGGTATCCTGAAAAGGAATGTGTTATGGAGATGAGATGATCTGATCTGGGAAAGAGAAAGAGGTGGGATACCACACCCTCTTTATAGATGACAGCGACGAGTCTGGCAGTGCTGTGATGTCGTCGCTATTCCCCATACCACAACCTCCTTTGTTCACTAATTTGCAAATGGGTCCTCTCCACTACATCGACGGCTGAAAAGTCGATGGAGCCCCCCTTTCCCTGGTGGTGGATAGCCCCATTTGCAGACCACTGAATAGGGGGAATATTACCCTTTGAGGTTGAGTCAGGACGTATAGCTTTGCTCCGACTGCAATGTCTGACTCGGGGCTATCATTGTTTGCTTGCTTTTTTGAAATCTTGTCAAGTCCTTACCTCCCGAAGCAACTCCGAAGTCTTGAAATATACTTGCTTTGTATCAAGCGGCTTTGGATTCACCTTGTCTCGGCCACGTACGAAGTCACACTAGACCGTTATAAGGAAAGTTCAACCACACCTGTGAGACTGCAAGAGTGGTTCGAATCTACAAGGTGGACTGATGTGCCTGGCAATAGTCCCATACCGGTGTCAGCGAGGTCAATAGCCCCTAGTGGAGGATTGTTTTGCGAGCGGAATGGTTCTCGATGCGTTTTAGCGTTAACCATTCTCAGAAGCCTGGTGTCCGGGTTTGGCGGTGAGACAATTCGCGGGTAGGCCCGCTCTTCAAAAGTCCCCGGTTGACGCTGGTACTTTGAACCCATGCTGCCAGTTCCAGCAAGGAATCCTGTGCCATTGAACATGGTATTGAATTAGGCTGCGGCCGAAGCACGTCCAAGGATGCCGAATTGAGCTTAGACTGGGACAGCCACCCAAATTTCATTGAGTTTGATACGGCAACATTCAATTGTGATGTTGTTGAGTCCAGTTTACACGTATCATAGAGCGCGCAAAACCGCTTCTACACTCTCCGTCATTCACATCCTTCCTCATCTCGACACTACTCCCTTCGTCAAGTAGAAAAAGTCAGATCTCCTGACTTGAGCAGCTCTTTCGATGTCCGAGGCGAGCAATTGCAATTGCCCGTCTTCCAGCTTTGCGTGCTCTCCCGCTCTCGGAACCGATCAAGCGAGTTACTAAATAACCAGGGGTCACTCTACTGCGTCCCTTCGAACTCCACAATCCACAATACTCCGCCCCATGCATAAGTAACAAAATACTTCGCTCGCATATGCCGCTCGAACCGGCCCTCGGGAGTTCTCCAGGCTTTGCTTCGACTGCTGTCCTACTGCTGCAAATTGTTATCGTGTGGAAACCGGATGTATTGTAGGAGCATCAAGGTATTCAGAGAAGGTTCGCCCAGTGTTCGTCAGCTTGAGTGGTTTCATTGTAGAGTACGAGGACCCATGAGCACTGTACCAGGGCTACGAGTAAATGTTTACCATGGAACTTGACCACTTGCTTCAAAACAGAGTCAGGCAGTGTCAGTACATGTAACATATCGACTGATAAGAGGCACAGGGACTACGCGTTTGGTATCAAAGAGCTTCGGAGAATAAACATTGCTTCTTAACTGAAAAGTGGATCTGGTGAGATCCCCTAAAACTAGGATCATACGCCATCTGAGCAAAAGGTCTGTGCCCGGCATTTGTTTTTCAGCCCCTGTGGCGAGTGTGGACAAGGAAATACGCTGACGACGACGAGATCCATAAACGTTCATAGCGCTGTGATAAGATCAAGCATGAATTATGATCCCCGCGTCTAACTGAATTTGACCAGCAGAGTCTCTGCTCCACGCATACACTTCACCCTTATGGACATTAAGTTGGTATTTTACAGGCCAGACCTTGTCGGGGCCTCGATTCGAGCATTATGAAAGTAAAGTTCAAACGCGGATACAGTGGAGGGCAATGAGCGGCGAGGGAAAGGGAAGAGGTAACGAGGCTACGGTCCGAACTCAACGACTCATGCAGCCAACATGTCAATGATCCCAGTAACGATTGATCAGACGATAATGATCCGACTGAAGTTTTCGAGCAATTGCCGACGGGAGCGGGGAGGCTGGCGCGGGGGGCTGGCGAGAGCCAGCAGTGATGGATCGAAGAGAAAGGCCAATACCAATACCTAGGAACAGGATGGAAGGAAAGAGGTCGAGAGGTCGTTTAGATGCCCCCGGGCGGACGGCTTTTGACTTCCCGTGTCTTCCTCTGTCTTCCCACTTCAACACCAGGGGAGCAGCAGCACAGTAACCTGAAAGCACCTCTACCCCCTCGAGCCTGTCAAAGGATAGCAGATACTTTCCTCCTTCCGTGGTACTGGACCGCGTGACTCGTGAGAGGAACGTTTGCGTCCAAAGCTAGGTGGGTAAGGTAAGTAGGTAAGATTACTTCCCGCTGGAGCCGCAATGCTAATTCCTTCCTAGGTACCAAACTCTGCCTACCTTAACTACCTTAGAGTGTAGTACAGTAGTACTCCGCAGCTACCTTACCTTAATCAACACCACGCATCATTTAGTCAACACACGTGGATCTGAAGCAAAGAAGGCGCACTGGTGGCGGTAAGCAAGACGATCTAGAATCCGATTGGCAGGACCTGGATAAGAAAAGGATCGGGATTACTGTAGAAGACCTGGACGTGGACCTGGAATAATGGATCCCCTGCGGTGGATCTGGACTGGACCCTGGACCCTCGACCCTCGACCCTGGGCCTTCCGTCGGCGACTAGGTAGGTACTGTACTGTAGGTAAATTACCAGGTAGGCGAGGTAAATTTACCTTAGCGAGCGGGGTTCCAGGCAGGTACGGATACGGATAAGGTACGGAGGCTCGGGAGGGTACTTGTAAGGTACTTGTAGGTAGGTAAGGTATTGATTCATGGCGTCATGGCTTCAAGCCCCACCTTTGTACCCCTCCCCTCCCGAGGTCCCCTCCAAGTTGCTCAACCACACAACATAACACAACACAACACAACACAACACAACACAACACAACACAACACCACGACCTCAGTCAACTCTCCCGCTTTACATCGAGAAACTTCGTCTGTGCTGTTCTATTAGTCACAGACTAAGAAGGCCTCATCATTCAAGATGCCTCTGCTCGCCAAGAACCCGAAGCCGCGCATTGTAAGTATCAAGCCCGATCTCACCAGTTGACTTCCCGACAGCTCACCTCCAAGCTCTCGCAAATCGAGTACTAATCTACCTTTCGCTGCTCAGATATTGGGGACCATGACTTTTGGTCCTGATACGGCGACTGGTGCTCGTGTCACGTCTCTTGACGAGTACAATACGTTCCTGTAGGCCTAATGCTCTTCTTAGACTTTCGGATTTTTCTAAAGGCCGCGCTACCTTAAGACACCTATCACTCCGTGCTCTGAGTATTGAGGAATTTGTGGCTGGAGTACGGAAACAACCACTGACCCCGACTTTCTGCGTGCTAGTGATCATTTTCAGGCCGCTGGCTATAGCGAAATTGACACTGCACGCTCCTATGTTGGTGGCAAGCAAGAGGCCTTCACGAGGGAAGCTCATTGGAAAGAGAGGGGCCTCACACTAGCAACGAGTAAGCATTGGACGCTGATTTATTTCTCGATGAGCGAACCCTTGATCTGACTCCTTCAAAATTTAGAGGTCTACCCGGACAAGCCAGGCAAACACGCCCCCGAAGTTCTCACGGAACACTTCAACACCAGCTTGAACGAACTGGGAACTACCTGTGTCGATATTTTCTACCTTCATGCTGCTGTAGGCGTTGCACTCGTATCCTTGAGAATCACGAGCTAAGCTTAAAATAGGACCGCTCTGTTCCATTTGCCGAGACTCTCGAGGCTGTGGATAGGCTCCACAAAGAGTGAGTACCGAGACCAGATGGACCTTCATCGTTTTTGCGGGGATTGAGACACATCTTGGCAAAGTATCACGGACAGCGAAAACGTCAAGATGCCGAGAAGATCTTTTAATTCACACCGTGTAAAGTTGCCATATTTGTGCATATGCTTACTCCACTTCAGGGGAAAATTTGTACAGCTCGGATTATCAAATTTCACCGGTCAGTAAATTGTTCATCCGAGGACATATATTTTGTTGCCAGGAACATGAGCTGTTCTCCAGACCGACTCATGTATCATTGACAGAGAAATGCTAACTGGTAGGGTTTCAAGCTTTCGAAGTTGCCGAGGTTGTCATGACTTGCAAAAACAATAATTGGGTTAGGCCGACTATCTACCAAGGAATGTATAATGCTATCACTCGCTCGCTGGAACACGAACTCATCCCAGCCTGCAAGAAGTATGGTCTTGACGTGGTAGTATATAACCCGATTGCTGGTGGTTTGTTCAGTGGAAAATACAAGTCAAAAGACATTCCTTCTGAGGGACGGTACAGGTAGGTGATGATCTCGCCTTAATCAACGCTGTGCTGGGATGCCTAGAGATGCTGTCGTCTTGTTATATGTCTTTCATCAACGTCAAGACCACACATGGAACGCAATGAGCAACGCTAACTTTGGCATAATTTGGCAGTGATGCTGTCGGTAGAATGGGAGATATGTATCGAAAACGCTATTTCAAAGACTCCACCTTCGAAGCACTCAAAGTTATTGAGCCTGTTGTGGAGAAACACGGCTTGACAATGGTGGAGACCGCGTTGAGATGGGTTGTCAACCACTCAGCGTTGAACGTCAAAGATGGAAATGACGGCGTCATAATAGGAGTAAGCAGTCTTGCTCAACTCGACCAGAACTTGAAGGATTGCGAGAAAGGTCCACTACCCGAGGAAGTCCTGCAAGCACTTGACAAAGCATGGAAAGTCTCTCAGCCAGATACGCCAAACTATTGGCATCTGGACTTGAAGTATACCTATGACACAAGGAAAGCACTCCTTGGCAAATAGTTCTAGACTGATGAGCCAACCTACAACGCTCTGTCGGTGGATTTCCACCAATAAACACAAATCCTAAAATCTTGGCTTCAGTATTTGCTCGCAGCTTTGGGATTTCTCGATTTCCGCATTCTTGGCCAAATCTGCTGCAAGAAATGGCAACTACTTCTAATGATAATAATTCTTAGCGCCATCATGGCAGAGACCTTCTTTGTGGTGCAATTGCCAAGCAATATCATTAAAAAAGCCTGTCTCGGCAATCTAGCTAGAAGTACTGAAGGTATTTTCATACTTCGGTCCTCTATGAACTTCTCATACAGTGTACCCCCCGGCTCCAATGTAAAAAACGGGTCGGGGCGGCACATTTCTTCTAGCTGTAAATAGTAAGAATCCAGCGCTGCTCTAGAAAATCAGGTTAAGTTGTAGCCTCGAAATCTGGTGTCTGTCATGTCACTCTTTACTAAGTTTAGTACTATATTTACACAGCAACCGTGAGGGGAACTGACAGCAACACAAAAGCGGCTGGCTCACGCCCGGCCCACTTTTTACATTGGAGCCGGGGGGGGGACTGTAGGGTACCTCATGTGAACCCTGAACCACTATCGGACAAGTATTGATGGCATCAGGGTCTGCGGGGGCAACTACCTTAGTCCCGCCTCGTGAGCTCTTTGCACCTTCCTCATCCATCAAAGTCACATATCGTTATCCTACGCTATGTGGAATGTACCTTGCAAGATATCCAAATATAGATTAGCAAACGGCGAAAGTAATCCTCCCTCTAACAACTCGGAGTTCGGCTTGTATCCAAGGCTCGGCCCGTGTCTGAGGGACAAATAAGGTTCAATATACAAGGCTTTGGAATATATTTGACGGTCCGGCAGACGAGCCTAAAAGGGCTTTAAGTGCATGGCCCCCACGATACGTTCCAGTCCATCCGACCCTGCCGCTCCGCTTCCTTGCAAAACGACCACTGCCGGGCATCGATTCCGGTCCTCCCATGAAGTTTCACCTGCACTCCTTCCATCACGGGCCACACTTCCCCCCAACTTACCCCACTTGGTGTTTTAGTGCAATCCAATATAGTCTCCGACGACAGCTTGTGACCAGTACAGAAGAGTCGCACGCTGGCACAATCAGCACTGTTCGCTGGATGTGATGTTGACGGTGACGCGGCCTCGAATTCCCCTCGCTCAATGTCCAAGGTTGAACGGAACAAACGAACGAAGCAAGTGGATGCTATCCACGAGGACACGGAGGAGCCTCCTCATCCTACATAAGCTCAAGTTGAATCAACACCCTTAAATTTTAGCTATCAACCTTTAGGAGGTCTCACTATCGATTGTTCTCAATCCCGGTATACAGAATATTGCCGATATTGGCTCGATTAGGCGATGCTGCCATCACGAGGGACAACAACATGCCCCCGACAATCTTGACACCCAAACAATCCACTCGGAAAAGACTATCTATTTCAAGATCAAGGTTCACCAGGCCAGATGGTGTCAGCCAACTTTCTCACCAACTTTAACTTCGCCACCATCTCGTCGTGTCCTACGTTATTGCCATCACTGTGACTTGCAAATCCACACTGAGGGCTAACACCAAGTCTCTGAAGAGTCTCCTCCTTAGTCTCCCCAGTTCCTTGACTGATTAATGCAGCAGCTTGGAACACCTTCTTCTTCATCTCCTCGATATCTTCCAGTTTCGGGAATTTGCTCGTAATCAAGCCCAAGATTACATTCTTGTTCTTAGGAAGCTCCTTCAACGGTTCGAAGCCTCCGGCGCGTGGGGTGTCGTACTCGAGGTAATAAGTGTCGACATTCAACTTCTGGAACAGCTTAGTGGCGATTGCATCGTAACCACCCTCGGAGAAGTGTCGACCTCCTACGAAGTTCCCGCGGCAGAGGTGGACGCCAACGTGCATATCTGCTGGGCGTTTGGAAAGACAGTCGTTGTAAAGCTTGATGTATGAATCAAAGAGTGCCTCGGAGTCTTCACCATCTTTCTTGAAACCCGCAAGCATATTCTCAGAGCAGAAGTCTACATACTCGGTTAGACAGAAGGGAATGCTGAAATAAGGGATATCAATTACAGGCTAGGTTTGGGTCATCAATTTGAACATTGCGAAGACCATTGTCGTAAAGAATCTGGAGCTCGGCTTGATATGCTTTGGCAATGTCTGCAAAGTATTCCGCGTCGGAAGGGTAGACTTCTTTAGGGTATGCTTTGCCTGTCTTGTAGCGTAGATGGTACCAATTTGGGGCCGCTACGGTGAGCTTTGCCTCTCGTTGTTTATCCTTCGGCACTTCATAAGAATTAGTTATGAATATTGTCTTATTTGAGAATGGAATATAGCTGGAAAGGTAGCGCATTACATTGGCTCTTCAGGTAATTCCATTGATCAACGTACGTGCTACCGACGTGTCTGATCTTTCCTGTGCATAGGACTGTCTCTCCGGGTTTGTGACCGCTTTCTGTGAAAGCTGCAATATCTGGGACGTAGAGTCTAAAGATATCCGTATCAAAATCCGTCACTTCTTCGAAACCGTCGAGGCCTGGGAAGAATGTACCCCCTTTAATAATCAGTTTCGAAGACATTGGAACGTTCGACTGAAGCATTCGTGTATAGACTCACAAAACATGTGCCTGTACTAAGGTAAGTAATGCATCCTACACATGCCAGCTGATCTTTGGGGACCAGGCTATAGATTAAACTAACCTAGGGTACTCTCCATCAGAAACAGCATGGAATCCAAGATCGAGCTGTTCCTTGACAATCTCATCAATTGAGTCTTTTGTGACAGCCGCGAGCTTCTTCTGGTCACCCTTTCCACTATCGATAGCATGGCGTTCAGCCAACAACTTCTCGGGACGGAGGAGAGAGCCTAGATGCTCTGCTCTGAAAGGTGGACGTTGTTGACGAGTGCCTGACATGGTGATTATTGATTTTGATGCTCAAAGTCTTGTGTTTCTGATTTCTTTGTTGCTCTCAAGCTTGTCTGGGGACAAATTTTACTGCTACTGAGTGAAAGGGGTCATGAAATAGTCTCGCTCTTAGTGAGGGGTAGGGAGGGGTAAAGGTGTCGGTAGAGGTCATCGAGCTTCTTAGTCGTCTCCCAGAGCCAGAACGATTCTCCTCCCCGTTTCCTCCCCGGAAGAGCTCGTCCACCTCATTCTTCCGGCTAGGTCGTGGATACCGAATCATTAGCCGAGCTTTTTCAGACTAGGTGGTGGTCAGCTAGCAACCTTTGATAGTACTTTTGATACAACTGGTTGTTCGTGGGTTCCACTGGCAATTGATACCATACCCCACTTGTAACTCATTGGGAGTCTGAGAGAACAATTGCATCTTCTAGGTTCTAGGTGTTGTCACGCAGGTTGTACGAGTAGGTGCGTACTGTACTGTACAGTATGGTACAGATGTGGAGCCCCTCAGCCCAGCCCAGGAACAGAGGGCGGGGCGGGGACGGGAACGATTACCCGGATAGGTCTGGTACAGAACCGGGAGCGAGCTTCAGCTGCCAGATCCATGGGCGTCCGCTTCCCCGCAAAGAACATGACTCGAACCTGACATTGGAAGCCAGCCCTACCCGAAGTTTAACCATTGGGCTTACCCGTCCTATCGGGTGCGCTTGAAAGTAGCCGATTAAGGCACGGCAGAACATCAAAGTCATAAGAGGAAAAGGCTACTTTCAAAACGTGTAATGATAATAATTATATTCAGTCTTTAAAAACACTTTTGAAATAGTACTTTGATCTTCTAGTGATTTTTAAGTAATATTTTATAAGAGTTTCGTTAAGAGAAACATAACATTTAAGCAACGAGGCACCTCGCCAAATCGGCTACTTTCAAGTGCACCCGATAGCCCTCTTATCGGGAGGCCAGATCCTTATCGCTGCGAAGGCCAACCTCAGTCGTCACTCATCCGTGTCAGCATCAGTGAGAGCCTCATACACAGACATCTACATCATTGCGGCAAAGCTTGCACCAAGAGGAGAGCCACAACTTGAGTGGTATGCGTAGCTTCCTTCCATGGCTCTACTACATGCCCAATACGATACAGCACACTGACGAGGACTCCATAGAACACTTTGCCAAACCGTCGACAACGCCACGAATTCACACTAGGTATTCCAATGGCATGCAATATATCAGAAGGCTTACCGGAAGAGGTTATTACATCTTCTGCAGACAGAAAAGAACCGGTTTCCATTGAAGCTTTGCCAAACGAAATACTGTCTCAAGTCTTCGGATACTTGGATACTTCACCACCATCACATGGCATTGATGCTCTCCACGACGAGCCCGACTTTGATATTACAAGGTCCGAGGATAGTCCTCTGAAGGCATGCTCCCTCGCTTCTAAACGGTGGAGAGATGTGTCGAAGTCAATTCTGTTCAAAAATGCGCAATTTATTGTCCGGCAAAACACAACTCGGAGCATCATGCTCAGCCAGCAGATGAAGCCCTTCTTTGACTTTGTACTCGCAAATTCTCTACGACACATCAATTCTTTCTCGCTAATTGTCTATGACAGTCGGGTCACAGATAATGCGAAGAGTGAACGTCGACTCGACGACTTTGCGGACTTCTGGTCTTTGTTGTTTCGAATGATCGATCCTGTCAGTTTCCTTATTGTTGCCCCACCCGAAGCTTTAGGTGCTCTCACCTCCTGCCGTGTCATCCTTACAGATGCGTGGAATTTCGATTGCCCATGTCATTATCTGCGTCTTCAAAGGCCACTTGGACCGTCTCACGACAAAGCTTCAGGACCGATCGGTGGCTCCGTGGAAAGTCTTTCTAGCCCGAAAGATCCCCCTGTAAAAGATCTCCAGCAGAGTGCCCATGTGACATCTACAAATTTGTTTGGTATTCGACCATGGGACAGACTTCTACTCAATGAAGGCTCTTTTATCAAAGCCTATGCCACTTACGAGTTCTGGTTGAGAAAAGCTCCCTCGGTTGGTGTCCCCCTTTCGTTGTCTTCTACTATGTTTCTAACAACGCGAAAGATTCTACAAGATCTCTTCGGTGCATCAGCTCAAAATGACAAGGCTCACATCAGTCCCACGATTTGCGACATGGAATATATCGCATTATTTCCAATGTGTGGTCATTTCGCAGATCTCTCTGAGAACTTACCAAGACTGGATCGTCTTTACTGTCAACTTGTACCACGAAATCAAATTCTTTCGGATCCCAAGAAGATGGTTCAAGTCGAATCCGAAGATCTATGGATGGAGAGAAACGCATCTTATGCCTCCCTGATGCGAGAGCTCTTCACCTCACCACCTAGCCATAATTACCAGCACCTCAAAGTTTTTGAATCCGGCGATGCAGCCGACCGAGCTGCTTGGGCGATGGCAGTGGAGTATGTCAAGCGAGCAGGGAATGGTTGGATGGTTGGTGGAGATGGTATCTTTGTGAGAAAGCCAGAAGATGTCAAGCCTCTGGACGGTGAGACCGAAGTGGAACCATCGACATTGTCAGTCAACTGAGCCATTATGATTTTATGGGATGCTGACCCAAACTCAGTCATGGCTCATTGATCAGGTGGGCGTGGAATGGCACTGCAGAACTTCCAGTTTCCGCCTATCCGTTGTATGATCATCCTATGGGGCCATAGGCAGGCTTTTAACGGGTACTAATACTTCATGAAGGTGGCATTACGTGATTGGCTTCTTTTCGCGGACCTATTAAACATCAATCACAGTTTGCACTGTGAGACTTGTTCTCGGCTTTTTGGACTTTCTAGATAAAATCTCATGGTTGTCATATGCTCTAGGCAGAGGCACAGGCGAAGTATGTCGAGCCGGGACGTGTCATGGTGACCCGACTGAAGGACATGTTTCAATCCTTCAGCATCAGCTTCCCCTTCGTTGCTCATATCACCAGACATGTGAACACGAATACATGGTTTTATATGGATTCAGTCGCTCCACAAACCCATCCATTCGTGTATCTATCAACGACGGTCGATTGACATCCTACCCAACATGATCAGCTCACTTTCAGTCAAGCCCAAACTAAGGGGAATGATGTGACAGATCATTGTCCTGTCATTTGTTCTAAGTATTGAAACTTGTTTGAGTCCAAAAGTACCGACAGGTAGGAATCTTTGTCAAGCATTCTGGCGGTAAAGGCTTTCCCCGCTGCTCTACAACTATGCGTCCCTTCGTCGATCAGTTCCGCCAAGCTTTAACGAAAATCCTTCAAAGATGGCTTTCACGAAATTTTTCCATAACATACACAGTGGACGTAATCCCAATGTGCGTTCACGACCGAGGATGCGGGTAGCTCCCCGACTGTAACTTCCGCTGAGCACGATTTGATATCAGGGGCCCTGTTTCGTTCATCCCTCAGCACATTCCATTAGATGTCTCGAGAATGCCTGGGAACTTTGGGACGGACAAGACTCCGGGATACTTGGCTGAAACACTGCTGTACATGGTCTCTTCCGCTCCTGAGTACCATAATTCTCGGAAAATACAAGCCACAGTGCCATTTGTGTAATTGGAAATTGGAGCTCCTAGCATATGCAACCATCATGTTCTCACTGTTGTGTCTTGCTAAGATTGGTTCCCTCATTTCAACATCTCTTTGCTCAGATGGTCTTCTCATGTCAACAGCTAGTGGGGAAATACTTGTATCCATCGATCACAGTACCCCTGTCGTTCATATTCTTTCAAAAATTCCTTATCCAGAGACTCCTGTGGAAACCTCAGATTCGAACAAAGACCTCATAGAGCGTCGTTAATATAACTGCTTTGAGTCCATTATGTATGCAGCATTTCAGCAATAGTCCTCTAATCCATGCTGCCAAATTCCTCAGTTTCTCATAGGTGGAGCACAATCAGATGACAATTTGCAACTCAATATTTGTTCTCCAGCTTTGAAGAGTGTCAGGAGCTTGCTTTGCTTTTGTATATTTACCTACCTAGTGGTGGTTTTATTAGCAGTGGTACAAACTCTATTGCTAAAATCCTGGACATATGGGCGGAGAGAGCGCAGTCACACATATCATTGTCACTCCCAAGTCAGTATTGAAAGCTCAATGGCAGGCTTTTCTTGTTAGTTTTCCTAATATATCTTGGGTACCACGTCAACTTCTTCGGGTGTTCTCACGCCAAAGCGTTGGCGGACTCTAATGCTTGTTTGTAAGACCAAGGTAAGACGTAAGTCATACCCGAAAGCGACAGAATGCTTCCAATACTCACGCCATCCTACAGACTCGGATAGACAAGAGATAATGCTGCATTCGGTGGCTATCCCAAACCCATCACTCTTTGGAGACAGTTGACAACTGCAGCAGCCAGCCTGGTACAATGTGATCTATAATTATTGGACATCGTAATTGAATGCCATTCTGCCCCGCAAACTAATCCACGAGTTTCGGTGTACCAAAATGTCCAACTCTCTCAAATGGTGATTCCAAGGTCTTTTACCAAGCTGCCGGGTGCGGTACGTCACTCCTCCCAAGCCAGGAGTTCAGACGAACGGCAGCGTCAGCCACGAAGGGAGCCAAGCTTCCAGAAGCATTACTGTATCATCCTTGTTGACTCCCAGGTTATCCCAGGGACGAGAAATCGAGAAGTCGATGATAATAATAATAATCCGATGAACAGGGCCGGGCAGAGCAGAGCAGGCGTCCCAGGACAAAAAGCTGGAGCTATGCAGGCCACTCAGATGCCGAGCTTTGAACACGATGCTCGGTTCCATTGCATTGCTGTCAACAACAACCCTGCCCCGCCTACTGTACTGTACTGTACGGGAACCGCCCGGACCGGACCAAACCCCTCGCCCCTCCCCTCACCAGCGGCCAGCTGCCCCCTGCCCCCTGCCCCTTGGCCCCCCCCAACGTCCACAAAGCTCCCAGCTCCCTTCTAGCTCCCATACTAAATCGATCAATCCGGTAGCTGCAAACCATTGACCAACGAGACGTTACGCTGATCACTCATTGCCTATGAACTATGACTTTGACTGCAGCCTCCGTGCAGTACAGTAGAGTACCTTGAATTTCCCGCACTGGCGGCTTCAACTCTGACCAGTGTCGTCATGAGGTGCTGAAATCGACGTGACTTGATTGGACTGACTGCAATATATGTCAGTTCAAGCTGCCCCAAGCTGGTATGGCCTTGTCCCAATCCCAGTCCCAGTTTTATTCCAGCCCCATCTTATCCCATCTTTGGAGATCTTCAAAATCGGCCGAAATGGAATGGCGAATTGGCAGCTGTCAACCAGCCCACGAGGTTCAGAGAGCTTCTGCCACTAAATCCCATGGCCTGCCTGCTTAGCTACACCAGACGTTCCTGGCCGATCTTTTATTTATCACATAAGATCACTCCCATTTCCTGTTCCTAGTTTCTGATACTTCTCCATGTGAAGCTGCAAGCGCAACCAGACTCTATCGCAATGGTTCAAGTTCTCTCTCTTGTTTTGCTGGCAGCAGCTGCTTCGGCTTCATTCGTTTCAAATCTCAATTATCGAAGTCCTTCACACTTTCATCCGGGCCTTGGAGTTTCGATCCGCAAAGTAGCAGCTCGTAACACTCCATCTGCGGCATGGAACTCCTCGCAATTGAACTTTACTCATGGAGTTGCTAGCGGTGATCCCTACGATACTTCTGTCGTTCTGTGGACACGCGCAGCACCAATTGCTTCGGATAATGATAAGAGCAATATCACCGTGTCCGGCTATGTCCCACTTTACAGCCACGAGACTGAGCAATATGTGAAGGCTAGCAAGGCTCCAGTCTGTGTTAGCTATAAGATCTCCAAAGACCCTGAACTGAAGGGCTGCGCGGATGAAGGGAAGGCATACACATCTTCCGATATTGATTACACAATCAAGGCAAGTCTTTAAAAGGCGACACTCTTTTTTCATTCGAGCACATCCCGTCCTTCTCCAAATTGTGCCTCATTCCCCTCTCGAAATCTTTCCAGATCCAATAATAAAACCATCTTCCAACCATAGGTGGAAGCGAGAAATCTGAAACCATTTACCAGATACTGTCAGTCCTCCCTACTCCGAGAATAAGAACATATAGCTGACGCGCTATCCCTTACAGACTACCAGTTCAGCATCTGTGACTCGGACAACGTCAGCCCAATTGGCCGCACTAAGACTACACCTAGCAAAGGTGATGTTGTAAGCAGCGCGATCAGACTGGCTATTTACTCATGCAGCAACTATCCCTTCGGATTCTTCAATGCCTATGGAAATGCCGCCCGGAAAGACTCGGTGGATTACGTGATCCATCTGGGAGACTACATTTATGAATATGCGAACGGTTACTATGGTTGGGGGAACAGTATAGGGCGTATTCCCCTTCCAGATCGAGAGATCTACACTCTTTACGATTACCGCAAGCGACTAGCAACGTACAGAACTGACCTTGATCTGCTGCTCAGTCATCAGCAGTTCCCTTGGATACCTGTCTGGGACGATCATGAAGTTGCGGATAACACGTGGAAAGCTGGGTCGTCGGAGCTCAACAATACCGAAGACTCCTTCGTTAAAGACGGTGGAGTATCTGTTGATCAGAGAAAGTGAGTACTTGCAGTGCTATCGAGCTAGCGAACATTCCTTTTGGTCAATTTATAGTCTCATTGCATAGATTCGGCCCTTTTGCGCCTCCTGCTAACCTATGCAGGATGAATGCTGTGCGTGCCTACTTTGAATGGATGCCAATTCGTCAGGTGGAGATGGATGATAATTGTAAGTGCCAAAGTAATGGGTGTAATTTTGGATATCGATCACTGACTTGTTCAGTGCGCATCTGGAGAAGCTTTGAGATAGGTGATTTGTTGGATCTTATCATGCTTGGTATGCTCCACCTCGAATGATTTGGAAAAACACTAACTCTTCGGAAAAGACACTCGGCAATATGACAGAAGTATCACAGACCTCTACTGTAAGTTTCGGGGGCACTTGAATGATCTTGCGGGCTGCTTCGCTCTTGCGCTTGAATTGAGCATTCTCATACGCCCTACATTGAATGGCTTAAGGCGATGAGTGGCTGATTTAAGTACTCAGGGAATACTGATTACATCCACGACATCTCGAATGACGCTGGTAGATCCTTGATGGGACCTCGTCAGGAAAGTTGGTTCTACAACAAGCTTTCGCAAGTAATCGGCAATCAAATCATCTTCTCTCGTATCAATCAGTCTTTTGCCCTCGGAAATGAGAATCCTCTCAATTACGATGCTTGGGATGGGTATCAGAGTAACAAAAACAGAACTTTGTCTCATCTGTAAGCAATGACGTCCCCGGATTCTCCAAAACCTCGTACGATGTACTGACCGTCTCCCTGCAGATATGACAACAAAATCAACAACACGATTTTCCTTGGTAAGATACCCCTTTCCAGATTTGGATGCAGCAGGATCTACGTATACCCACAATCTCAAACATCTTGGAGATCAGCCAGAGCATCCAAAATCTATTGTTGTTTCGCGTGCTGACTTGCGTAGCTGGAGACAGTCACGCATCCTGGGTCAGCGACCTTGTGTGGCTTGACACGCACCCCTACGATCCCGAAACAGGTGAAGGCTCCATTGGTGTCGAATTTGCGGGATCTGCTGTGTCCTCGCCATGTCCTTATGGTCAAAACATTTCTCTAGCAAGTAAGTGACTAGTCACTCTGGCTTGATATCATCCTATGGATCGGAACTGATCAGCCTATCAACATTAGATGCAAATAATTACTCTTCGCTTTTGGAAGGCGCAAATAGTGAATTACAATGGCAGGTGAGCTATTTATCCTCCTTTCTTGATGGGTTTTGAGGAAAGCCCTTTGCGGACATGGTATAGGATACCAGATGATGTATTCCTATTGGACGTCGGTTTATGAATAGCTTTAACAGACTTTATAGGATCTGTACTATCGAGGTTACTACGAGTTGAGTTTGGACCAACAAAGCGCAAATGCTTCGTACTTTGGCTTGCCAACTATTGCCACACGAAATGGCTATGAGATATCTCTTGCAAATTTCACCGTCATGAGTGGGGAGAACAGATTGAAGAGAACGAATGGCGTTGTTGGCGGTGGCCTCGTGGAAAGCGGCAGTTTGAAGTTTGGAACAATGTCTGGCACAAATCTGACAAACGATACCGCCACGGGGACCTACTTTATCAGTAGCTTTACGCCTGATACGGCATGATGGTCGGATCAACCGCTCTCTAGGCCATCGACGACACAGAAGCTTGACAACAGGTCATGATCTATTTTCGAGGGTAATATTGTCGTTAGAGTGATTCGATATCGATCAATATAATACATGAAAATATTGGAAGGTCGTCAGTCCATTGTGAGCTCTGGGCCGATTGTTTCTGAAGCTGTCTCCCGAGAGATCGCGAGCCTCTGGATCTCGACCATGCTTTTCCATGTCTCACACCCTCGATGCTATGGGTCAGTTTATGGGCAGATTTTGCTAGGATATCCGGACATGAGAGACCAGAAAGTCGCTGTCATGACTTTCCAGTCCGACATCAGCTTCTCGTCCAAGGGCTGAACGAACTAACTGTAGGAATCTCGGCTGGCCCGAGAACGGAATCGAGACCTTGTGATTCATGTTATGAGATCTGCAACTTCCCGTTGACTACCTCGGTCAAAATTCCTCGACTTCGACAGCCAGTCCCAAAAGGGTTTAATTTTGGAGTCCATACCAGAAACTAGATGCAGTGGGTTAGACCCGAAGCGAGCAACTTCAGCGTCTAGACATCATGACTGTTCTGAATAGCCAATAAGCTTTGACAGTTGAATTTACCTTCTGATGCTCTCAAAGATCACGTAGATGACAAACAGCAATATGGCACTTGCCTGATTGCTAGTTTTAGATGAGGCTGATCTTGCTTGGCCTTACGCAGCCGCCTTGTCCCCCTAGAAGCAAAGTTTATCTCTTTGCTGATGGCAGATCTAGCCGGAAGTGATATCAAGCTGCATGATATGCCCCTCAGTAAGGGTACACATCTGCAAACATTTTCGCCTACTGCCGTGAATGCGCTGCACCCCTTGATAAAAAAGCCCTTCCGGTGTTGTTGGTGGCGCAAAAGTGGCTTGGGGAGAACAATATCAAGGAATTAAGCGAGGTTCCCTTGTTTAGGCTCTCCTTTCATTCTTCAACGAGCATTCTTAACTCTCAGACTTGAATTCACATATGGCGTCTATACTTTCTTTCCGTTGGCCAAAACAATATGATCAACTTGTCATCCTTGATATTATTCCCGGCGCATTACCACGGAAGTGTCTCTGCAACATTAACGAGAATCATTGTTCCGCGAGCTGGTCGCGAACTGCTCTCGGGTAACTGAGCAGAGCGTTGATATTATTCTCGCCATATTTACGACATATTGTTATCCACCAGCTCGGTCACTGATATTTTGATACTTAAGAGAACCTCCTCTGCGTTTCCATGTATCATTTCGTTTCTTCCAACATACATTTTCGCAAATCTTCAACTGCATCCACAGCAATTCTGCTTTCTACCTCTTCGTTTTCTTTCTTGATCGCCCGTCTAACCATACATTCCAACACAACAAAGCTTCTACGAGAAGATGTCGTCTCCTACTACTACCTTCGACCTCAAATCCCAGAGTGTGACCTTTCTCATGAGAGATGGAGTCACTCCAGTCGTCGTCCCCCTTCCCGATATCGATGATTGGTTCTACTACAATACCGCCCTCTGCATCAACTACGGCTCTCAAATCGGTGCATGTTTCGTTATGCTGGTTGTCACTGCTGTCCTCACCAGGGAATCGAAGCGTCGAACTCCAGTCTACATACTCAATCTCTTGTCACTTGTCCTCGGCTTCCTTCGCGCATTCCTTCTCGCACTCTACTCCGTCAGTCCTTGGGCAGAGTTCTACGCCTACTTCGCCTTCGACTTCGGTGATGTCCCGCGCTCAGCATACGCAACTAGTGTCGCTGGAGCAGTCATCCCTCTCCTCATGACAATCACGGTCAACATGTCTCTCTTCCTCCAGGCTTACACTGTGTGCAAGGCTATGCAGAAGAAATGGGTCTGCTTGATATCATTACTCTCCGGTCTCGTCTTCTTACTTGCGGTCGGTTTTCGCTTCGCTCAAGCTGTCACGAACTCCTTGGCAATTGTATCTGCTGGTCAATACTTCCACCACGCCTGGATTACAGTCGGAACCCTGGCAACCGAAACCATCTCCATCTGGTACTATTCGATCATATTCACCGGCAAGCTCTTATGGACTGTTCATGCTCGTAAGAACTTGGGATTTCAGAAGTGGAGCTACATCCAGATCCTGGCTGCCATGGGTGGGTGCACAATGGTCATACCTTGTAAGTTTTCGTGGCTTTGACATTCATCTAAATCAGTTACTAAGATAATCAGCTGGTTTTGCTATACTCGAGTACGCTTCGCCCGATGACTTCCCAGAAGCCGGTACCCTGGCCTTGACGATGGTCGCCCTCCTCCTCCCTCTCTCCTCTCTCTGGGCGTCGATGATCACAACCGAAGCCAGCTCGTCCTTTAATATCTCGCAACTTTGGGGTTCAAGATCCTCTCAAGACACCTCAAGTCTGGAAAGAAAGACTTTCAATAGTATGTCGTCATGTCCATCCGCCTTCTCTACAGAGAGAAAGGGAAGCACGGCGCCAATTGGTCCCGTAACTATCGACACGGTTATTGAGCATGCGGACACTCGACGAGACAGCGCAGAAGTGGATCTTGAAATGATTGGTGTCCGCGTTGATCGCTCATATAGTGTCCATAGTGGTGCCTAATCATCGATTTAGGGGCTGAAATGGAGGATTGGGCTTGTGGCGGCAGGAAGGTTTTGGTATCGGGTGCCGGATGGAGCGAGGCTCGCTGAATTAGGTGCATTTGAGGCGGATTGGGCTGTCGGAGATGGCATGGAAGAAGCATATAGAGGTAATCAGTCATTCTGCACATAGTCTGTTTCTTTTTCTTCAGGTGAGAATCCACCTTGGTCATAGCATAGCACAAAATCAATCGCTCATGCAGACATTTTTTTCTTTCGTTAACCGTCAAATTGTGCAGTGGCTCTTGCATTAGCCAGTCCACCTTACATTCTATCTAGGAAGGTGCGCACTTACCTCAGGTTTTAGGTCAATCATATCCGTGTTTATTTTGTCAGTATCTAGACTAGAAATCGTTTGGCAGGATTATCATACTTCATTATTTTCGAGTTGAAGTTCCCCATCACACAACTACAGTGTATGTCCAATCCCGACTTAAAATATAACGACAATAGATGTATTTCTCCATACGCGGAGTATCGATCATGACTTACAAGAACACGAATTCATCTTCCCCGAGACCCCGAGGTCTGCCGAAAAAAGCTGCTCGGGATACCCACATGTATCCAAGTAATTCTGCTAGCATTTCGCAACAGAGTGACAACGAGAGAAGAGCGTCGTCCGATCGTCTGCAACATGGGATATCATTCAATCTTGTTTCGTTGGTCACAAAATTCGAAGCACTTGATGCTCTGAGCCTCCCCTTTACCACACCATCCTTCCAGCCAGCACCGCTTCAATTATCAAGGAATTCGCCAATACAGAAAGGTGGTAAAGGGGCAGGTTACAGGAGGAGATTGTCAACGATTTTCAGTCCGAAACGAGGAAGTTCGGAAAAGCGTGACAATAGGTCTGTCGAGGAGGATATTCAACCTGCCTACACAGACATCTTCGAATCACTAAATTCTCGAAAACTCGGGTTGCTGGGAACAAAAGCTGACTCAAGAAAACTCAAAAAGGCACAGACTTCCTATAAACCAAGTAGTATAAAGCTACGTGGTGGCGTCTGGGATACAGCAGATTTTATAAATGGAAGAAAATTCGGGACAGTAGCAGCACCGTATATTGAGAACGAAAAACTTGATGACAATAAGGGAGGATCCATCAGAGATAAAATCAAATTTTACGATGGGAGTAAGTTCGACTGTAAACCGGAAGAAGTCCGAGGTAAACTAATACTTTTTGGTAGCAGTATCAGGAGGGAACAGCACTCGGGCGTACCCTTCGCTCAACAACACCGCTGCCCCAAACACCCCAATCTCTATTTCCCGTACTCGACTATTGGACAAAAGCTACTTCCTGACACCTTCGACTGGAAGCTCGAGACGGACATGCTTGCACAATCCAGATCCAGAAACAATTACACCCACAAGATCGAACGCAGCTTCTAATGGAAAACAGAACATAGGGCTGGGGCAAAGTCGGCACCAGACGCTGCCTCAAAGCTCGCCATCCAGGGGCTATAGCAATGTCACCACACGAACCATGGAGAGCCCTCATAGGTATGGTAATGGCCGAGAAATTTCGAGTCGGCCGCCTCTACGAAAAGGACATATACCAGAGCCAACGAGGGGACGAAGAAACATTATGGTTGGGTCGAAACAAAACATTCCCCCAAGCTTAGGAGGAGATGGCAGCGCGCCTCCGCCAGCCGCGCAAGATCAGGCAAGTAGGCCACTGAGTCGGAGAAGAATGAGCAACAAGATTGGAGAGCTTTACCGTGCTAAGAGCATAGAGAAGAAACGCAAAGAAGACAAAGAGACAGCGCAGCCACGAGCAGAAACCATGCCCTCACTATCTCAGGCGAAGATAGCACTTGGACTCGAGGGACGGATAATGGAGCCTGGAAAGCCTCGACCTAGAAAACTTTCGGACAAGGTTGCAAACATGAGAAAACTGTTTGATGGCAAGTTCTCCCCGAGGTCTGCATCCCCAGAAGGCCCTGTACCATGTTGCGCATTAAACCCCATATCCTTGGAAGCTGCTTCTGCTTCTTCCTCCCGGTACAAACAAGAACATATATTAGAACTTCGAGACTTGGCAGTCTTGAAACCTCCTACGCCTCCGCCTATGCCACCTTCCACACAGAGGAAAGTATCCAATGTATCGTTGAGGAATGATGGTGCGCCAGCAGTCTTGAGTACAACCAATGCCTCTGGGGTGACTAAAGCAAGGAAATCACAGTTCTCATCTCCGACCAAGAAGAGGTCACCGCCAAAGAGCAAGCTCATTGTAGAAAAAGTGAAGATTTTCGAATCGACATCCGAGACCTTTCCTGAGATCGGGCATTCAAGAAGAGCCAAAGCATTTCGCAGAAGGCTGAGCAAGTCTCTACGGGGTCTCTTCGAGGCACCTTCACGAAAGAGCCAGGGGCAAGACCAAGAACAGAACAAGGGGGAAGAGACATCTGTGAGACCAAACGGAGATGTGAGTCCAGAGGGAAGTGGTCTATTAAGCAAACGGCGGACGATCGTCGGCAGATGGAACAACGTTCCAACTGCAGTGTCGAGTGGAGGAGATGGGACTACCAGTGAGAAGCATTCACCGCCTCCAGCAGAGGAAGATGTGATCGCAGAGATGGTAGTCAAGGGTGTTGAGTGCGGTCTGAAGCAACCGAAACCGGTGCGAGCCGTGGAAATGAAGCGAATGGCTCTTCTGTGTAAGGATCGTATGGGAGAAATCATGGACCGTGACAAGGGAAGAGTAAGCCTGCGAAGGAAGTCTTGATATGACGACTGGTCACTTGATCGCTACTAATGTATCAATTCCTGAAAGGCCGAGAATAAATAGGAGACTTGACATAAACTCATTGATATCTTGTACTATCTCAATAAGTTGCCAGGCCCATTCCTTTGCCGATCTTTTTCACCAATGCCTTCTTCAAGTACCACTCTCGCGCCAAAGTTCTTGTCATCTTGGCGAAGACTGCCGGGCTTATTCTCCCCCTTTCGACTGCTCTCCCAAGAACAAACAATGCGTCGCCCAAGCTCCTTTCTTCGCTCACGAGTTCGTACAACTGATTTCCAACCACTGTGGGGGCGACTAAGAGTTCATCCACATTTGGTGCCGTCCGGTGCTGACTCTGGTCAATCACTGCATCCGCATCGTGAAGGGCGGTGTGTAGGATATTGGTATTTGCTGATAGGAGATTGTTCAGGGACTCGAGAGCTTGGATTTCGGCTTGCATGCTTGCAAGTGAGGCTAACATAGCCTTGTGCTGTGCTTCTAATCCCGGTAGGCTAGATACAGTCTGATTGCGGGTATGCTGCCGCTGTGCATATAACGATCTTCCTAAGTTGTGCAGAAGCATGTCTTTCTCTGGGTTCGGAGGTATTGGGGGAGCTGGAAGGTTCGTGGATGCTTCAGAGGGTACTGAAAGGACTAGTGGCGCGTCTAAAAGATCTGGAAGTGGTGGAGGTTTCACTTGAGGTTTTGGAGGAGGATGTTGCCATTGAGATTGCTGGCCGATGTATTGCTGTAAATGCTGTTGTTGCTGGTGAGGATTGTATGAAGGCGGTGATCGAGATTGTGGAGGGCCATACTGAGGGTGGGGATTCTGGGCCTGGTACTGTTGTTGGTACGACTGAGGACCTGGTGGAGAAGTGGGAGGGCCGTCTATAGACTGTCTCAGGCCATGTTGCCTCTGAGGTTGAGGTGGTTGGGGAGGAGCTGTCTCATAACGCAGACTGCTGCTCCTCTGCGGATTGTGAGGATAATTATTTTGGGGTAGTCCTTGCTGACCATGTGGAGGATTCTCGTACCCCGTTTGCGAAGGTAGGGGAGGTAGAGGAGGCCCGCTGTCCCGCCTCGATGGCCCAGCAGGCGAGAATTGCTGGGGATTATTCGCTGGCTTGGGTGGCGGAGGCGGAGGTCCAATTTGCCCATTCGGACTCGCAATTGTGGATCTGGAGGTCGGACGTGCTAATCCTGGAGGCGGCGGAGGTACAGGAGGGGGTGCCTGGCTTGGATGCGGACGTGGAGGGGCAGTTTGTTGTTGTCGAGATACAACAGGAGGCTCTTTCGCAAAAACATCGCGTAGGATTGCTAGGAAATCAAGAATGTTGGACTTCTGTACCAAGAAACGATCAGTAAATGTACAGCTTTCGAACAACATCTGCCACTTACATCCCAGAACTCTGCCCACCCCACCAAGTATGGATGATAGACTTTGCCTTGCGGGTCAACATGCTGTCCTGGTCTAACCATCATGCCCTCTGTCGGCGTGACATATATGAGAGGAGGCTCCAGAGGGTATGCATGCGGCACCCATAGTGCAATTGGGAACCTGTATGTTGTGCCTCGAAATACCACCGGGAGGGTACCTGACATGTGGAGGAGGAGAGCCGATTTGCCATGCTCATAAGCTGCATCTTGAATCAGCTTCCAACCTGTTCGAACGCGAAACTTGTAGGCATACTGTAGACATCGGTTCGGGGAGCGAGCGAGGAGTAATGCGATAGTGTCTGGGCCACATCATTGTATGTACGGTTCACATCTTTGTATTCCTGCATGCATTTAGTGATTGAACGATTGTCAAATGGCCATGATACTTACGCTTGTTAGTACGCTGTACAGCCAGTTGAGCACCTGCTGTTTCACAGCGGCCATGGTTACCTGAAGTTCATCATTTTGTTGGTCATTGAAGCTATCCCCAGCGACGGCAAGTGAGAGCTCTTGGCAATGATCAGGTGATTGACTTGTTCGGAGGAACGATATTCCCGCTGATGATGTAACTTTTTGGTCTCTTCTCCTCTCCTCTCCAACCCAATCAGCAGCAGCTTCAGCCTTTTGATTTTCTTTCTGTCAGGGGCGCGCGTGCTTTCTTTCCCCTTGGCCCGCAAGGCTCCGATCGCGCCCGTCTTCTGCCTCCCCTCCCAAGCTGGAACGAAATTTGTCATGGGCGAGGGCGAGGTGGGCTACTACCTTGTACCTAGGCCAGAAGGAGAGGAGGAACCAGCGCCACTCTGCTGCCACTACTAATGTCGCCCACTATCCGATTTCCGATTCCTTCCCTTCCTCCTCTCTTCTCATCACAATATCCCATCGACGCGCCAGCTTTTCTCCATCGCAAAGCTCATGATAAGTTCGCTCACTGCAATTCCCTACGGCTGAGGAGTATCGGACAAAGATCTGTATACTCCTTGCGTCTGGCACGATCACCCCGTCCAAAATCTTTATCGAAAGCATGCTTCCACCCCTTCCAATCCTTGGCAACTACGGAATTTCACCAGAATATGGTTTCCTTCCGACTGAATTGCCTCTCGAGAGGCTCCCTGATCCATACTACAATAAATGGGAGGCTGTAGTTGCGAATCTTCAAGGCTTGATTCTAAGCAAACGCTTGCGCGGAGTCATCGACCTACTTCCTGTCCTTTCCACTGCGGGTCTGGAACATGACTCGGAATGGAGGAGAGCGTACTCGCTGTTGTGTTTCATGGCCCATGGCTACATCTGGGGCGGTGATAGCCCTTCAGAGGTCAGTAGCTGTATCGCAATTGTGACAATGTAATTGGGACTAAGTTGCGAGTAGCGTTTGCCGGCTGCAATTTCGATTCCGCTCATTCACATCTCGGCACACCTCGAAGTGCTCCCAGTCGCTACCTATGCGGGGGTTTGTCTCTGGAACTTTAAGCCTTTATTCCAAGACGAGCCTGTCGACAATATGGAAAATCTGGCGACCCTCACGACGTTCACAGGTTCTATTGACGAATCATGGTTCTATCTCATATCCGTGGCTATTGAAGCTCGGGGAGCGCCAATCATCCCCTTGATGCTGGCTGCTATCCAAGCGGCAAGATTACACGACGGCGCAACGGTCGCTGCTTGCCTTCGAGCATTCGCCGAAAGGTTGGATGATCTTGGCACCCTTCTGCAGCGTATGCATGAGAGTTGTGATCCGCAGGTTTTCTACAATCGCATCCGACCTTTCCTTGCTGGAAGCAAGAACATGGGCGAGGCTGGACTCCCTGATGGCGTGATGTACGAAGATGGCACAGGAAATGAAAGGTTTCGACAATATAGTGGTGGTAGCAATGCTCAAAGCTCCATCATCCAGTTCTTCGATATTATTCTCGGTATCGAGCACCGTCCAACTGGTGATAAGAAGGACGCAGCCACTGGGAGCGAGCTTGAAGGCACATCACCTCCGCCCAAGCACAACTTCCTGCTTGAAATGCGAAAATACATGCCAGGACCACACCGTCGTTTCCTGGAAGACGTCGCCAAGGTCGCTAACATTCGTGATTACGTTGAAAGACACCGGAACAATTCAGAGCTTGTTTTGGCTTATGACGCTTGTCTTGCAATGCTCCGAGAGTTCCGAAATAAGCACATCAACATCGTATCTCGGTACATTGTAATCAAGTCAAGGGAGTCGAGATCACTATCCCGTTCAAAGAGCCCTACCGTTCGACGCCACAAGGTTGATATTGCCACGGCCTCACGTCACGACAAGAGCGACAGCGGCAAGAAGAACTTGAAAGGAACCGGCGGGACTGCTTTGATTCCATTTTTGAAACAAGCTCGTGATGAGACTGGAGAGCCAGCCATTGATTCCTGGGCTCGACGTGTGATGAATCAAGACATTAGCATTAAAGCTCAAGGTGACTTCTTCTCTGGGAAGCTGGTCGAGCCGTCTACTGACGAAGTCGATACCTGTGGCCTGGCTGGTAGTTGGACACTTGATGAAAATGCTGGCGGACTATGCCACTATTGAATGCAATTTTCACAAGCAAATGTGTTTCAGGAATTGTTGGCCACTGGTGAAATATGAAAAACGAGTCCTGTGTAGCGATTAGACAACTGAATGTCCGAAATGTCCGATTGCTCGTTATGACAGTATCTAACTGTCTGTTATTAAATGCCAATGGCCATCTAAGTTACATCTCATAATAAATGCGACCTCGTGCTTTTACAATGTGCTTTTAACCTACATATAGCCCTTCCCCTAAATAAGGTAGACAGCTGCCTACTAATCTCAAAACAAGATCATGATATTTTTCCTTCCAGTTTACCACGCCAAGTGAACCCCGAAAGCTCCTCCCCTTGTTGGCCCATAGCCACGTGATCACGTCTAGCAACTAAATCGCGTCGTTCTTGACCTGAGACGCGCCGCCGACAACTCTGAGCCATGTCCATTGCCGCAGTTTTCAAACCTCACCATGGCTAGCAAGGCAGATAGTGAAGAGGGCATGAATGCAATAGAGCGTGGCCGGTTTCGATACAAGCAGAAAGATTATAATGGTGCTCTTGAAGCTTTCAGCGAAGTACGTACGACCTTCGAGCTTTCAGCTGGTCCCTACTAGAAATGGGAGATCTTTGACGATTTCATGTCCTGGGACAACCTTCTTAAAGTTACAACTATTTGGATGATTCTCTGCAGCGGTACTCGATACTTGATTCGAAGCATTGCTAAAATAAATCTAGGCTGTTGCTTCATACGCGGATCACATGCTGCTCACAGCATTGGACAGTCGAGCAGCGACATACGAGAAGCTGGGGCAGTTGATGCCGGCACTGAGAGATGGGAAGACGATGATCGAAACGAAGCCAAAAATGTCGAAGGTGGATTCTTCGACTTCGCCCTTGAAGTCCAGCTGCTGATTTCTCGCCAGGGATACCTTCGTACCGGCAAGATACTGCAATTGCAAGGAAAGGAACAGCTTGCTTTGCAAATATATGCCAGAGGCCTGGCCAAAGTAGCTTCTGGAACTGATAAAGAACGTCAGGTATATTTCGAAGTACCCCAGTTTCTAGGTCATGCTGATAGTTGTAAGCATCTGGTGACATTTCATGAGAAATTGCGACAAGCATTGAAGCCAGGCGAATCCAAAGATTTCATCTACCGTCTTCCGCTGGAGTTGGCTTTGATAATATGTCAAAATCTGCCCATGCGAGACCGAGTGTAGATACCACCCATTCCAAAAAAAGGTTGGGCACATTTTAGTAACAGTATTTTCAGAGTCTGCTTAGCTGTATCTAAAGGATGGAAAAACGTCCTCGAATCATCCACTCAGCTTTGGACCACCCTCGACACGACACATGCTAGAAGAGCGGTCAGTCTGAGATCGATCAAGATCCACCTGAGACGGTCGAATTACACGTTGGATCGCGCAATCATCACATTGAAGGCATATATCGATGCCGAAAAAATGAAATTTATCACCAGGACATGCAAGAATTTACGAGAACTGCACATCACTGGAAACGGCGTTATTGGCGATACCTTGTATTGTGGTTTACCTGGGGCCACTTCGTTAGAGACGATATCTACCTCTCATAGTACCGAGATTCCTTTGCATGCTGTTCAGTCAGTTCTTAAAGCTTGTCATAAGTCATTGGTAGACATCAAGTTCCTCCAAATCAGAGGAAGTAGGGCCGCTTTCATTCACGGAAAGTGGACGATGGCCGAGTCGCTCAAGACTATACACCTCAAAGCTGGTCAGGATGCCTGTTTAGACTTTGTAAGTTCCACAGAAGCCTGGTCTCAGGCTTTCCACACTTCCAGAGTCCTCAACACTTCTCACATGGGGACGTCTCGCGTATCTCTTCTTGGGAGCTATCCCTAGTACCCATTTCATCTACCCAGACTAATTTTGGTTAGGATGGTCTTCGAGACAATACTCCAAACGCCAGCTCTGTAGTTCTGACCAACTGGAAGATCACAGTACATGTCGTCGATGCAACAGCGTGGAAATGCCTCGAAAGACTCGATCTCACCGACACGCAACTCAGTCGCCTTCCCAAATTCCCTCCCACCCTCAAACACCTTGTGCTCAGCGAAAACCCCCAACTCCATTTAAGACCAGACGACGAGAAACCGACTCTTCTTCCATTACTTGAAACATTTGCCTGCGCGTCAACATCTCTCGATGGCGAAGCTCTCAAAATCATAACTGCCGCATCCATCAGAGCTCATAATTTAAAACGTCTTACCGTCGGCGACCGAATGGTAAACCCAAATACTGGCCTTGTCAAAGAAGAATTCCCGCCTTGCGAGACACTCGAGGAACTCTCTCTCGCATCTATGATACTCAATGATCGTACAGCGCTCGAAATAGTGAGCCTGTATCCCAATGTCAAAAGATTGGACATCTCGGCAACTCACATCACGGGGGTAGCTGTTAAGGCATTCGTCAACATGGGCCTCAAGTGGCTGAGGATCAACGAGTGTGATCGCATTAGTGCTGATGCGGTGGAGTGGGCTCGTGGCAAGGATATTGAGATTATTCACAACCTTTTGAGCCGCGGAATTCAAGTAAGAGGTGCCGCGAGGTTTGCCGACAGTGTGTTTGGAAGCAGTTTCTAAGCCATGATCACATTATTCCGAGGATCTTGAGGCATTGCGTGGCATCTGGATCTTGATTGCGTCGAATTTTTGAATCTTTGGGGACGTTCTGTCGTCTTCCGATGAAGCATCTGAGAATATGGCTCATCTGAGCTTGCGACATGGCAGATTTGAATTCCCCAATTATACATGTGCTTTCTGTGCCGACTTCTTTCGTAATTTTACCTCAAGAGCTAGCGCTCTCTTTCGTTTCCAGCTCGTTATAAAAACACCCAGCTTTTGTCGTTATCATTCTTTAAAATTTCTGCATTTATCCCTCTCCTTCATTGCAAATTCACAAATAGTCCGCCATCCACCAGAAGCTGCGCTCCATTCACATACCCGCTCAACTCCTCACATGCCAAGAACACAGCGGGACCGGCCATATCTCTAGGCTCTCCCGTCCTACCCAGCGGTATCCTTGTCTCCATGTACTTTCTCTTCTCCTCGACATTCAGATCTTCCTCATTAAGCTGCGTCTTTATAGTACCAGGTAGTAGCGCATTGCACCGTATCTTGTACTTGCCAAGTGCGACTGCCATGCTTTGCATCAGGGATAAGACACCAGCTTTCGTAGGCGTGTAGTGTGTTTGGAGACCACCACCGACGAGAGCAGAGATCGAGGAAATCGCGATGATGCTGCCGCCAGTGTTTTGTTTCGCCATTTGCCGAGCGGCAGCTTGGCAGGAGTAAAAGGCGCCGTCGAGGTTGATCCGAACTGTTGAGGCGAAGAGGTCATGGTCGAGGCTGGGAGGGAGGTGTTAGCTGGACTTTCGCAGTCGAGGCTGGCTTTCCATTCGCAAGCTGCCCAGTATCTCTTCAGGCTCCAGCGGATGACCTCCCGCACAAGGGATACCCAAGAGAACATACGGACAGACGATCTAGAATCCATATCTGAAGAAAGGTTCAACAGGGGAACAACTCACTCCAAAAATTCCGCAAACTGGCACACCCCCGCATTACTGACAAAAACGTCCAGCTTCCCAAATTCTCTAACAGCCTCCTCTACCAGCAACTTTCCCGTCTCGGGCTTACTCACGTCGCCCTGAACCTCGATCAGCCTGCCCGCCTTGTCATCTTTCTCTCTCAGAGCTGCTGCTTCCGCGAGGAGCGAGTCTTTATGGTGAGAGTCGGACGGCAGGTTCAAGTGGTTGATGGCGACGTTGCTGCCTTGGCGAAGGAACTCGAGGGCGATGGCGCGTCCAATTCCGGTGGTACCGCCAGTTATGGCGGAGACTTTGGAAAGGAGGAGGTGGTGTGCCATCGTGGCTGTTTTGGTTTATAGCTGTTGTGCTTATGGGAGCTGATGGAGGGGTCGTTTGGCCAGGCTCGACACACCCAGTCTCAAATCTGCGGTGGACCTTGCAGAGTGATCGTTCAGGAAGCCAGTGAGTGAGCGGACTCAACGTGGGATCAGTTATCGTATATCGAAAAAGAGAGTTGACAGAAGGTAAGAGAATCGACTTCAAGGCGGATATTCTACCATCGCGCCGTCAACAGTTCTTGGGCGCGTCCCTGTGGACGAAGTCAGAGAGAAAGCTTGGTGGGGTTCGGGTTAGAGGCATCCTTGCCGGAACCCCGCGAATTCGGTCATCTCGGCCATTTGTACCCGAGACTCTCTTCCTCTCTTCAAGGATTAAAGACGATGAGATTTTCAGCGCCTCGGCATTGCGGTACGGGCAAGTAGGAAAGAAGACCCAAGGGAAATTATCAGGTGGCAAAAACTCATATGGATGGATGACTTGCTGTACGATGTTGATTCTCTACCGAAGTTAGGCAGAAATGCAATACACCAATGTCTAAGGAAAAGGTTCCATATCTGTACCGACAAAGTGGTGTTGTGCAATTTACAATTGAGAGCTTTTAACTCAGGTGGAACGGCTGGTGGGCGCGCCATGAGAAAATTAAACATGGCTGTGGTGTGGCTGCAGTTCAACGGTTCAACGGCTTTTTTGTGTTGCCCATTTGGCGGGCGAGAGGCAAGTGACACAATAACGGCCACAACGACAACATCATTGATGCAAAATTCCAATTATCTATATACCAAAACAACTAAATACACAAAATACTATCCCTATGCAGTCGTCAGGTCATGTACTCCCTTTACAATACCGTTCACCAATCCTTCTCCCTCAGCCTTCTCTTCAATCTTCTTTTTCGCTTTCGCTGGCGTTCCCAAAGGCCGTTCTGGGTTGGGAGTCAACAGGTACTTCGCTGGGATCAATCTAGCCGCTGGGTTCAAAGTCAATCCAAAACCAGGCTTGTCAAGTTGAGTAGTATCCAAGTATCCGTTGACTGGGATTGGCTCATCCAAAAACAAGTCTCCGAAAACTGGCAACACGCTCTTTCCGTCTGGCGAGTTCGCGAGGTACTCTTGGAACGGGCAATTCGTTTGAGATACAACGTAGTGGTAACTGTATGGTCCACTGGCGTGGGGAACAACTGGAATATCGTATGCGGAGGCCATAGCAGACACCTTGAGAAGCTCAGTCAAGCCACCAAGCCACATGACATCCGGTTGGATGATGTCGAGATTTCGGCCCTCAATCAGCTTTCGGAAGCCGTATCTCGAGTATTCATGCTCTCCGGTGGTGAACTTGAGCTGGGGATGGGCACGCTTGATTTGTGCAAATCCGTCTGTATCATCTGGTGACAGGCACTCCTCCCACCAGTTGATATTCAGGTCAAGGCATGCTGTGGCCAGCTCGATGGTATATGGGACGTTCAAACTCATATAGCAATCAACCATGAGTGGGAAATCCGGGCCGACGCTTTCTCTGTGTTTTCGCAAGAACTCGACATTCTTCTTCAAGCCCTTGTGTCCCTCCTCTGGGCAGTATGGCAAGGGAACCTTTGCGCCCCAAAATCCCATTGCCTTCGCAGCTGTTGGTTCTGGCCCGGTGCAGTAGAAATCCAGTCTTTCTCTTGTGGCTCCTCCAATGAGTTTATACACGGGCTCGCCCCTGATCTTTCCTTGCAAATCCCACAGCGCCAGGTCAATGACCGAGATGACCGCTACTGGGAGTCCTTTTCGTCCATAAAACATGGAACCTCGGTACATTTGCTCGAAAAGATGGTTGGTATCTCTTGGATCGGCACCAATCAGGAAGCGCTCGAAGTGTTGGTGGACCAGCCAGCATGCTGGAGGACCTGTAAGTGAGGTATGTTAGTCTCATGCGTTCAATTTGTTTACTGCTGTAATCATTGTCTTACCTCCAAATCCAGTTGCGAAACCGACTGTGCCGTCCGACCCCTCAATTTCTACACAGAACGAGCCCAAGACATTAATGCCCCAACTCGTTCTCGAAGCTCGATATTTCTCCCATCGGGACATAGGTGTGGATATGGAAGTATCAATCAGCCTGTTCTTGAGTTAGAGAAGTCGTCCGTATCTGGGGGAGTCGAGTGACCTACCAGTGCCCTCCCTCCACATTGTGGTAGTCTCCTCCGGATCCAACGCCATCTATGACATATGATCGGATGGCCTTGATGGTGGGGAAACTTCTCGCTGCTGCTGCTGCCATGGTGGGGGATTACAAGCAATGCAAGGGGGTGATAAAGATGCAGTAGATAATGGGATATGGAAAGAATCTATGCGGAGAATCTCAGGAAGGAGGTAGGTTATGTATATATGAGAGAAATCGCGGAATTACGGGCGGACAGGCAGGACAGACAGCATTGGCAAGCAAAGGGGTGCGACAAGGGCGAGTCAAGGACGGGGAACGGGGAAGCTTTGGTGGGGTCATTCGGGAACAGCTGCACCGCTGTGCCGAGCTATAATACTGTAATATGGTCGGGGGAAGAGAATTGGAAGTGTCTGCCAGCCAGACCATGAATCGATATGAGAATGGCCGGCTGTGGTAGTATGCCTGCGACCTAGACGGCGAGGACATTTTCGTGGACAGGTGGACTCATGTATCTGTTGCTTGTTGAGATTTGAGGGCTGGCAGACAGTGGAGGTGGTGAAGAGACAAGCAATAACAGAGGTTGATCCGAGAGCTCATGGCAGGGCAGCTGGACAGACTGCAAAAGCTACCTAAGTAAGGGAGGGATGTATCATAATTTCTTCCGAGGAGCATGAAACTATTTATTCCTTTATATTTCGCTATTGCAGAACTTTCGAATCCCTACCTGTGTCTTCTACCTCGTCTACGCTAGGATAGCGAGGAAGCCTTTCTTCCTCGTCAGACAAGACGATCCTGTAGGTATTCTCCACGTGCATCACCTGTCACGATCGTACGAGTACGAGTCTGAGTCCGTACAGGCGGTTGTGCTGCTGGTACTCTGATCTGACGGGGATTTCTTTCGGTCGGTATGTTTCCATCAGTCACAGAGTCACACTGTGTCGACGATGCTGCTTCGTGTTTTCGAGAATAATGCTGCATCTTGTTCCTCGTAATGTTCCGTATGGATCCAAGTGTGACAGGTATAAGTACTCGCCTCGTTTCGCCTGGCCTCGCCCTGGCCGTCTCCCACCATTCCCCGCAAATGCGCACTGCCGTTTGCTGACGATCCTTTCATCACATGGCATGATGGCCGTAGGTAAATCACCTACCCATGGCCGGCATGGTGGGCACTACTGTACCACTGGGCACTTTGAATTTGCAAAGTATATTTCCGAAGCCGAAGAATACTATCGAGATTACAGGTAAATTTACATACAGACGGACTTGACCCCTATTGGCGAGTACTCCGCAAACCTTCTGGTCTCTGTCTCCCTCCCGTGTCTTGATGGCAGCATCCCACCATCCCACCATCCCACCCACTCACCCACTCACCCACTCACCCACTCCCCTTCTCGACTCTCCTCCCCATGGCCCTTATGATCCATCCACCTCTTCTTCTCCAGTTCTTCTGCACCTCTCAATCGTCTGTCTCCATCTCCATCTCTCATCCCTGTGCTGCATGGCTCGCGTCGCCGTCGCAGCGGATGAAGAGCCTGCCTGCACCGGCTTGGTCTCGGCCTGGAGCACTCTGCCTGAATCCGAGCTCAAAGTTGAGCCCACTCAGTACTCCCTCTCACTCCCTCCCAAGCCAAGCCAAACAAGCCGAGGGGCAACCCTGGCTGGCCACTTCACACCTACCTACTGTACTGTGGTAGTCCTTCCTTACGAAGTTAGTCCTGGACTCCTCCTGGTCGTTTCTCCTCCAGCTTTCCCCCACATTAAATTAGTGCTCGCTATTAAAGTACACCGAGCCCTCGTCGTCAACTCCACCGAAAACATTTCCGTTTTCGCGACCAACTGCAACTGCAACTGCAACAGCGCGTCGCCCTGCCCTACCCTGCCCTGCCCTGCCCGGCCACTGGCCACTGGCCACTACCATGGATCTCACCTGCAAACAGTCGCCTCAGTCGCCCATGCGAGTAGGAGTAAATCATCCCGAGAGCGACGAGGAGAATGCGTACAGCGAAGACGACAGCGTGGGAGAGAATGGAGAAAATGGAAGTCGGCCCCGTAAAAGACAGCGGCGGCCCATGTCGGTCTCGTAAGGACTATGTCTCTTTCGCCAGTCAATCTTGTTGATATCGCCGGCTCTCTTCCTGCTCCTCCAGCTCTGGAGCCAGAAGAGAATCCTGCAAATCAAGACAGTAATGATCCAAATTGGCTAACCATTCGTCGAAGGTGTGAGCTGTGTAAGCAAAGAAAGGTACGACTATCGACTGTTTTGGCAAATTTGGCGTAATCAGAAATTTTTGCCGACATCCTGTTTTGAGGCGCTGTCTCCCAATAGATGTCACTCGAATACCAAGACGCATCTGCACAACCATGCATGTCATTACAAGCCATGAAGCCTGTCAAGATGGCATCTCTGCATGATCATCCACTTGGATTGAAGCAAGCTCTGGTTCAAGCTATGCGACTTATAGCATGTGGAAAGCCAGGGCATTTCATATTTGCTATTCTAGATGCGGCTATTCTCCTATCACTCAATCTAACTATAGATAGGTCAAATGCGATCGGGGCCAGCCATCGTGTGGATGGTGTACTCGCAATGGCGCCATTTGCGAATACAAGGAGAGAAAGAAACCTGGATTGAGAGCTGGGTATGGCCGAGAACTGGAACAGAGGTTGGATAGGTAAGCAAAATTGGTCGCTGTCTAGTGCAGGAGGTGGGAAGAAACTCCAATTGAGACCGAGACCTCATTACCCTTTTCCCATTCTGTGGAACTCGCCAGATCTCAATGTCCTACTGGGCTTTGAGACATTTAAGCTGTTCAAGGCTGCAAAAATAAGAGACTGACCATTTCAGACTCGAAGAAATCATCAGATCTCATTCTCAAATCCTCGAAACATCTTTTACGAACCATAGCAACAGTATACCCAGCGATCACGATACTCCACGAAGTGTGGGCTTCCGTTCGAATGATGGACACCGACACGTACCTCAAGCCGAGACCGCGCTCTTCCTGCAAAAGCCTTCTTCCTTTCCAGGTAGCCAGTCGATAGACTTTGGAAACCCGATTCCTCAAACGCCAGGCATGTCAGGTTTACACGGAGACGTCTTTCAGCAAGGGATGCAACAATCAAACAGTGTGCATAACCAGGCCCATCAGGTAGCCACAGGTCATGCTCCAGAATTTTACAACACGGGTCAACCGCCTCTGGCATCGCCAAGTCTTAATGTCACGCAAAACTCGCCCGAATTCTCTTCTGATCACGCACTTCCCCCATACGATCTTCTGTACGCCTTAGTTGATCTCTATTTTAAGCATGTCAACACCTGGTGCCCGATTTTGCATCGAAGGTCAACTTTGGATTCGCTTTTCGGACCCTCAACCTTGGACGAAGCCGATAAAATCTTGCTCCATGCTATAGTTGCAACAACATTGAGATTCTCTACAGATCAGCGTTTGACCGAGGATCGGCGGACCCATTATCATGACATATCGAAGCAAAAGGTGCTGCTGTATGGGTTGGAGAACTCTTCTGTGAAAGCACTCCAGGCTTTGGTGATCCTGGCACTGGATCTTGTGGGAAGCAGCAATGGCCCTCCAGGATGGAACCTACTGGCTTTAATCACCCGATCTGTTGTTCAATTGGGGCTTGCGGTCGAGACTACGTCCGTCTCTGTCTCTCCAAATTACCCGTCCATATACACTCTTCGAGCCATGGTACTCCCAGAAGCAGATAATTTTATCGAGGAGGAATCAAGACGTCGTCTCTTCTGGATGGTGTACCTACTAGACCGCTATGCAACCATTGCCACGGCATTCGAATTCGCGCTTGACGAGAAGGAAATCGATCGAACTCTACCATGTCGAGATGATCTCTGGAACAAGAACCAGCAAGTACAGACACGCTGGTTCCGAACTTCTGAGAGAACGGAATACGATATTGATAAGCCAGAAAATCTTGGCACGTTCTCGTATTATATTGAGATTCTTGGAATCTTGTCCAGAATTCACAAGTTCTTGAAAAAGCCAGTCGATATTAGTGCACTATCAGATGTCGAGCAGTGGCAAGGAGAATACAGAGAATTAGATAATATGCTTACGTCTTGGAAATTCGACCTTCCTGCTGACTATGGAAATATGGCGAAGCTGTTCCAACCTGGAGGTAACAAGTCGATCAATTGTGGTTGGGTCATGTTACATGGTAAGTTTCTTGACAAGGTAGGTGACCAGTACTGACAGTGTATTAGCCACATACCATACCACAGTAATCAGACTTCACTCATCAGCAGCATATCCAACAACAAGATCACCCATTTTCACACCATCCTACAGTGCCAGTCAACGCTGCCACGGAGCTGTTGAGAACATCGCTGCCCTAGGCGAATTCGTGGTGCAAAACGGCATGCTTCCCAAATTGGGGCCTCCATTTGCCTTCACTCTCTGGGTAGCTGCAAGACTCCTGCTTGTCCATGGCTCAACTATCGAGCACAAGCTCAGTCCACAGATCCAATTTTTCGTTGACACACTGCGAGAGATGGGCCGATATTGGCTCGTAGCTGAGCGCTACACCGCGATCCTCCAACGCGTGCTCGACGAACACCGGGACTCAGAACGCTCTGCTGGTACGAGTGGCGAACGCGTCACTCCCTCCTCGGTTAAGATCCTCGCGGACATGAGACGATGTGCTTATGACCTGGACTTCCTCATCTCACGACAGCCGAAGCACATCGGCATGGTATCACGCCTGCCTAGCGTAACGCCCGCGAGAACCCCAGCTCCCAACGAGTTGGAATATCTCGACGTCTTTGATTTCTTCAATGTGCCCCGACTACCCGTGGCCCCTGGAGACCTAGGCCAAGTCTCTGGGAATGGCGTGGGGGATCTACATATTCCTGAGATGGGTAATGGGGCGAATGAATTCAATATTACCAACTTCATGGTCGATGCTAATTCAGACTGGCTGTTCAAGAATCAGAGCTGAGTCGAGGGGTGCAAAGCAGGTGTCACGAACAGGAAGTGCGGGATCTTCGGTGAGCCATTGAGTGGAAATCGGTCACTGTGCAGAAGGAGGTGTGATAATAGAAGATACGGACTGGCATCTAAGCCCTTTACTGAAAATGACTTCGTGGGGTGGTGAAACTAAAGGCAGAGAGAGGCTTAGGTTGTTTGTTTGGTCGTGCAAATGAAGTGGGCAGGACAGGGCAATGCTCTGTTTTGCTTTGAGCAGCAAACCATGGCTGAGGAAGGACCTGGGCGTTAAGGCAAAGCTGGCTCGTACTCGGTGATGGCGTCTATCTTGACTGGTAAGGTTCAATTGAGCTTTCAGTTGAGTTCAAAGAGATGCAAGTAAGAAAAGTACAGAAAATGTCAGGCGGAGGAATAGATGAGAGAGGCAGAGCAGAGGAGTACGGATCTTGTGAAACCACATCCCTTCGCGTCGGTTCTTACTCGGCCTTGGAAGTGGACATATATTGCGGCTGTTTGAAGATCCGGCATGGGAGTTTGTACTACCTACCCAGCTCGGCTTCGAACTGTCTACTTTTTATGAAGCGAAACAGGGCTTATTCGAACGCAGGTGCTGACAAAGACGATTTGTGATGTCGAAAAGTAGCAGCAGAAGCCCAGTACCGGCAAAATAGCAAAATAATAAAACGAGCCCAACGTTATGAGCTAGAAAAGGGAGCAGCACAAGGTAGTTTCAATATAGTATTCTGTAAATACATCTAGCATGTTGGCAACTTGCATTCCGAGATACGTGCAAGGGTACTTGTCTAATCGATTATGGTAGCATTGCCAAACATACAGAGTGGCTAGGTACTCTGATAATGTACAGAGGCCCCATCCAGGGTATGGGATTCGGTGGCTCGTATCTGAAGGGAAGTTCAAGGGCGTTGGGTAAAAGTGCCATTCTACATTCCCAACCCCCCGGTCTAAAAATGAAAACAAAAGAGAAGCGCAATGACGCAGGTAGAATAGAAAGAGACAGCAGCACAAAAGAACCTGAACCAAGCTTCATCGCGTGGTGAAGAGCGGGGAGAGGCCACAGTCCAGACCGGCAGCTGAAGCAAGCTGAAGGAACCCAGCAAGGAAAAGTATATCAGAGTTCAAGAGAGTAAACTGTGAGAAGAGGAGGCATAGTGCACTTGCGTTGATGGATTAGGGACCACTAGCGCCATGCCAAAGTCAACGTCTATCATGACGAATGTTTGATCCTCGCCAGGGTCTCTACAATACCCTTGCCTGTCTTTGCTACATGCTCCGTAGCCGTACCTTAGCTGTTCGCAGCTGGCATTCCAGCCTCAAATCGGCCCCGAGTTTCCCCATTCCGACTCTGCCGCCAGGATAGCTATCATGTTGAGGTTCGTGCTGTCTCGAGTCTGTCGGGACTCGGGAGAGACACGGACAGACAGAGTGGCAGACTCCTGCGCGGCACGAGAGATGGAACAGGATAATCAGGCCGAGAAGCCGCGTCGGAAACTTATCAGACGGGCTGCGGCGCTTCTTCAAGCCTTGGAATCATTCATGACATATCAGAAGAGGGCTCAGCAGTCCAGTCCATTCTAGTAAATAGGAAAGTAATGGTACCTTCCCCGGATCATCACTGACGCCGAATCAATACGCGGGTGTCGTGAGATGGATGATACATCTGCCTGCCTGTCTGGAAATGTGATATCAAACTGCTGCCTGGCTGCGAAGCTACGCTCGAGGATATGGTATCGTCGGCGAGTCCGAATGAACGGCTTCAGTTGAAATCCCGCGCTTGTCGGCGTTGAGAATCTCACCGTCACTGCCGTCACTGGTCTCCGTCAGCGACAAGGGGGAGAATACCTAGGTAAGGTAGGTAGAGCCACATCGAGGCGCAGTCCCGGTCATGTTGCTGCCCCTACAGTACTTGAGCGACAGGGGTCAGGGTACCTGGACGCAATTATTGGCCGCCTTACGAACGTGCTTAACGCTAAATGGATTGGGGGCTCGATGGGACGCGCTAGGGTGCCGTTTAGCGCAAGGCTGTCTTCGAAGATGTCGCAAGGCAGATTGAGGACAAGTCGGGACATTCTCCATTGACTTACACTTGACAGCATTTTCAGATTCCATTGGAGCCACTGATACGTCCTTGTACGACACGAGCGGTTGCGAGTGAGCATATCGTGAGCGACAGTTTCCTGTTGTAGAAATAGACTATTTAGGACAGGTAATCAACGTTGTTGAAACTGGTAGCGATCGTGAACAGGGTTCTTTCTGATCACTGGATTTCTAGATCGATCTGCTAAATCCCCGACCCTAATTGCTCGTACCCACGCAAAACCGTATCTGAACCTATGAACGGTTTGAATTGAAGACATTATTTTTGTACGGTCCATTTTGAGTTTACTTTTGCTTTGACGATGTTAATGCCAAGTCTAGGTAGATTTCTTATCGATTGTAAAGCATCAGAATCGCAGAGCCATGGTAATAAAGGTTTGTTGGCCTTCAAGTGACGGATGCTGTGGCATGAGCTCCGATTGGATTCTTCTGGTCTTCTGGTAATGATTCAATGGTGCATGGTAGAAGGCGGCTTCAGTCGATTAAGTAATTGTATCTGGGAAGGGGATTGACGCAGTTTGCACATTAGAGGAAGTGGTCGTCGGACATTGTTCTCAGTGTATTCCAGACCAATTGAATTCTGGAAACAGAAGTTGTCACCCAAAAGCCGAATATGCATTCCCAACGATGTTTCTGCTTCTGCCTCTGACTGTTGCTAGTAGTCTCTGGTATGACTCTATCATGACCAAGTTTTATAATTGATTACTCTCACCGAAATTGGCACACATATCGGATTCCTAATTGGGTCAAATAGACGCAAGAGCAAGTGTTTCATCACCCGGTACAGCTGGAAAAAGCACTAGAATGGAGTCATCTGTCTCCTGACTGTAGATGCACTGTATGTCTCATGCCCTGCCCTCTGCTTCAGTGCTTCCTGTCTTCAGGACATTTAGACCAGGCTGTGGACAGTTCCATCCCATCCTATGCCATGCCATGCCATGAGGTATCGCAACCCTAGGCACCGGCATAGAAGAGTACCACATGGGGGCAATATCATTGGTTCAGATACGGCCGAAGATGCGGCCTCGAGAAAATCCGCGATTGAGTGATTCCAAAAGTCCTGCATGCTCCAATGATGGAGCGGTGGTCGCACCAGCCGCACCGGTCTCCTACCAGGGACGAGGGACCGACTGTCATTTGTTCGGTACTTGGGCGCAACGGCTGTCCACGCTGACCGGGTTCGTTCGACCGGATTTCCCTCTTGAAGGGAGAGGTGATGTTTCTGGCTTGTTTCTGGGATGCTTCTTTGGCGAACGCACAGCCCCTGTTATGCGGTCACCAATTACAGGGGAACTGGGTTGGGTTTGGTATGGATTGGTGAACTCTTTGCCAAGGCCCATCGATGAGATTCGCAGGGGCGAGATGAGACTGAGCGCCGAGACAGCAGAGCGATCAAGATAGGGTGTTCTAAATCCGGCTCTGGATGCTGACATCTTTCGCATCGCATCGCATCGCATCGCATCGCATTATTATTGCAAGCAACTTTTTCTTTGTAGCGACTGATCTCCTGTCTACGATATCGATACACACACTCGCACATGCGCGTCAATTGGCTATTTTACTTGTCTTTCTGCTGCTAATCTAAGGTGACCAATCATCTTTGGGGCTTTTCTATTCTCCTGTCAAGCAGCCCCCAATCCCCCAAATACTGCCCTGCCATGACCTACTGCTAACCACAGCTAAACCGACAAGCGCTTCAATTCAACTGAAGTGGACTCCACTAATACCTCCGTAGGTTTAACTCCACTCCTCCACTCATCAGCCCCAAAGGAAACAAAACGCCGACAGACCAGGGGACACCTGCCACACGCATAAGTCCGGCATGTGTCTGCGCTATCACGCTTTCGCTCCCCGACGCCCGCCTAGAGGTACCTGGCTCTCACCTCAGACTGCTCTGCTCGACTCTCGCTGCTGCTGGTCTGCCTGCTCTGCCTGCTCTGCCTGCTCTCTGCAGCTCTGCTAAGATGACTCTCGGCTTGCTTGCTGTGGCTTGAATGCCGGACTATCGGACTCTGTCTATGTGTGCCTGCATCGAGAATAGCAGAGCAGAGCAGAGCAGAGCAGAGCAGAGCAGAGCAGAGCAGAGCAGAGCAGAGCAGAGCAGAGCAGAGCAGAAGCGCAATCATTTACAGTTCATGCTAGATCTGACAATACTGTACTAGTCCGAGCTGCACCAAGTATTCCCCATTTACCTAGCTACCTACTTGCTACCCACTCACTTGTGCGTCGCTGGGCGAGTCGATTCTAACTGCAGTCTATAACCTAAGGTGCGTACATCGTAAATCTACTTGATCTATCCTAACCACAATAGCCGGATATCCTCGCAAACCCATCCACCACTCTTCCCCATCCCCCCTCGGACCTTGGTATTGCAGGGTTCCTCTTTCCCATCTCATGCACCGCCGATATTCTTTTTAGCATATTCCGCACCCCTGCCGCCCTAATAAGACTAGCCCTGAATAAGATCCACAAGATCGCGGTCCAAGTCTCCGGGAGACTGCCAGACCAGGCCGGGTACCTTGACTTACCTACCCACCTACCATACTAGATCTCGAGGCTGAGGGCTTCCTTTACTCAGCACACGCTCAACCCAGCAATCTCAGCCTTCACATGGCCTTGTCCACTCACTGTCAACGCTCTGGTAAGCCTACCCCGTCCAGGACAGACCACCTGTTTGGACCATAGTCGTTGCGCCAGGGTCTGCCCACAGGACTACCTACTACCTACCAGTCTACGACATGGGGGGACTAGTTCTTCTGTCTTTTCAGAAATATCCTTTCCTCTGACGACACATCTACCTCTCTACCCTTCACCATCGACTCATCCTCGACCCTCCCTGCTCGACCTTCCTGCATCTAAGTTGACCTGCATATGGGCTGCAGTTGATCCGCATCCACCTCTCACCATCTCTCCACTGTTGCCTTATGGCGTGGGATAAACTCTTTAAGCTCAAGGAGTATTAAGGCAGTCGCATCCCTCGGTCCAGATGACTCTTTGCATCACATCCTTCTGTGTCGTGCTTCGTCTTCTAGATTTCCTTTCCCTCAGGCTTCTCTTTCACAGTCTGCTCCTTAATATATTTCACAGCATCACTGCTATCTGTCTCAAATTGTTGTTTGATTCTCAACTTCACCCCGCCGACCCCGACGACTTTGCTTTGTTACCCCACTACACTGGCAGCCCCGCTCAGCACCCATTTCTCCTAAACCACTCTCAAAATGTGTTATCTCGTCGTCGAAAGATACTCGGTGTGCCGATGTCTCTATCACAAGCACAGCGTCGATATGTGTGCTGCATATGGGCAGCAAGGGCACGGAATCCAGGAGAGGACGATCTTGGTTGGATACGCTTGCGAGAAGCACTCTGGTTATGATCAAGAGACTTCGAATTCAAGGAGCGGCTACTCGGACTCCGGATACGGCACGGCAAGCCATTCATCATATCAACACTCCTCCCGAAGACACCGCAGATGAAACGTATTGTCTTCGATAACGGGATATTCATGGTTATCTACAAGGCTCGTGCGCTTCGAATTCGATGACTGGAAGATGTATCTGTTCTCATTTCGAGGGAGGACATCTTCAGCGCCTCCATCTCAACTCACTCTCCTACTCGTCAGCCACGATCGATTGATGTCCTCGTCGGCACCATGACATCTGGCCATTATGCGCTTGAGCAAGTTTCTCTCTGCTCCACACTCTACACTCCCACATGCGATTCATCAGCCACGAACGAAAGAACGACCGGACGACACGTGCGATAGATACCATGAACCTCACGAAATTATCGAAGGCGCAAAAGGAGATAATACGAATCGGGCTCAGGCCCCTCATCCACATGAATGAATATCGACTGTCATTGAAATTTTGCATAGCATAGCGGGTTTCCAAAGCATAGCGTCGGCATTGGGTCATTGGACATGGTGTTCGCTCTTCTTATTTTGCGTATCGTTGTTGCGTCCTTCTTTTGACTTTATGTGTCTGCTTTTGTCTGCTGCGTTTCTTCTTTCTTTTGGTCATTGCATGGGATGGATATGATACCTGGTGTTTGGGATGAACACTTTTGATTGGTTTTGGGAAACTTCTGTTCTACACGGGGCTTGAAAGCCATTTTCCCTTTGTTATCTTATGCCGATCTGAGATTCGCAATTACACTTTCTTTCCTTTTTTTTTGTTCTATCGAATACTCTAAAGGAGCTGAAACTCCAGCTCAGGCAGCCCAAAATTATGTTTTCATAGGAAGGATCTGGATCAATTCAACAGGCTGCGCCTGCAGGAAGGAAAAGGAAAAAGTCCAATGTACCGCACTATTTTCATTATCTATACATCTCTTATCTCACTCAAGTTATCATTTGTCGGTTCATTTTCATTTCAGCGGGGCTGATCAATCGCTCTATCTACTGCATTTCAAAATGTTTCTGTACGTAGATCTGCCGTCACAGTGCGCATGACATTGCGCTCATGTGATACGAGGCTTTGAGAGCCAGACAGCCAGGACTGGCAAGCAGGCAGGCGAGGCTCAGGAAGCAAGCCTTCCAATTGTTTGTTTGGGTTCATGCACGGCCACGAACTCGACCTCCCTCGGTACTGGCAGGACCAATCGCTGAGGTTCCCTCGTTCAAAGGTACCTGGTGTACGATAGACGAGACCGAATTAGAAAACCGCAAGACCCGCAGCTCATCGGGACAAACACATTTACACTACAGGAGCCACACAAAATAAACTCAAGAAATAAATACAAACCTCCCATCAACTCATGTCTCTCCTTGACACATTCGTTGGAAGGTAGAAACTGTGCGCCACCGACTAACCCCGAACTTTGTAGATGTGCTGCAGGAACAGAGACATTGTCTCATGTTTTAGAGCATGGTTGTCTTGTTCTCACCTCATTCAGCTGTGCTGTGGACATGTCAGCATTCCCCCACCACACCCATTCCCCTCTCAGCCCACCTCTTCGGACATGAAACGCAACACTGATTTGCTGCACTGAATCATTGCTACGCATCTTTAAATCTGTCTTTCTTCCCAAAGGAACTCCATACAGCGACGGTGCCTTGCATTCCCGACTCCTGCAAACTGCAGGTAGGTAGGTAGCTGCATTGCATGTGCATTGCCGCTCGGCGTCGCTGGTGCACACCCACACATGTACCATTGTTAGATGACAGCTTTACTGATCGCTTTATCCAAGTCCTTACACCTGTACTCGCATTTGCATCTTTACCCAGACGGCTGCTTAGTGCCTGGCCATCTACTCGGCCAGCAGGTCATCCATTTACCCCGCGGCCAAAATACTCACCAACGCAAGGATTCATCAATGGAGCCTTCAGAGTTCATCATCCAATCGAAAAATCCCAAATCTTCCAAAAGAAGGCCATATTCCATAGAACCCAGCTATGTTGTCGTTTTCTGATCAATCATTTCTCGCCAATCCCATCCAATCCACAAGTCCGGGTCGGCACTCTAGCTTCAAGATCAGTACAGATTTAAAGGGCAGCCTTGCGCTACTGCACGCGGGAGTTATTTTTAGGGGCAGATCTTCCATCGGAGCGGGGTGTCGGTGCGCTAGAAGGCCTGTAGAATGCAGGGGCTTGCTTGAGTGGGCTGGCGAGGCTGGGTAATGGCAGGGTTCCTGGCTGGTCGCCTATTTCGGCTGTTGGAGCGACTGAGATGCGATGATATGTGACGGAGGTGTAGTGCAGTGCATTCTTAGAATTTTGTTTTGCACTTTGTATTGTTTACTTGAGACCTGCTTTGGATGCGTGTGAAGACGGAATATATGAACGCCGTCTTTGGTAAGCCTCCGATGCGTTGTGTTCCAGATTGGGGTCTCGTAATGGATGTGAGTACAGCAGATCGCTGTTTATGGGTAGGCAGAATCATCTTCATTTCGGTCCTTGTTCTTTTGAAGGAGGCACGATTTTCGGTAGTTTTTGAGATTATCTAGAGCTGCCACGATTAATTATCTTTAGCGCGAGGGAATTTCTGGCGCTACGAAGTCGAATGGGCTCGGAGATAGAGCCGTACCTGCAGACGGATATCGAAATCCCTACCTATCTCGAGGTGGAGGGCTCACTTCAAGCGACTCACTAGCCTCCATTATCCTCCTCCATATCAATCGAAATTGCGATGAGTGGCAAAATATTTCTCTATCAATAGTGTATATCGCTTGAGGCTTGTATTTTGTATCTACCTGAGACTAGGGGTTGCGGAAGAGGCTTGATGGAAGGATCATATTGCAAGGAATGTAGATGATATACGAGCCGGCGAACGATGGGGGGTAATACCCTTATTGCAAACGTGGAGGCTTAATCCTCCACAGCCTTAAATCCTTTCAATTTTGTCCATTAAATAAATCAGAACCATTAGATTGAGGTTTTCTTTCGTCGTGACCATAAAATACCCACCTTGCCGCCGCCTCCAAAGTTGGGGTCCGAAGCCAGTCTCATCTTTTCTAGGTACAGAGTAATTGTCAGAAAAATACCGTACTTGAAAAGCTAGCCCAAAGCGACCCCACGGTCGCATGGGGTCCGGTCAAGAGGAGGCGAAATGACTGTCGTAACTCGCGGGTAGGGATAGATTGCTATTCCAAAACAAGCGCAAGCAGGCGCAGACGAGCGAACAGGATACAAGCTGACGAGATCTGATAGTGCCGGCGCTTAACTTGTGGCTCTGCATATCTTGAATATGGACTGTGGAATGACGGTGATTACAGTTCAGGTGCTTGAAGTGTGGCTCCACTCGGCGCTCGCTCGCGTGTCTGTCATGCATGCTTAACGGTGGTGTGGTGTGGTGTGGTGTGGTGTGGTATGGTATGATTGACTCTGCTTCGGTTCAATTAACCGAAGCGTGGATGAGATGAGGTGAGGTGAGAATGGGGTCCAAAAATACACTTGTGAAATACTTACTTACAAACAAGTTCTTGGCACGCCATACTTGAGAAGGTTCTTTGTCACACCGGCCGGGGTATAGAGTTGTTTGTTTCGGCAATTGAGAGAGGTGAGATTTGCTGCGGCTGCAGCTCCTTTGGTCTACACCTGTTGCCAGGATCTAGAAATTATTCGGTACAGTCATTGTGTCATTATCATGAGTCTGTTGTGTAATGGCCACATTAAGATGTCTTCCAGCTAGGAGCGGGCCGACGTCTTTATCGCCGGAATTTCTTCTCCGTCTGCTTTGGAGTTGATCAGTGTGAGAGTGAGCGGAGTGTTTACCTTTTTGGTTGTGGGTGTGGAGATGAGAATGATGCACAATGATGAGAAATCTTCCGGATCGCGCGGCGAGAATTGCAACCGGTGTACTTCGTCGCATTAGCTGCGCTCGGAAATGCTGCTGTATCGTTGTCTATTCTGACGGGAGTTGAACTGATTTTAGACTTAATTTTTCCAAGATGAGTGTTGCTCCTGAGCTTTGAGTCATCTCTAGTCGCTAAATCTCCTCAATTTAGAGGCCGAGATGAGTATTGATTCGGATTCTGTTCTTCTTTTGTTTGATGACCCTAATGCCAACTCACGAGTATGACTAGTAAGGTGGGAAATCGCAACTTTGCACATGGATAATTTCCTGAAGGCTTGCAGCGAAGTAGAACAGCCAATGACTAAGTATCATGTTCAGTTAATAATGACTGCTCTTTTCGAGGCGAGATCACCTTTTCCATACATGTCAAGGCGAATAAACTGCCTCTTGTCGTTCGCAGATTGTCGCAAGTACTTCAGAAGAAACCCTTCCCATTTATTCGCAAACTATATGCTTGATACTGAATACAGTTCACAAGAAGGATCGCCAGCGGGAGAACCACTGGACTTCAATACTTTCCCCTGATGAAAATTTTCCGCACTAGCCCAATTATCTGCAATCTTCCCATCTCCTTGCCTGATTCGAATGAGCCCTTTTCAGGTTTTCTATCTCTTTTTCTAATTACAAACATCAACTTGAACTTTCTAGATTATTGATGTAATATCATCGATTGCCTTGATTAAGTTCTACTGCAGTGCCTCGGCTTCAGCCAGGAAGCATGTCCAGCCAATATACCTAGCCCACACAAGCAGAGAGTTTGTAGGATTATTAGACCATATGTCACCGAGTGTCAGGGAAATATGCTCTAGGTAGCAATCTGCAGGTACAAGTTTCAATGGGAGTTAAGCATGGGGTTGTTCGCTTAATTCGGAGACGACGCTTTCAGGGGGTCGCTTACAGGCTTTCAGTCAACACTGCGCCTGAATCGATGGATTCCTCCAGGACAGTGTGGCTGGAGAATGTAAAAGTACTTGCACCTTGGCAAAATATTTGACGAAAAAATCTTTCGATTTTTGCTCGATTACCTCGGGAAGGGCCGAAGACGATATTTGCATTACGGAGGATTTCAAGTCCTGGGAATCGAACTCTGGGACTAAGAACCTTGTCTTTAGAAATAGTTGCACGAGTGTTCAAGAAGCACACACAACGGATTTGGGGATTTCATCAAATCGCAAGTATCTTCACAATGCACAAAGTCAACATCAAACAGTTTTTTTCTTTGAAACATTACTTAATTAGTGTCTGTAGTCCTCCAATGCTATCAAGAGAAGGGTATCTATTCTAGAGGTTTGAGTGTAAATTCAACTGGATACTTCAAGCCATTCCATCTAGTCATCATCCATTATTCGATTATCGTCGTCAAGCTCTCTCGCATCTTTGAGCACAACATGCTTAAAGTCATTTCGTAATCTCGTAACCACAACCAATTGCTTCCCATCACCCATCACTCCAATCCATCCTTCGCCCACGCAATAATGTCCAGACCACCTCCCACATTAGCCCTCCCCATCGGCCCATCCCAAAACATAACACCTCCCATATTAGGCAGACTTAACTCTCTTACCCCAGCCGCAACATCACCCATCCCCTCCGGACTCCCAATATTAGCATACGCACTCGGTCCCGCCTCTGAGAATGCCGGAGCCCCAATGTACAACCGTGTTTTGACTGCCAGGGTAGAGGCTTCAAGCGCTGAGCTCCATTGGTTGACACTGTCTGCGAAGCCATTGGAGCCAATTTCGCAGGGTGGATTGTTGTAGAACTGCACCCAGACGAAATCACAGAGAAGGATGAGATCGAGAGGTGTGGAGGCGTCGGGGAAGGGGCATTGTGGCGCAGAAGAGAGGTAGTAGTTCTTTGCTGTGTTGGCGGCGTAGTGTGAGCGGAGTGTGGTGGCTAGGGTGCCGAAGTACGAGGGTAAACGATCTTCTTTGTCTGTGTACAGGTCAGTTTCTTCATCGCTGCTCTCGCTCGGCTGTAAAAGGAGCAGTCAAATTTGGTCCGAGGCGGAAACTTTGGGGAGCTGGCGCCGTTGTCCAACTGGTTGCCACGAAGTGTACCTAGGTATGCATGAAGCAACCTTGTGTTGTGACACATCGCTCTTGTCTCCCAGCCAAGCACTTAATTGTCTCAAATCAAGCACTGGCTCATTCCTCGCTTGGAAGTCTCACTTCCAATTGGAGAAGGTGAGGACTTGACACAGGGAGCTCAATCGCAAGCCTCCCCTCAGGATCAAGTTCTGTGCGGACTACAAGATCCTTCTTCTTCTTTCTCTCTTCTCCTCCCTGTGCTCCTCACAAGTGCTCGATAAAGAAAAAGGTCATGAGCACTCACCAATATCAAATCCATCAACCTCCACTTCCCCAAAAGGTCTCAAGCCACTATCGACATTCCCCGGTGGCCCAAACAAATTCCAGAGCACGTCTCCAAAATTCCTAGCCTGATCCTCACCAGTGAATGAGATCTGGCTCGTAGCACCGCCAACACTCAAAAACACCTTCTTCCCATAGGTTTTCTGACAAGTTGAAATATTGCCCGCTAACTCAGGACAGAACAAGAGTCCAGGAGCTTGAGCAAGCATTTCTTCCGTCTGACCTCCACATGCAGCGCCGAAATTAACCGTAGGGTAGATTCCGCCATCCAGTTGGGAGATCACAAAGGCAAGAATAGCAATGTCGATGTTGGGGTCGGCACATTGAGCTTCTAGTGATGTCGTTCCGGTGATCACTGTTTGTCCAAAGTAGACTGCAACATTACTCTGGGAGAGAGCATTGAATGCGTAGTCTGTTGCTGGCGCGGTTGGCACAGGGAGTGCTGCTGTTGGAGACGCTGTGCTGGTGACTTCAATGAATCCACCTCCTGGCAGTGTCGATGTCGTTGAAGGGCTTGGCGTTTCCGAGGATCCTTGAGAGATTGTAACTTCGAGGAAAGTCGAACTTAATTCCGGGAAACCAGAAGTTTCAGACGAGGCCTCTGTCGTTGTTATCGACACAGCAAGCCTCGAACTCAAACCCACGGGTACAGACGTCGTGGTGTTGAACCCAGCCACGGTTGTCGTATTCGTGGAGTTTGAGAAAAGAGCCGTTGTGGTGCTTGGAGCAGCCACATTTTGTGCCGTTGTATTGAAGATAGCAGTCGCTGTAATCGTAATGGTTGTCGCCGTTGTTGTCCTGGTCACTCGAACCGTTCTTACTGCAGCAGGGGATTCGCTGCTGTCCGTAAGAGAGACCACTGTCGAGCTAGGAGAAGTCGCAGAGGTAAGGGAAGAAAGTGCCGAGTCGACTGCAGAGCTTAGAGAAGCAAGCGGAATGGTTGTTGTGACTGAAGATGAGATGACTCCTGTCAGGAAAGTAGGTACAGCAATATCACTTGGATTACCATTGCCCGTGTCCGTTCCGTCATTCAGAAGAATATCTATCAACTGCAACTCCAGCAACCGAATCTGCAAGAGCAGATTCCTCAGCTCGCTCTTCGGGACCGTGATCGTAGTTGACTGTCTTTTCACCATGTCAGCACTTTTGGGGCATACATACTGTTGGAATATCTCAAGTTTGGGGACATCCACAACCGCCGAATCAACACCTCGTCTCGCAACCTCCACCTGTCGAGTTGGAATCCTGGCTCCTAACACAAACTGTCCATATCCTAGAAGACATGAGAATGAGAGAACGGAGACAAAAAGCCTCCAGTGATATCGCATTGCTGCTGCTGTAGGTCTATCGAGTGCAGAAAAGTGAGTATTTGACGGTGGGCTTCCTTTCGTCCCTCCCTCCTCTGCCGCTCTTATGTACCAATGTATCAAATGCAAAAGTAAACAAACTCGTCCCGACGACAAACGAATCGACCGTCGATGACTAGAAGCGCAAGTTCATTCTTCGGTCGGATAACCAAGCCGGACGGCCTCCTAAGCCGTCTACTGCCATAACAATTATGACCTAGACTTCCCCCCACCAGTCCCAAGGCATGCGAAGGATCCCCAAATGAGACATCGATCTAGCCCTAGCTGCACGAAATCTCACATTGCGTGCCCAAATCCCCGAAGCAATGTGAAAACTCCCGAATTAGTCTGCAGCAACAGTGACTGATCGGCAGGAATGGCTGCACAGCGTTCGTGATACAGCCTCATCCCGAGGAAACGGGACGGTCCTTTGCCTGATGATGCGGCACACTCAGTGTGCAGCGCTTCACTTGAAGCTAAAACACAGTCCATTGATGGGAAGGGAAAAGTGTAAAGCCATCGCGCACTGGCGAGATGAGATGTGGTTCGTCTAGCCTCGACTTGAGTGAGCTAAAAAGTGCTGTGCAATGGTTGCTCCGGCAACGATTCAAAAATACGGGAATATCTAGACTTTGAATTGTTACAAAATGTCAGACGATGGGAGAGAGAGGCTTGATGATGATACGGCTCGGAGGCTTACAAGTGGCTGTTCACCGGTTTAAGGCAATACAGCATGGTGGTCCTTCAACCCAAACTAAATCTTCTTATCTCACAATTGTGTGAAGGCTGATATTCCGAGATAGAGCTAGCATCTGGACTTCTCTTCGAGAGTTGCGATTAGAACTCCGAATGTGGACAATAAGATACGACGACAAATGACAGAGAAGATGACAGCAAAATAGGAGACAGCAAAATAGGAGACAGCAAAACAGGAGACGAAGAGAAGTCGAAAAGAACCCAAAGCGAAGATTCGACACTAGAAGAAGTAATAGCCCGGAAGAGCTCAGATGAAGAACTACTCAGAGCACAAAGCTCTGCCACACAATATCCTGCAGAAGAGTCCAGGAACTTCTGATGCCAAAGAATATTGTTGAGGTTTCTCGCAGGAATGGAAAGTAGAAACTGGCTCCCCTCTTCGACTTCTCTTTGCCACATCCAAAGACGGACTATCTCCACACGCAGAGAGACGAAACCGATATCACGACTCCGCGTTCACCAGAAAGAGGAAGCTTCCCATCAAAGTCATAGCCAAAAGTACTCTGTCATCTCATGCAGGTCCAATCAGCCAGCTGGCTCGCAGACAGCGACGCCAGGCATCAATCAGCTGTAGACTGCTGGATCGCAGCAGCACGAAGTCTTCCCACCTTGCCTGATTCTGGAGAGACGTCTGGAAATCAAAGTCCTGCATAGCTGGGAGAAGAGATATCAGAGATCCGAAGTCGCTGAGTACAAAGGTACCTCATGACGCCTGTTAGTCAGGACCATGCATCACCACAACACCGTCGTGCTTGGCGGTCGATGTGTGCAACTCAATTTATTCGGAGGTAACTCCGACTAACCTTGGGACGGTGAGAGATCTATGGGAGTGGAATGGGGTGCGGGAAACAGCACGGGGTGGGTTGGATGTGTAAGTGGTTGGGTGAGTTGAGCTGTCGAGTAAACAATATGAGATGCTGATTCTCAGAGCCGAAGGCGCCGTGTGCCTCCTGGTGCTCTTTTGCACAGCAGGACGAATAGCACTTATTTGACAAAAGGTGTAGACTGTCTTTTGGACAGGATCATGTGGAAACATGGAGTAGGTCTGGAACACTTGTTCTACCTCACATTCGTTCAAGCAGCTTTGAACTACATGCATACAACATACATCATCATTAAAGCTCCCCAATTACTATTCTATCTACCCTTGCTTTAACACCTCGCACCGAGGTAATCCGTTCTTCGCTTCAGCTTTTCGTAGACGAAGTCTCTCTTCCTCCACCGCGCAAACCAAAGCTCCCAACTTCTCGCGAGTACCAAGCCAAAAAGAACCATGCCTCGAATCCAGCCGTCAAATGTTTTGTGTGCTTGAATTGCAACCTTATCTCAATAGATGCTCTCCCTTCCCGTCAAAGTAGTATCTTTCTCCGACCAATTTGCCGAGTGTGTGTGTGTGTGTGTGTGTGTGTGTGTGTGTGTGTGTGCGCGAGGTTGTGATGACAAAGGAAAATTTCAAGAGTCCATGAACATGTGTGAACGCCTCCCAAATGGTATGATACAAACAAAGTGCTCCCTCCCATGCAGTGCTGCCGTATTCGGTGGTGGCTCGTCCCGTATTAGTTGATTTGAAGACGAGTGGTGCAGCTTAGAAGTTCTGTGAGATACCGGCACTTTGTTGTGGGAAGTGTGATGGATTTTCTATCCGGGTGTTGCGCCGAGCTTGCACATCTCGGATGACAGGCTGGGCAGGCATTTCTGCCCGTCCTGGTGGGCTTCCATATTGTGTTTCGCCGCTGTAGGGGTTGCCGGTGTCGTACTGGTTGTTATAGTATTGACCACCGCCAGCCATCACATCTCCAGAGCCGTCCGATCGAGCAGCGGCGCTGTATGATGAGGACGCATTTGAAGGCCCACGATTAATATCTCCATTTCTGTTGGATGATGCAGCTGGTCCCATGGCCCCTAATGCTTCGGCTTCGGGTGATGTTGCTCGTCCGTCCATCAGAGGATTATCTGACCTGGTGTCAGAAACTGGGCCATGTGTAGGCGATGTACCTTCCGAGTATGCCATACCAATACCACCAGCAGATTGTCCACCAGATACTGTTGTCGATGCCTTTCTTCCAGAAGAAGCAACGGCTGTAGTTCCCCAACCGCGATATCCAGATGATCCGTCTTCACGCATTTCATACGAACCATCGTGACCAGAAGATCCTACGCCGCCAACAGCAGGTAGAGTCGGGTCGTTGTTTGGGTTGTAGCCGTACTCCTCGACCTCCTTCCTCCGTAACTCTTCCGCATCCTTACGTGCCTTGCGTTTCCTCCAGAAGAAAAGACCAGCAACAATGAGAATAGCAACTGCGACAATAGGCACAACAACAGCGACAGCGATTGTTCCCGAGTTACTTAGACCACTACTTTTACTACTCGATCCCGGATCTTGCAGTCCCGCAGTTTTAGCCGAAGATGCCGCAGATGACGTTGACGAGCTAGTTCGTGTATTTTGGGGTGGAGTTTGGGTAGATGTCTGGATGACTGTCACCGTTACACCCTGGGAATTTGTTGATGTAATGGTAAATGACGTCGGCGCGAGAGATGGGCTTGTCGTTGTTGGGGTTGTAGGAGCGGCAGAAGAGGTAGTAGGTGGTGCTGAGCTGGTCGTGGGAATGCTCGATGATGTGGTTGAGGAAGTGGTTTCTATTGACGAGGATGTGGTCGGGATGGATGAACTAGTTGTAGGGAGTATTATAGAGGAAGTCGTCGGCGGCTCCGTAGTAGGGACTGAAGTTGGACTGCTGTTAGCAATTGGACTCGACGACGATTGAGGTTCTAAGCTCGTGGCCGAAGACGGCGGCGCCTGGGTAGGCGTCGACTGAGGCACACCGGTATCCGTACTTGAAGTAGAGTTGGAAGCCATTGCGAACTGTCTGAAGACGAGCTTCCGGGGACGTCTATACATGGCGGATGTCAGCAATCAGAACGAACAATCATGGTGCGACCATCTGCTATTATTGCAGCGGTCTGGAGGCGCGTCATATCGTACCTCAGGTTTGGATCTAGGTTTGCTGCAGCGGAAAGCCAGTACTGGGACTGTTTCGCGTCTGGAAAGAGCGTTGAAGCCGCTCTGTGTTTGTTCGTGGATGGGGTTGGGGCGACGAAGGTTTGTGAGTGGCGCCAAGCGGCAGCTCACACGGTACGGGGTGGAAAGAAAAGACCGGATGGGGTGAATGGGGACTCGGGGGATGAACGAATTGGCCGAGTGAACTGCAAGCGAATGCGTCCTCTGCCCTGAACCGTGGATGGATCGTCAACAGCGACGATGAAATGTTTGAAGGTGAAGGTGAGGTTGTCGGATGAGGATGAAAATGAAAGTCGTTCGTTCGCTGTGGAGGGAGGGCGACACGAGGGCGAGGTGCGAGTCGAGTGGAAGGGGGCAGCACGAGCGCACAGCGAATGGATTGGGCGGGTCCCGGCTGAGTTGAAATGAGGTGAGACAGGCGAGGGAGAGGAGGGGGAGAGGAGAAGGAGAAGGAGAAGGGTTGGGCAGAGGAATGCGGATGCCCAGGAACTCAGGCTGCTCGTGCGTGCAGCGAAATTAGATTTTCGAGTTGGGGCGGCGTCGGAGGGACCACGGCAGATTTGCAGGATCGAATAAGGAATGATGTTCGCGACAATGACAGCTGGCGACGGCGACGGCGACGGCGACGATGATGGTTCGATAGTGAGAGGCTTCGCGCGACAGCAAATTGATAGTTTGTGCTGCACCTTTCAGACTCCTTGAGAGGTATGAGGAGGACAAGGAAATCAAGTCAATTATGGAGGGGGATGCAGGAAGTTTTGTTCAAGTTGGATCGGATCCTACTTCCAAGGCAAGACAAGACTCTGGGTCTGGGACCCTGAGCAGAGCAGAGCAGAGCAGTGCAGTGCAGCGCAGCGCAGCGCAGCGCAGCGCACGAGCAAAAGCGGACCAAACACGAGTCTGTCCAAACAGGCGACGATGAGATGAAAAGATACCTAGGGAGGGACTAAAGAGCGCTAGAGGCAAATACGGCCACAAGCACGGCCAAGAAAGCTCATGATCCGGGACTAGGGCCACGGTTGTATGGACAGTATGGCCCACGATGATGCTGAAGAAGCGCGCGAGAAGCTATCTAGGCTGGTAATGGCCAAGCTGGCAAACATACGAGCGATCTCCTCGCCGGCACCGACACTACTGTACTGCGTGCTCCAAGTGTCGCCACGATGACTACTGGTTTCTTGCAGCTCTCACCAAAAGCCCGAATCAGATCCAGGAACTGCGTTTAGGCGGCCAACAGACCTTCTCATACTGTAGGCTGCTGCAGTGATCCCCAACGACTGTCGAGCCTCGCAATTATTGGCGACGACGAGCGCTGAACTGTATGCACGTTAGTGAGGCTGTGCTGACGCTTCTCGAGATCTAAGCTCTAAGAAGCCGCAACGTTGCTATTTTCGCCTCGAGCTTCTCATTCGCACAAACGTCAGAAAGATGTGCATGTATCGAAGAGAGACATCACGGGCATAGTGTGTTTGATCGAAATTGTGGCGGAAACATGATCGCTGTGAGCGTCTGCCAGTAGCTGGACTTACTTGCCTGCGATGTTCATCTCACATCAGATACTTCCACTCCTTGCATAAAGCATCGTCTAACTCGCCCTGGTCGAAACGAGCCGGCACTTAGTAGATTATCAAATCATCAAGTCATCAATTTCTATCGTTTGGTCCTTGTGTTCTCACTCTTTGGCTATGCAAGCAGGTAATAATCCAGTCAAGATAATACAAGATAGGTACTTATTACCACACCGCAATGCAACCGAACAGACTATTTCCAAGGCACAGAATCCATTAAAGCATGCACACTTCGCCGTCATCGCAGCTATATCAGCTCGATTAAGCAAATGTACAACGCACCTGGAAGGAATGGAAGAAGTAGTTTCTTAACCACTTCCGATCAGAAGGAGTTATTCACGATGTATGTCAGCGCCTTACAGGATAGCCACATCCATCCTCTCGGGATTTCGAGGGAGTGCCTCTGAGAGGAAGCCCATTCCATCCCAAATAATAGTCACCAGCCTCAACTAAAAGATGGAAAGCCATCCCTGGATATCCACAGCCGCATCCTCTTCTTGTTATCCTCATCAGCTCCGAACGCCCTACTATGCCAATCGCAAATTCGCAAGCACATCAAATACTCCCAGCACCGTCAAGCTCCAATTCTTCGTTCTGACATTCAAGCCTCCAGCAGTCCAACTGTCAATCCCATCCCTATAATATCAAGCCCTGCAAGCCCCATCCAACCAGCACCTCTACCAAAACTCACCTCACCAAAATTCCAAGCATTATTAGCATGCGTAAATGCGACGGATAAACCTAATCCCCATGACCTCCTTTACAACTCCCATCACAGGATTTGACATGTCCTCTTCCTTGGAACAATCCCTCCCCATCATCTCTCCAGAGTCCAGACTTTTCCCCCCTCATCCATCCATGCCTCCATTCACACTCCAAAAATTCAAACCACCCAACCCCAGCATCTCGAACCCCCAAATCCCAGCAATACACGGAGATTAAACATAACATCACTGCACAATGCATGCATGCACAAATCCTCTTCCCCCCGCCTGACGAAACACCATTGACCACTCACCAAGGAAACAAGGCAGCCCCAGGAGCGCCACCAGGGTCTTCGCACAAGGCATGTTTAAAACTACTGTTCCCTTTTTCCTTTTTGTTGTGTCTCCCGCCCTCGCAAGCATATCTTTCGATACCAAGCCTTTCTTTTCATCCGAGATATGCTTTGACGTCAGACGGATAAGGCAGGTTCGTCGGATGATGCCTGTACAGTTAAAACCAATATGGATCCGGAATTCGATGGTTTGGGAGAATTATGGGGCGGCGCGCCAAGTAAATAACTCGGATCCTTGCGACAACTAAATCTGAGTTGCCCCTTTTCCGGCCGGTTGTTGAGGTCCGCTTGTGAGTGGAAAACGTGATACTAGAAAGATTTATCATTTTCACGTACTTAACCCTAGGGTACCTTTAGTGATATTTGCTTTCACAGTTTCGGAATTACAGCCCAAATTGACAGGAGCAGACATTCGCTGAAAGAAATATGATGTAATCCTCGAAAAAAAAAAAAAAAATCCGCCCACGTACAGAGCACTTACTTACCTAACAAGCGAAATCAACAACCCAGAACCCCGTCTTCCCCCATCCTCGTGACGGCCCTCCCCTCTGGCACCCGAACCTCGATCCTCGGTATCCAGTGATCTGGTCCAAGGGGACGATCGTCTCTACGTATCGATGTTCAATCGCTGAGGTCATATCCTCCCCATGAAAACTATTAGTTGTTTTGCTATCAAGCTTGGAGCCCGAGTTGTTGGATGATGATTTGCTGTGGGGTTGTACGGGGAAACAAGCGAGGTGAGTGGTGAGACGATGGATGACTGAGGACTCAGGATGCAGTTCTTATGTCTTTATTTGTTGACATGATCATATGGACTAGTTTGACGAGAGCAGGCATCTAGAAGATCAACGACTAGCATTAATCTCGCAGAAATCGATAAAGGATTTTTTACACTATCATGTTTCTTTGCAATGAAGAGCCGACTTCGCTGCAACAAAAATACAACATAAATTAAGTTCAGTCAAGTCAGTAGCAGACAGAGATTTTATTTGTGATCAAAAGAATCATTCCAATGCCATTTTGTGATACTATACAAGACTTGGAACTTCTGATGATTTATCCAGTCTGTTTGTGCAAAGGCATCTCTCTATATGCAGTTCTCTCTCTCTACCTTTCGCTCAAGTCCCGTCACTCCTAAAAACAAATATCCCTGAGTGCTCCCATACCATCTATTACAAGAAAGACATTAGACGAGAGTGGTTGACAGTACGTAAACCTCCTCTGGAGAACCGGTTGCTCATGCACAAACGCGGCCAGCTCGTTCACACATGAGATGCTGTTGCTGTTGTACGGGACAGTGGATGTCGTGTGGGATGATGGAATCAAAATATGCTCGCTCAAATGCCGGGAATGTGGTTGCCCAAGCGGGAAGTACCACGAAGAAACGAAATCGTCGTTACTGAAACTCATAACATCTAAGAGCCTGCTCGCATGCCCCATTGAGGCTTGAGAGTGGTTGCTAGATCATCTTTGCTGAAGACTACATCTTGCGGAATCCGGCTGATACGGTAAGCTCCACTACGAATAGCACTGAGTTGGGTTGTGGAGATCCCGCTACGGTTGCTTCTAATACTGCCAGCATCACTCATATTATCCTGGTCTCTGAACTTCTTTGGGGGTGCAAAGTCCAATGAGGTGAATGTCCCAGAATTTCTAAGCAGATGTCTATGAAAATATTAGTTTTTCATTTCCTGGATGAGTATGGGATATATATGACTTACGGGCTAGGAATTGGTGCAAGCTCATCAAACGCGCTCACCACAGGAGCATATGCTGGCACCATTGGGGAGTATGGACGTCTCTCACCAAGAGGACTCTCTGAACGACCTGCCACTCGATCACGATAAGTTGAGGGAGGAGCGAAATCGATAGCACCCATGAAAGCAAAATTGTCATCTCGGAGCTTAGAAGGAGTGGGTAAAGTGTTCAAAGGAGCTGGTGGTGGGAGTGGTCGCTTAGGTCCTCCAGGAGGGCCCATCCGTCCTGAGGCTGACGAGTAGGCTCTTGGTCCTGGAGGAGGTCCACGCATTCCACTAGCACTCATAGCTCCCATAGAGCCTTGTCGTCCTCGAGGCTGACCCTGTCCTTGGAATCTTGGTGGCCCGCGCGGTGGTGGTGTCATTGCTCGTCTAGTGATAGGTTCGGCGTATGGCATGACAAACGCGTTCGAGTCTGGGTCGTAGTAAGTGGCGTCACCCATATAGTTCTCGTCGTAATCCTCGTAGTACTGTCCCTTTGGAGCAGGCTTAGAGTCATCGAAGTATTCTTTGTAGAATGAGCGGATTCTATTGGCTCTGATCTCAGGGTCGTCCGACTCAGTTACAACGTTGGGAGGCAAAGGTCGGAAACCCATCGATAGTCGCTTTGCATCAAAACCAGTGGCGCCCAATCCAGCTTGAGCGAATTCCTCAGGAGGAACGTCCATAGAATATCTTTGTCCGCGCATCATCTCTGCATTCTCACGACCAGGAGATGGAGGTGTAACCTGGAAACCATCACCATACTCGCTAGCGTTCTCCACAATCGCAACCTGGGCTTGTGGTTGAGCTGGCATCGAGTCCTTACGAGCAGGTCTTGGACTAGCTGGAAGCGTGTTGAGCGGAGCAAGCACAGGCCTGCGAACAGTACCCTCAAGTTCTTGAGGTGCCGGTGCCGGTGCAGGCGACGGCTCACGAGCATCGATCATCATTCCAAGATAGTTATTGCTTTTTCTGAGACCGGCGGGATCCGTGTTGCTGGCATAAGATTCACGATTCTCTGGCGCGATTGGGGCTCCTAGACCTTGACCGGGATAAGGGTTTGTTGGGAGACCTTTTCGTTGCACATCAGCCGGTGAAGCTGGTATATGGGCCTGAGCTGGCTCAACTGGGTATGGCGGAGGTGAGAAGGAGTTACTAGATCGCTGGTTGATAGGGCTCATCGAAGCATTGCTTTGCGGCAACGAGTTTTGTCGTGGTGGGTATGCTGTAGATGGAGGAGTGCTTCGTGGCATTTGTCCAGCATTGGCGAGTAACTCAGACGTTCCCAGCTCTTGAAGTCTCGAAGGGGCAGCACTTGAGCCCGTGTAGATGGACGAGCCTTGCTTCGACTGTGACCGCACAGAGATCCCATCGCCAGGGTAGTACTCCTTCACAGGTCGGTAAGGGTCTTCCTGCTCGTGGATTGTTCTCGAAAGCGAATGAAGGGATTCTCGAGAGTTCTGAAGCTCCGGTGGCAGCAGATACGGACTCTGCATTCCCATATCCATTGACATCTGTCTCCCACTCCTGCCGATTGGCTTCTCATCTCCAAAATCCAACCCAGCTGGTGGTCCTCGCTTTGGTCTTCCTGGTTGTGGCACGTTTCCTAAACCAAAATCCATAGATGCATGTTGGTCATTGGCATCCTCCTCTCTCTGCTTTCGGACATGTCGACGGTGGAGAATAGCAAAGCATATCAATGCACCGACCACTGGGATGCTAGAGGACATGTCAGAGGGCAGATTTGGAAGAATAGCCGGCACAGAATACTTACACGATTCCCAGGACAATGGGCATTGTGAAGTTCGAACTACTGGTAGGTTTCTCGCAGGCATTGGCTCCACAGCTGCTAGTTTCAGCTGAAGGAGAGGTTGAGTCGGCGCGCGGCTCCACAACACGGTTAGGTACAGCGATGTTCATCATTGATTCCATTCTTCCAATGGCCTCTGGGTGAACAGGAACCCGCGGGCCCAGCCTAGGAATATTCGATATGTGATGATTATCCATTGCGAATAATAGTGCTGGGCGAAGGCGCCAATAGGCCGAGAAGTGAGGACGAAGAATGGAGACTGGAAAAGGCGCGGCGATAGCTTTCGGGAATCGAAGGTCGTGAGGGAAGGAGCGATCGTTTCGGATGAGGTTCGTTGTAAGAAGCAATTACTTTCTCGGCTATATGGCGTTGATGAAAGGTTGTTTCGTGAATATGTTGAGTGTAATATTGAAACGACTTCAAACCAGAGGTAGACGACGTGCGAATGCAATGCAATGCAGAACAACAACAACAACAACAACAACAACAACAACAACAACAACTACAGCAACAGCAACACGACGGCTGGGCTGGCGATGAAGATCAGATTACTCGAAGGAGTGACTATGGTGAGAACATGAGTAGGGAGCGAACTGGTCGAAGACCAAAAGGAATGGCTGGCCCGGCTGGCAGGCTCTGTGTCAGTCGAATTGTCTGTCGTTCGTGAGGTTGATGAAGCAGTTGTAGGACGAGAAGAAGTTCAACGAGAAAGGGATCAATCAGACGAAAGACGCTGGGCTTGGGCTTGGGCTTGGGCGGGTTGGCGTGGGACGGGATTGGACGGGATTGGACGGGATTGGACGGGGCGAGGCACTGGCAGCGGCCAGGCGTGCTTGACCTGGGCCAGTGGAGTCTCAATTCGGTGGGCAGGGCCTGTATTGGCTGCCGCGGGCTTGGAAGTGGAGTACAGGCCCTGCAGCACAGGCATCCAGAATGGCCGGCGAAATGAGACGGCGGAGCAGCGAATGTTCGCAGTTTCACGATGAGAGCGAGAGCATCCGAACCAGGGAGGCTTGCAGGAACGTTGTTGAAGTTAACTCTAATCTGCTACAGTACGAAAGTACAGAATAATCGATACAATACGATACGATACGATACGATACGATACGATACGATACGATACGATACGACACTCCTACATGGCAGCTGTGGTCACAAGCAGCGATTTCATGGACCTCAAGGGAAAGTCAGCGCGCAAAGTAAAGGATAATAGCCGATCTAATCATAGATCTTCCTTAACCATAACCAGACTACTACTTACTTGCACACGAAGAATGGCGCTGGGGATAGAAGGAACCCCTGAGCTACCATCGGGGTCTAGGCTAGGCTAGGACCAGTCAAGCTCCAGGTACGCAAGCCTGGCAGGCGTCAGGGATCCGACGCCCCCCGTCAAATTCAGGCGGCGGGATTCGTCTGCCACTTTTGACGCTTCATCTGTGTCGACGACAGCCTGCAAGTCAAGTTGGGAGGGAGTGCATGTGCATGATATCGCTCGGTTGCCGGAGATCAATCATGATGTGGGATGTCGCCAGATTCTGGAGATGCTCTCAGTGCAGATGTCCTTGCGGCTTCCTGCTCATCTCTGCCGTTGGTCGACACCTTAATCAACATAAACAGCAGAGGAATTTACCCCTTACTCAGTTGCATACCTAGCTGAAGCCACAGGCAGCATATTTCTTCACGCACTGCCACAAGCCCACAACGGGACGTCGCTGTCGCTGACTGTTGGGGGGCCCGCTTGATTGGTGGCCTAGGAGAGATTGAGATTGACGCTGTTGGCCGGTGGCGCGCAATATCGACTGCACAATGGAACTGCACAATATAATTGGGAAGGGTCTTTGTAATTTGCGATTCGCGGACCTCATCCGCTGCCAAGCGCACCTTCTTTTTTCCCGAAATCACTTCATATCTAATAGAATGAACATCCACGACAAGGGATTAAGGTACCTATTTCTCAGGCGAAGATAAGTCGTAAATGTAGCACGAAGGAAGGATTGTTATTGTCGTGAGATATGATATGATATGATCAACGCGCAACCAACGGGATCGAAAGTCTCGAAAATTGACCGACGTGTTGTGTCTACGCGCCTCAGCCTCAGGCACGTCAAGCTGTTCCAGGCCATCAACGTCCGGCTAGGTGGGTATTTTTCTATCCGTCTCTCAGCCTCTTCATGCAGCCTTGTGCTACAGGGAGACGAAGGGAGGAGTCTCCAGTCATCATAAAATTGAGTACTTTCAGCATGTGATATTACCCGTCATGGCAGAATTCGACCTCGCTGCCAGCTTCATCCCGTCCCTGCACAAGCCAGCCTCTCTTCTTCCAATTGCCAGGCACAGGCAAAGCCTTCTCTACCTCATTGAGACATACCCTGTCACCATAGTCGTTGGCCAGACTGGCTCGGGGAAAACGACACAGATTCCTCAGTACCTTGAGCAAGCAGGATGGTGTTCCGATGGCAAAATAATTGCTATTACACAGGTATGTTTCGAACTTGTATTATGCTCGAATACTACCACTAACACTTTCAGCCTCGTCGAGTCGCCGCGACTACTGTTGCGGTCCGAGTAGCAGAAGAATTTGGATGTGAAGTTGGCAAGGAAGTCGGTTATTCCATCAGATTTGAAGATGTCACCTCATCTGCTACGCGCATCAAATTTCTTACAGATGGCTTGCTACTGCGAGAGGCACTTGTTGACCCTCTGCTCTCACGGTACTCCGTAATCATGGTCGATGAAGCTCATGAGCGGTCTCTCAGCACTGACGTACTTCTTGGTGTCTTGAAAAAGATCTTGAAGAGAAGACCGAAGGATCTCAGAATTATTATTTCAAGTGCTACCCTCCAGGCGGAGGATTTCTTGAAGTTCTTTATGGGTGATGCAGAATTGCAGCCCAAGCCTTCAGGATCAGATCCTATGACGCTGGATGATCTGATATCAGGCAGCTCGAACCCGAAAGATAATGGTTTTGGTGGTGACGTTGGAAGGATTATCAACCTCGAGGGCAGGATGTATCCAGTCGATGTTCTATATCTCGAAACTCCTGCCGAGGACTATCTCGAGAAGGCAGTTCAAACAGTATTTGATATCCACACCAAAGAACCAGAGGGGGATATTCTAGTCTTCTTGACAGGAAGAGAAGAAATAGATTCAGCCGTGAAAGCCATCTCGGAGCGAGCAGCTGAACTCCATCCACGGGCCCAAACAATCATGCCGCTGCCCCTCTACGCTGGACTATCGACTGAGCAGCAAATGTACGTATTTGAAGAGGCACCTGATAATACGAGAAAAGTGATTTTCTCGACCAACATAGCAGAAGCTTCAGTCACTATTGATGGCATTGTGTATGTTGTAGACACAGGTTTCGTCAAACTCCGAGCATACAATCCACTCACGGGTATCGAAACTCTCACAGCTACGCCCGTCTCCAAAGCATCTGCTACCCAAAGAGCAGGCCGTGCAGGCCGGACCAAACCCGGAAAATGCTACCGCCTCTACACGGAAAGCAACTTCGACGCATTAGATGCTGCAACAGTACCAGAAATCCAGCGCTCAAATCTCGCTCCTGTAATCCTACAGCTTAAAGCCCTCGGCATCGACAATATTGTAAGGTTTGACTTCATTACTGCACCACCCGCCGAGCTAGTCATACGAGCTCTCGAGCTCCTCTACTCACTCGGCGCACTGGATGACTACGCCAAACTCACCAAGCCGCTCGGAGTCAGAATGGCCGAGTTAGCAGTCGAGCCCATGATGGCGAAAACACTTCTCTCCGCCTCTTCATTTGGCTGCCTCAGCGAGATCCTGACTATAGCCGCCATGACAAGCTTAGGAGGTAATATCTGGTTTCACCACGACGGCGAGAAGAAACGCATGGAGACCGCACGGCGGAAGTTCGCTGTAGAGGAAGGTGATCATATCACGCTTCTAAATGTATACCAAGCATTCGTCAGCAAAGGCAAGAAAGAAGCGCGCTTCTGCCACGACAACTACATTAACTTCAAGGCCATGACAAGAGCGGTCAGCATCCGCGCGCAGCTCAAACGCTACCTCGAACGATTCGGCATCGCCGTCGACGAGACGCTCTCATCTAACGCAAATAAGACACCGCTGTCCGTCGGAGGGCCTTCCAAAGGAGAGCAGATCCGACGATGTCTTACCACGGGCTTCTTTGCTCATGCGGCTAAGATGCAGCCCGATGGAACATTTAGAAATGTAGCCGGTGGGACTGTCTTGCATGCTCATCCGAGCTCGCTGATGTTTAATCGGAAGGCGGATTGGGTTATCTTTCATGAGGTGATGGAGACGGGGAGTAAGACCTTTATCCGGGATGTGACAAAGATTGAGAAGGGATGGTTGACAGAATACGCTCCGGAGTTTTATAAGATAGGATAGGAGTATTTTATAGGCAATAATCGAGAACTGTGAACAGCAATTTTTCGTATTCCCTTTCTATACATATGTTATCCTGAAATAGGTAAGCGATAGATGTGTTGATATCATTTAATCCTATCACGTCAACCTTAACGATAAACAATTTCCATCGTACCCTTGCCTCAAAATTCAAATAGCTCCGTCCTGGCCCACCAATAGTCCGATTCCTCAGCGGCAAATCCATCATCCTTAAGCTGCACCACAACACCCTTTCCCTTTCCCCCAGCAATTTCGTCGTTCCCCTCACCAAACACCAACAGCCTTCCCTCGCCCCCCTTCCTCCCCTTCCCATCCTCACCACCGGCCCTAACATACGCCGGCCAATTCCTCCTGTTCGCATACCTGCCAGGCACCTTATTCGGATCACCACTCGTAATAAAACTCGTCCAGTACGCATGCATATGTCCCGAAATCTCATACACAGTCTTAGACTTGTCTTTCACACCAGGAGTGTGCATCACGAACGGGATATGATTCCCATGTGCCGCGCCGCCCTTCACGCTGCTGCTTGCGGCGAAATGATACAGGTAGATGGGAGCTGGGCCTGGTGCTGCGTAATGCACTGTCTGTCTGACGGGAGAGATGTAGGCAAAGTGCCCGTATGCTTGCTCCATGCGTGTGAATTGTGCCCCGACACCTGGACGTTTCTCTACGTACTTTGAATGGCGGTCCTTCGTCGGATCAGGATAGACGTCTTCCAGCTCGGAAATGTCCCTCTTTCTTAAACCGGGCAGCAGCGTGGTGAAGAAATCTGTAAAATCCTTATTTGTTTTGCCGTTTGAGGGCACGAAAGATGTACCTTCGTTGGTGTTGTAGCCGGTCAGGATGGGGACCTGGTGCCATTTGCCGGCTTTCCAAGCATCGATGGGACGGATGGGTATCATGCCACCCTTGCCATCGATAACTGGTTGGAATGGCCAGCGGACCGAGGGATTGTATTTATTGAAGATTGCTTCGGAGGCCTGTTTGATCTCGGAGGTGCTGTAGCCGCGAAGAGTGGTGATGAGACGTTCTTCAGGGACGGAGTCGCAGCCGAGCTCGACGAGGAATTCCTTGAATTGTATCTCGTGGAGGGGGTTTGAGTAGGTATAGACTGCTCTTGCAGTGGCGGCTCCAGACTCGAGGATTGCTCGAGCGAATGGAGGGGCCTTGTCTGTGTTGTGCAACAGGTGGTGACCAATCTGAAATTTGTTAGTGCCAATGGTTGTGAGGACGCATTACAGAGAAGAGAGAACACCTGATACATATCTCAAAACACAGGCTTGGGATACTTTCGGGTGTTCAAATGGAATGAAAGCATCTGACTCACTGAATGTGCCCCAGCACTTGAACCAATAATAGTCACATTGCCAGGATCGCCTCCAAATGCATCAATGTTCTCCTGTACCCATTCAAGCAGCAACTCTTGGTCTTTCAATCCAGCATTCAACAGGCCTTCCTTTGCCATAATTTTAGAAGGCAGAAATCCGAGAGCACCAACTCGGTAGCTGAAAGATATCGCGATCATTGGCTCAGCCGACCATGCCGTGAAGTGGGAAAGTTGCCACGAACTATCTCCAATACCGCCATTGAAAGCCCCGCCGTGAATGTGTACCGCAACAGGCAATTTCGCACCAGGATTTCTCGTTTTCGGTCTGTAAAGATTAAGATTCAAGCAATTCTCGCTCTGACCGGCTCCCGCGCCAGAGGGACATCTGTCACCAAATTCCCCTGCATCGAATTCCATTTCCGAAGCATCAACACGAACAGGGGCCTTGAATCTCCTCAGACCTTCAGTTGATAGCCCATATGGAACACCCAGAAACGCTTCTAGCGTTTGCGAATACCCGTCCTCAAGCTCAACACCCAGGAAACGCCCTTGACGTAATGTGACCTTAGGTCGATTGCCTAACTTGATAGGTAACTTGTGTTGATCTCCCGACTCTCCACGAGCGTACATTAGAAGCCAGAGACTTAGAGTGACAACAGCCAGAAAGCCAAGCATGTGTCTCCATTGTAAGCGCCGACGCAGCAAGACGAAGGTCGTCATTTTCTTTGGAGGTTCACTGTCTCCCTCGTTGCGGAGCGGAGTATAAGAGGACATTCCTCTGTTTGAATTGTACTGTCTGTTTTCATAGTTCCGCCTCATTTATAACCATTGAAATTTGGCGCATACTGATGTTGATCGTTGTTGAGTGATGGCCTTGAGAGTTAAGCGCTGGATGTTGGTTAATTTCAGCATGCTGATGAATGGTCATGTGATGGTCCGATTAGGCAATTGAAGGTGCTGCTCCGCACCCAGTTTGTGCGCTTCGAGAGTGATTTTTTAGAACGAGACTACTGCTGATAAGAAAAGATAATGAAATCAGTCTTGTAAGTTCAACTATATTTTGTATTAAGAACATCCCGCTTACCAAGAACAGGCATACAATCTAACTCAACAGCGCGATGCAAAGATATCACATCGTAAACATTGACTCCATCACCACCATCTCATTCCTTACGCTGCTTTGCGTACCAGCCACAGTAATTTAGTCCTCGCCGGTTTGAAGTTTAGTATTACGCATTTCGCCGTCAGACCATATTTTCCTCCCCCATTCTTCAAGCCCGTGGAATCAGGAGTCACGCTCAGGGTCTTGCCATCCGTTCTTTATTACTGGATAGCAGCGAATCCGGTCACTATATTCATCGTGGCCGTCTGGCACTGGTAGCGGTGTTGAGGGACCAAACCGGCAAATCCCATATCAACACCTGTCCAGCTTCCTCATATTCAAGATCCCCCTGGACGTGGGCCAAGCCGAAGGGGCAACTCAAGAAGGATGACGAGGAATCCGCATCTCGATCTCTGGATAAGGAAGGCAGACCAAGAAGTCCAAATTTCTGGTAATATGAACCTAGATGACCATTTCCAACAGACAGGTAGATACAGGCAGGCAGCCTTAAGACTATGAATGCATATAAGATGTATTTGCAAGCTATATAAAATACCTCAGCAGTGGTGGCCAGCGGACTAGCGATTTGAGAAGGTCTTTCCAGAGGTCTGGACAGATCAATCAAGGTTTGCTCGATGTAGCATTGTGATTTGCGTTTGTCGAGAGCATTGGAGAATTCGGTCCCCTGATAATTCCTTTTGTCGGAAACGTAACCATACTCGGAGAGGAAGATTGTCTTCCTTTTTGTGGGAATTGGTACCTACTGTACTGTGGTTGAATCTTTCAGGGGGCACGGAGCTTAAATATACCTAAGCTTCAATCGGGGAAAAAATGGGCTTGAATTGACTTTATCCGAACTACGGCGGCGTGTTCACCTCCCTGCGTTTTTTTGTCAAACGTTCTTGCCTGATCGTTCAGCTTCATCAATTCTCAGGAGAAGTAAATTTAGCCTAAAATCATGATCTAAAGGTTTCTGGCTGCCCCGATTATACCCGAAGCGATGCCTTACATGGACTGCTATGCTAGTCTTACAGTACCTTGTGCTACAATAGCCTTGGTACAGCTATTCTTCAGTTTGGCGTGATTCTTCAGTAAATAACGTCGACTTACTGACTTTTACTATAGACTCTACTAAAAGATAATAACTTAGAATTATAACCTTTACAACTTTATTAAATCTCTATTGATTTGCCTTTAAATTAGGTTATTTTAAAGCTCTTAAACTCCCCTCTTTATTTTCATTTAATATTCTTAAATATACCTTTAAAGAAAGCTTGAAATAGTTAAGGGAAACCTTTTAAAAAAAAGGCTCTATATACTTTACTTCCTTTACTACTAGTAGTACTTAAAATAACCCTTAAACTTAGTATAAGTTAAGTTAATAGTTCTTTTATCAGTTTTACTATTAGTACTTTAGCTTTTATACTTAATTTAAGTGTAAGAGTAGTTGTGTTAGCTGTAAGATTAGTAAAGCTTTTATTACTACTCTTCCTTTTACCTTTTAAGCCTTTATTGATTCTATAAACTCTTCCTTTATTAGAACCTTTTATTATATAGTCTCTTATACTTTTATAGATTAAAATATAAGCTATAAACTTTAAGATTTAGTAATACTTTAATAGTAAGTAAATAAGTAGTATAATAAAAAAAGTAACAAATAAGCTAGGTATTAGAGTTACTTATAAATCTATTAAAAAAGCTATAAAGACGTTAGTAAATATTACGATTAAGTCAAGAGGTATTTCTCTACTATAAAGAGATTATACTTACTAGTATAATACTTGTAAAAACGTTTAAAACCTTACAGAATATAATATCGTTAATAAGGCTGATTTTAACTACTTTATTAAATAAGCTTGAATTACAGGGAAATTAAAGTAAGAAAAGCTTTAAATATACTTTAATATCACATAAATACCTTAAAATATAGTTTAACTACCTTAAAAAGACCCTTTTACTTTAAAAGCTTTAGTTATTACTATTTTAAAGCGTATGTATTAAAAGGAGGAAAGCTTAATAGCAAAAAAGCTACGTACTATAATAACTTATCTTTTAAAGGAAGTTAAAAAGAATTAAAAGGCTAAAAAGAGAACTATACACGAGATTATAACTGTTATTTAAGTATAATAAGCCTATAAAGTTAGTTCTTGTTGTTATACTATAAAGTTTTACTTTATTAACAATAGTAAATATTATTACCTTTTTTTAGACGATTTAAAGCGTTAAAGACGTGATATTAAAGATAAATTAACTATAATCGATAAACCTTTTATTCTTTATTAAGTTAACCTTTTAAAAGAGCTTATAGCTTATTCAGAGCTTTAGTCGTTAAAGGCGTAAGGGGAAAAAAAGTACTAGAAGACGTATTATAACGAATCGTTATTTTTAAAACGATATCAATTAGCTTAATACTCTTTATAGACACTATATTAGCCTTTAAATACCTTTTTATATTAATATCCGCCGATGCCGCCCCCTTTGATATAGTCTTTATATACTAGTAACCCTTTAAGTGACTATTTGCTAGCTCTTTACTTTTAGCTAAATATAGCTTTTCTAGCACATAAATATATAGCTTTAAAGCTTTAATTACCACGTATTTAATCGTAAGAACGAGTTAAAAGTAACTTTATATATAACAGTCCGGTATTTACTCGCTATAAATACAGAAGGCTGCAGTTGATCTCTAATAATCGAGAGGTAAGTATATATTACGAACGCACTTAGAAGGAGTATTACGTGTGTCTTAGCCCTGAGGCTCGGCAGCCTTACTATATAGAGAAGCTAAGAACTAGGAATAGAATCACGGGACTATATATCATATGATAGCATAGAGCTTTTAGAACTATAGGATCTAAGGTTCCTAGAGCCTTAGATCGTAGTATCTTAAGGGATCTAAGAAGAACAAAGGTTCTATATAAGACCGGTATATCTACTATTAGATAGGAGCTTCGTGCTTAACTTTAAATAGTATTCTAATACTTAGTAACTATCTTCTATCTATATAATACACCTATCTCTCGATTATTAGAGATTAACTATAGCCTTCTGTATTTATAGTAAGTAAATACCGGACTATTATACTTTAAGCACCTTCTTATTAGAGGTACTAACTCACGAAGATAATATATCCTCTATTAAAGGATTATCAAACGATTACTTAGCTCCTACTAAAGTCTTTAACCTAAAGAATATACCTAAGATCGCTGCCCCGGATCTCTACTATAGAGACCGATCTAAGCTTAGAGTATACTTTACTTAGGTTAAGCTCTATACAGGCTTTAATAGTTACTAGTTCACTATAGAGACTAATAAAGTCCTTTAAGCTTTATCTTTCCTCCGGGGATCTACTTTTAACTAGATTAAGACCTTCTTCTCAGACTATATTTAGAACTAGACTAAGGATAAGAGAGTCTCTATAGTAATAACTAAGGAATCCTAGAAGATCTTTATAACTTTTAAGGGTTTCGAGTATAGGATTAACCGCGTCTTTAGTAATATTAATTAGAACTATACCACTAAATAGAATATCTAGAACCTAAAGTAAGTCGGGTTAGTAACTATATATACTACTACCTTCTAGTAATTCGCGAATTAAACTAACTAGAATAATAACGCCCTTTAGGTATAGTACTATAAAGGGTTAAAAGATAAAGTGAAAGATAAGATAGTAAGATCAGATATACTTACTAACTTATAAGAACTTATCGAGATAGCTATTAAGATTAATAACTAAAACTACGAGAGGGTACTCGAGAAGAAAGGCTAATACTACTCTAGGATATATATATACTAAAGAAAAGGGGGTAATAATAAGAAACTATTCTACTCTCGGGAAATAGAACTTAATACGATATTCCGGAAGCTAAGTTATTAAGGAAAGCTATATAGTAGCGGGCTATCTAAGAAAGTTATAAGTAAGCGATAAGAAAAGAAGCTATACTTCGAGTATAGCTTTTCTAGTTATATAGCTAGCTCTTATTAATAAAAGAAGTCGTGGACAGATAAGAAATATACTAATATAATAGGATATAGCTCTTATAATGAATTAATATGATAACTTACTGCGATATATTAATATATAACTATAGATAAGCTTAAGGAGAATTATATCTATACTTAGTTAAGCGATTCTAATAATAATAAGCGAGATTCCGTAAGCGTTATAGATTAGCTTAAGTAAACTATTATTAGTACGCCCCCTAAGGACTATGTATATTAAGATAATAATAGCTCTAAGCCGGATAATAATATAAAGCTAATACTAAGTGATAGCGAGGAGAAGGCTTAAGAACCTGAGTAGACTCTAGAACTAAAGCTACTTTAACCTGAACTCTTAGGACTAAGAGTAAGTGAAACTTAGGAAGTTACTTAAAGAGAAGAGAGCTTATATTAAGTTAGCTATAACACTTACTACTAGACTAATATAGCTACCGGGGTTACTTATTAAGAACTAGGCCTTATTAGCTTAGGGGGTCTATTATAAAGGGTAAGGTATAAAGTAGTCTACCGGGACTATAAGTATATCAGATAAAGAATAGCCGGCAGCTAGGAAGGACTAACGACTTTTATATAGTACTTACTACTCTAGAATACTATTATTCTTAACACTAGCGCGCTACTAAAGGTGAGCAAGGAATAGGAAATCATAGCTAAGAACTGATATAATAGGATATAAGTCTATATTAATAATAACAGCCGGTACTATTATAAAATATATAACCTAGTAATATATACTGAACTCGGAATAGGGCTTGTATATAAGGTTAGCTTAAGCTATAGTAATCGAAGGGTATAGGAAAGTATCCTCGACTATAATATATATTAAGAATATTTCTATATATAGTAACTTACCACTATTAAAGATAAATATCTTACGTTAGAGGTTAAAATTAAGGGAGTTAAGCTTTAAGCGATAGTAGACTCTAGGGTATAAGGGAACTTTATATCTCTTACTATTATACTTAAGCACTACTTATTAACTAAAGTAAAGGATAAGGGATACTATCTAGTACTAGCGGATAGTAAAGTTGCCTCTAATAGACTAATCGAGGTTTAGACTGCTCTAGTTTATATAAGTATCGCTAGATACTCTGAAATAATCTAATTTAATATCGTTAGGATTAGAAAGTATAATATTATCCTAGGGCTACTATAAATAGAAAAGTATAATCCTATTATTAATTAGTAGATAGGAAAGCTTAAGTTTAGTTATTACTAAGACTACTATTATCTACCGGGAATAGAAGTAGTAAGTATTCGAGAGGTTAGTACTACCTCTAAGGAAGAGCTCGGATACTAAGATAAGGGTCTACTAATAAAGGATATACTATTAGTATATAAGAAGTTTATAGTACTATTTAAAGAGGAACAAGGTATCAAGGCCTTACTAAAACACTAGGACTATGATTATCAGATCGAGTTAGAACTAAGTACTAAACTAATATTCTAACTACTTAGGGAATATTCGGTAATAAACTTAATAACGATTAAGTAATATATTAATAAAAACCTAGCGAAGAGATTTATCTGAGAGTCTAAATCTCCGTAAGGGAGTAATATCTTATTTATAGAAAAAAAAGATAGTAGATAATAAATATATATCGACTACTATCAATTAAATAACACTATAAAGAAGGATCGTTATATACTACTATTAGCTAAGGAGCTACGGGATAAACTTATTAGAGCTAAGATTTTCACTTAGCTTAACTTACGAGGAGTGTATAATCTCGTTAAGATAGCTAAAGGAGAAGAAGAAAAAATAGTATTTCGCACTTATTTCAGTTACTACGAGTATATAGTTATACCCTTCGGCTTAACTAATATACTAGCTATATTTCAGTGTCTAATTAATAATATTTTACGGCCTTACTTAGATATAACATGTATATACTATTTAGATAATAT